TTTCAAACACCAGAGGGCGCTGTTTATCTTTGAGACAGCCTCGAGTTTCAAAGCAGGTGTGTCAGAGCAGGATGAAAAGGTCAAAAAAGGTCATGGAAAAGACAAAAACAGTGACTTTGGACATACAGTATGTTACTGTCACTCCATGGCTTTATTAATGTAAAATGACAGTTTCACACGTTTCTATAATCATGTAACACACAGGTTCAATGTGTGGAGAAGATTGGATAACTAATGATGAGAAACAACAGGACGGAGATGGATAACTTTCTTAGCAGCACTTTTACTTTCAGCTTCACAGCATGGCCACGACAATTCACTTCTTTAACAACTAACATGTTACTCATGTTAGATGAGATGGGCCAAATCCCATTTTAGGTTGGGTCTTGATAATTCATCAAACAATAAGCGTGGTCTAGACCTGCTCTCTTTCTTTGAAAAGCGTCTTGGGATGATGACTGTTGTGAATTGGTGCTATACAAATAAAATTTGATTGATTGAATTTGAACAACCTGATCACATGTCACAGCTCTAACCAATCAGAAGCTAGGATCTAACTTAAGGTCAATGTGAATGAATCACAGAAACACGTTCTACATAGCTTGCTCACCATCACAAGTAGCTGTAGGAAAATTATTTAAATTTTTAAATATGCAAATATAAAATTGTACGTTCTCTGTATAAATTTTATGAAAATGTATATTTTTAGCTCAACCTTAAAGACATGAATTAACTCAAATATATGAATTGACTTCACTGTTAAAGCTCACAATCATAAAATTTAAGAGGATCGAAAGGGCCCATGGAGAATACTGCCATGTTGTATTTAGGGATAGAACAGACCTTTTTAGCCTATTTAAAATTGAAACCCTGAACCGAACTGAGCTAACAGTGCTCTGAAACTGATCCACTGACTGACTTGAAGGACACTTTTTATCTGTCATCCAGGGTAGGATTGGATGATTACAGCAATTATAATAATCACAATTATTTTGACTGATATTGAAATCACAATTAATAAACACAATTATTTATTGATTTCAAAACTTAAGGATTTATTGAAACAACAAAACTTAACTTTACATCTAAATCTTACAATCCTGCAAAACTTGGAACATGCAAATAAAAAAAATAATAAAAAAAATCCACGAATAACACAGCCAAAAAACAAAAGACTCTTTATATGTTTGTGTTATGTTTTGCGTATGGACCTCAGGAAGAATAGCCTGCCCTTGGCAAGTGCTAATGGGGATCCATAATAAAGTAAAGTAAAGTAAGGTTTTCAAAAAACTTTTTTGTAAACACAAAAAGGACTGAGCACAAAGTGCTTTTACTTCCTTAGCTGACCTCCTTGCAATTTGCCTCCTACAAACTTTGGGTTTTTTCTAGGAACAGCAGTCTGCTGACTTGGTCTGGCTTTAGAGACAAAAGAAGGCAGGTAACAACATTACTTCTTAATCACCTGGCTCCTTTGTCACCTGTCTATCACTATAGACCACTTTATGGCTATACATTAAGTGATTGAATAAGTTCAGTGTTTCCCCTAGGACAGGAATCTATCTGCGGTCGTATGTGATTTGTGATTATTAATAACTTTTAATAATGCACCTGCTCCACGGTGCAGCGCCCACGCGCGCATGCATGTACTGATACACGAGGCAGAGTTACAGCCACGTAAATTTAAAAATAAAACCCTAATTTTTAAGTTGTGGCGGCTTCCATTTAGCTGTGGTGGTGCGCCAAGGTCAGTTGCATATAGGGAGAACCCTGAAGTTGGTCGGATTGCCTTGGGCAGCAGACAAGACAGTGTGACAGTGTTTTGTCAACTTGAAACCAAAATGTTTTCAGATAACTAAAGTTGTCCTACCTTTCTTCTCAACCAAAGGCTGCCTTTCTGCCATGTTATCAATTGCTCGTTCCTCATATTATTGATCTACACACATAAAACTCTTGCTGCAGCTACACGGAACAGCACAGGAACTTACATACATGCCGTGAGGCGGTTTAATCATTTTTCTTCAATTATAATGTCTTTATGATCGTCAGAGGCCAAGATCGAAATCTGGTCTTAAACTTAGATCGAATCACCGTTACAGTCTTGCTTTATAAAACATTCCTTAGCGCTTTATTTAGAGATACTTCACAATAAAAGCATCGAAAGCAACCTAAATGCAAGACAGATAAAATTTCAAAATTATAAAAGCATACTAAACAAAGAGGTTTCAGGCACAGGTCTAGAGATGTGGTTATCGTTATCATGATATTTAACTGGGATGTGAAAACATGATGTTGTGACAGCCTTAGCTGCCATTTGTGCAGGATAACTTCAGTCCAACCAAGTTGCAGACATAGTGAAGCTCCATGCAGAGTTGGAAGATGGACCTCTGCAGTGAAATGCCAACAGACTTTAAGATTTCAGCATTTTCTCTGCAAAGTTAGTCAAATTGTGTGTGTGCTGTGCCTGCAGTCCAGATCTCAGCCTCATTCATCCTTTTATAAATACTTTGACAAAGTCGTGTTGTGATCCCAGCGTCACAAGTGTCATGTAGTTTTTTGTCTCTACAGTCATTTAAGTCCATTTAGTCTCATAGAGCTTCATAGTCAACATGGTCACACTTCATCAGGCCCTCATCATTATTCCCTGTACATAACTAGAACATTAGCAGCTCATGCACATGGCTCCCTCAGACTGTCATTTCTATATGCATGTTCTGGTTGTTTAAAATGTTTTTCTATTTTTATTCCGCTCGTGCTCATCGCTGCGCCTTCCTTAGGTCTCTACCTGCCACGGCAGCAGGAGCTACACTTCTAAATTAAACCTCATGAATTATTCTCACGCCAGTCTGCCTCTTGTTTCTCTCTACAGTGGAGGAAGAAAGTTTTCTTAAAGGAGATTATTTAGAAGTCATAAGAGCAGAGATGCTGCCGAGTGAGGCTCAGCAGACTGCAGAAATGTTGCAGCAGAAACATGTCGGAGTATTCTCAGAGGAATCGGTCTGCTTCTCTGTATGAACAAATTCCATGTAACGTTTTGAGTCACTGGAGTAGCTCTGCTCATCCTTCCTCATGGACTATAACACAGTTTATGTTATTATGTCTAAAACTAGAGCCTTGGATTTTGTGTGTTACTTAAAATGATTAGCAGGACCATAGTAGTCTTAATGGCTTCCTCTCAGTGGGACGATTTCTTTCTTTCTGAAGGCTCCTTCAGACTGAACACAAAAACAGAGGATGATGATGACCTGAGTTTAACAGGTCCATCCTTGCAGAGAGGCAATCACTGCTGTCTTCTACCAAAGTGAGGGTTCTGAACCGGGGGGCTGTAACAATGGTTTTTTCATTTCAAGTGGATACAGTCATCTTCCACGAACAAACAACCCCTGAGATGGTTGAATCTGTGCAGATACAACCCCAAAAAAGCAACAGTAGACATTTGTGCAGCAGGAGCAAAAAACATCCAACCCATGAAATCAGTTTAAAAGTTTTCAAGGATTGGCTTTATTTATTTATTTATTTTCTCCAAAATTCTCATTTTTCTGTTTTAAGCTAACTAAGAGTAATATTTGATCCTGAAACTGGATTTATAGTTAATTTAAAAAAAGGGGTTTAATGCTTGAACATTAAAAAACAGATACAGGGACAAAGTGTGTCAGATATAAAACCACTTACACTCACAGTTTTTCGATAAAAACAATCTATATAAAGAAAGACCTGCGTTATTCTCTAGTTTTTGGGTGTAATGAAATGCTGCATTGTCTTCCTGACTTGTTTCTGATCCTGCATTGACTGTAAAAGCTGCTCTGAAGGTTTTAGGACTGATGTGAAGGAATCTGCTGAGTACTTATCTTCGGTTGTTCTTGATTAAACCATTTAAGTCATGTGTTTATGACAGCAGGAAAACCCTGAAAGAAAAGTCTAATGGAGCCAAACAAGTAGCTGCTCTCTTCCTACTACCGCAGGATCTCTAATTTTTCCCCTTCCACCAACCTGTAACTGACCCCCCCAATCTTTGGTAGGGTTGATAAAATGCGTGTTTTTTTACTTTTGTAGCCTGAGTCGCCTGTGAATCCTATGTGACTGTGTGAGCGAATGAATGGTGTATCCGATGTAAAGCTCTTTGAGGGTCGCTGATAAAGTTCTTTATGAAATTTTATGTATAATAATAATAATAATAATAATAATAATAATAATAATAATAATAATAATAATGATATTATTATTATTATTATTATTATTATTATTATTATTATTAATAAAAATAATAATAATAATGATATTATTATTATTATTTTTATTATTACTCCTGATGATTTTGAAAATTATAATGCATTAGAAATTTACAGTCACCAAACTTTCTGCACAAAATATGTAACTGCGTAGGCTGTCTTTAAGACAACTCACAATGAGATGTTTCTCAATATGAGTTACTGTTGCTTTTACAGTTTAAATTGTGTGACAGTCATTATGTTTGGAGATGTATCGTATCCTTAGAAAGTCTTTTAATAATGTAAAAAGTGTCTCCGTTATGATATAAACCCCTTTGTTCACATATATAGGCTCAAGGACAGCGATTGACGGTCAGATTTGATCTGAAATGAAGAGTCCACTGAGGAAACTGGAGGACATACAAAGCCATGCTCAAATCTAATCTGACAGTTCTCCACTTTGTTACACTCAGTTAAATCCCACGGGTTTCACCTGAGGCTGACTTTGATTTGATTTCTACTCATGCAGTTTCATTCATCATCATGTCTTTGAAGAGCTGCAGACACCGAGCTAACATGGAGTTAACATGTGTCTGTGTTTCAGGGTGAATGAAATCAGCCTCTGAGTCCTCCTGGGTGACCCTGAACTCCACCACCATGCATCTCTGGAGTGCTGAGGTGGTCCCACACCCACTCCAGACTCACTAACCACAGTCAGGGTTCACCTGATGGCCTCCCGGCCCTGCCAAGCCTCAGTTCGCTCAGTGCTCCCTGCACCCTTCGCCCATCGCTGTGATGAAGACCGCCAGCCGTGCTCAGCCCCGCAGCAGCCCCCCGCTGGTCCAGATGAGGCGTTACGCTCCCGGGGTGTATCCTTTCCTGTTCCCCTCGATCATCAGCTCCCTGCCACAGCTCCCGCCGCCACCATCACCACAGAGGCTGCAGATCCAGCAGCCGTCCAGCAGTGGCAGCACACCTTCGCCTGTTGGTGAGTACTGACTCATACTGGCTGGTTAGACATTTGATTCCTTGAACTGATCTGAAAGCAGTACACTCACAATGATGTCCTCCAGTCTAAAACATCCAGACCGGTCATTTCTGGTCTTAAAGATAACGTCGGTCTATTTAGTATCAAAGCAAGAAGCAATGCAGTGCAACACTTTTGCAAGTTTAAGAGGAATAAGATGAGTAAAACCCAAATCTGAGCCCATGCAAAGTTGAGGTCCACCTCGCCCAACCTTGGTTCATCAGCTTAGAGTTGGTTTCAGAGGTACAGAGCATGCTCAGTCAAGCTTGAATGGCAGATTGGAGTGAACAAAAATACAAGTAATTAAATGACTTTTTCCAAATCCTTAGCAAGGACTTGCAAAACTGTTATTTAAAAAAAAAAATCCAGTTGCGTGGACCAAGTTTGCCTCCAGAAACTGCAAACAAATCTGGTTCTGTGTTGTTGTATGGTTCCAGTCGATCACATCTCCTCACCCCTCTCATGGAAATGGAATAGATAGTAGCGCTTCTGGGAAACCAGCATTATCCTGTGGTATAATGTCCACTTAGAAAAAAATGCTGCAGAACAAAAGGAGATTTTTCTGCTCCTTGATTTGCTGTACTCTAACCAAGGTACTTTGATCCTGAAGAGCCATTGCCTCTGTTTCTGAAAACAGGGCTAGGGTTAATTAATACTTCAATTTCTTGTTCATTTTAATGCCTGATACCACTTAAGTTATATTACCTAAAGAAAATGCTAAATATTACTAAAAATGAAGCTGGTTCCATAATATTTCATGGAAAGCTTAAGCTTAATTGTATTCCCAAGGTATATAAGAGGCCATTTCATGTCATTAGCAGCAATGCACATGCAAAGGCCTAGAGTGGCCTTTGCATTCAAGCCATAACAAAGAGCTAGCTAATTGAGGTATAGGAAACATCTTTCTACCCAGCAAAAGGACTGTGCACTCATCTGTTCCTGTGTCAGGAACCATCACTGTAGTTAAAGTAGCTGGAAAACAGGCAGGTCCACAGCAGCAGTGATCCAGATGAACCTACAGCATGATGAAGCTCAGAGACTCCCAGAAAAGACTGTGTTAGTGACTCTAGGGGGACATGATGGTTTAAAGTTCATGACAGTGCTGTACAGTCTTAAAGAGAATCTATTTCATAAATTTCAGTCATGCAGGGGAAAGCCTACTTTGTGTTACTGGAGGTACATGTTTTTCTAGGTCATCCCCTTTGAGTTCTGAAACAATTATTGGTGTAAAACCTGCAGAAGAGGTTGGCTTTCATATCATATCCTGGTGTCTAAAATTGAGCTGTTTTCAATTGTCTCTACTCAAAATCCCTCTTGAGGATTTTGATGTTTATCAGTCGGAGCATGTTGATGAAAATCTCCATCAACAGTGAGTAATCCAGACAGCAGTGTTGCTCCTGGATTATTTCCTCACTGTAACCGTCCCCCTGGTGTCTCCTGCAACTGTAGAAATATTCTGACACACTCTTGTTTGTGTTGCCTAAGCTTGAGCTCTGCTGTTTTCCACTTTCCTCTCTCTCACGTTTCTCTCCTCCCTCTCTAAACCCTCCACCACCATCCCTCCAAAATCTGTTTTGACATGAAAACCAGCAGGCAGCCTCACCCAGGGGGGGACTCTTCTCTGGGTGAGCAGCTCAGGTGTGCATCTTTGTGTGCTGCTCAGCTCTGAAGTGCAAATACACAAAACACAGAGCCAGACAAGCATCTCAGTGCTGTATTTTGGAGCCGATGTTTTCACATGGAGGAGGTTTCTTTTCCTGTTTTTAATGAAAATGTAAAATGTAGAGTCCAAATACTGATCGAAAAATCAAAGAGTCTTCACTTAAAATCTGCGGCAGCTTTATTGTAAAACTTTTCCTACCTTCAAATGTTATGACCTCAGTAAAAGGCAGTGTCTGCTTTGAGAAACTCTTTGGTTTAAGTTTTTGTTTGGTTCAATTTTTGCAGCTGCTTCAGTGAAACCTCAAAGTCCTACTGCCTACGGTTTCTGTTTGTGTTTGCTTTAAGGTCTATATAGGACCCCAAAAATGATCTGTTATACGTAAAGGATTCCTTGTGGTTGTGAAAGTCCACAAATTTAGGGGGAATTTCTACTTCTCACTTGTCATGTTTTGTGCCAGCTGCCATGACAGGAAAAGTATATCCCGAGTGTGGCCCACCTCGATCTTCAGACCATGTGTGGGAACTCACTCACTTGCTTTAGCAGGACATAAACATACATTATGATGAGTTTACATCTGTTTAATAACCGGTTTATAATTCCTCACAGGAGTTTTGACTGAGAACAAGCCTCATATACAAATATAGGGCCGCCATCTTGCACCGCCGTGTTTCTGCTGCAACGCAGAATGAACAAACTCATAACATTTGGAGCTTTGTGTTTGTGGGTTAGTGAAGTGTATCAGTCAGAATAAGAAGTGAGGGTTTTGCGGTTAAAAAGTTGACAAATTAAAAATTGTACTTGTCATGCTTTACAGAGACTTCTTGTCCTTAAACAGCCACTATCACTTCACTCATGGCAGGGATGAGCGGGGGGGCACTTCAGTCTCGAAGCTTGATATTGTAAAACATTCCCATTTCTATGCAGTGTACCTTTCCGCTTTATTGAGTCGTTTTGCTGATATTTGGACCTAAAACTTGTGAATTGTGTGTTACAAACATTATGGTTTTAAGTTTGTGTTTATCCTCCTTAACTTTTAAATACTTTTCTTCCTCAGTGTGCATCTAGTTTGTTCTGAATTTTCAAGTCATTTGCCCCCAAAGACCGAGGTTCATCCCACTCACAGAGATGAAAGCCAGTGTCTTTGTGTTGCATGTATACCTGAAGTAAAAACTATACTGTCAGTGTTTCAAAAAGCATGAAAAGCGTTGACTCCTGCAGCTAAGAGCGAGATGAAGAGAACATCAATACGTTTCTATGATCCTCTGGTTTGAGAGGAGCAGGATGAAGTGTGGACATGAAATATGCAGCGCTCTCATAAAGAGGAAAACAACAAAAACAAAAAGGAGATAAAAAGAGTACAGATGCCGTCTTCCTCCTCATCATTCTTTACTGTGTGGAAGATAAAACAGAGGCTGAATTATTCGCTGCATTAAAGACAAAGGAATAAGCTCCCTGAAACAGGAAGCTGTGTCTGATGGCGTCTGAACTTTAGACGTCAGGATGAAACAAACAGAAAGGTAATGAGCCCTGCTGTTGAGTCTGATTTCTGGATTTAAATGCATGATCAGGGCCGTCGCGGCATCCCCAGAGACTCAGTCAAACACTCGCTTGTTGTTGGGTCAGCGGTCCAGTCTGCCCCGCCTGCCGTCTCCCGTCTCCACCGGGGGGAATCTCAAAGGAAGCTGAACTCTACTGGAAACATCAGGAAACCTCTCGGGAACACTGGTGTCCCAGTCAACAACATGTGTGTATGAGTGTGTGATTAAAAAGACGAGGAAGAAACAAAGGGAGGATTGTAATCAGGCGCACAAACCAGCACATTAATTCAGAGTTTTCAATTCACTCTGCAGACACTTCCCTTAAAGCACATGAGGATTTCATCACATATGATAATTAGAGGGCTGATGCCTGTGTTTGTTGATTCTTACGCTTAGTTTTTAATATTTTATTCAGCTGAACTTGTATCAATGAACCGCATTGTTTCAGAGCAGTGAAGTTTATAAATATAAGCTTTATCCTCGGAGGATGCTGATACTCTAATTACTGATACAAACTTTTTATTTATTATACATCTAAATAATTTGAAAAGAGTTAGATAATCCACATGTGGTAGGATTTAAAAAATAATGAAAAAAGGCTAGAGGGAGATGCAGAAAGACATGGATGGATAATCAATCAGTTTTTATCATTTATTGAGTGACATCGACTGTTGTATAACAGCTGCTGCAGTCACAAAGTGAACAAAGCTTCAGTTAAAACTTTTATTTGCATCTCTGAAAGAGTTGCAAGGACAGAACATTGGTGGCTAATATTTCTTATTTAAATGCACAGTTGTTTTTGCTCATGCAGGTTGAAACAACATGTATGCACAGCAACCAGTCCTGAAGCAGTCTCTGCAGTCAGTCCCCTCTCAAAGTTGCCTGTCTGTCTAATATACTCAAACCACAGTCTTTGGACTAATATCAAACAGTAGATACTGATTCTCATTTAGATGCCTTATCTACAAATGGAGGCCTCCAAAGACAACACCATGACCCTAAGACCTTAGAAAAGTATGGACAATGCAGCAACTCCTTTTTAGTGAAACCAAAATTGTGAAAATTTCTCAAAATGCTTCAAAAATGAAAAAAAAAAAGACCCAAAAACTTTGTCAAGTTCAGTTGCCGTCTGCTGAGAGGGTGTGTTGAGTTTCAAAAGACAGATAAAGGGAGATGAACAAAGAAACAGACAAAAAATGGATCAGGTTTTCTCAGATATTGTTTGATCTTGACCGTTATGACGGCCAGTGTCGTCACTAGGAAAAAAAAGCTAATGTTTTTGCCAGATGACTGACCTCTACTGCATGTTAAAATGGACATATTTTTATAGATCTACTGGAATATAGAGCAAATGTTTTTTTTTTTTTTTTTTTTTTGCAGAGGCAGATTTCTTTCTGCTGCCTAAATTTCAGGCAGATGCAGCATGTCTGCATAGCAACCAATCCTAAAACAGTCCCTGCAGTCTGTTCCCTCTCAAATTTAGGAAATGCACACTCACACACCTACACATTCATCATTTTTTCCTGCAGATTTATCCCCCTCCTCCTTCTCTTCCTGTCTCCCTGCCCCGTCTTTGTCTGCGTTGCTTATTTCTCGTCTGCAGACTGTCTGTCAGTGTTTCCCTGTTGTTATTTTAGAATCCATCGCAGGGTATTTAGGTCACACGCGGTTTCTCGTCCTGGCAAAGTATGAATAATGCAGACTTCTCTCATTACACCATGTGCTAACCCTCTGGATTGAAAATCAATGTGCACTCAAGTGGCTGCTGAATGAATGGAGCAAACTCTGCGGCCGCTCTGCTGAGAGCGTCTCATCACGCACCCTGAAGGTTTCTATTTGAGCAGGTTCGTAGCTTTAACCAAATACAGTATGGGTTTGATGAGCTGTCTGCGAGAGAAAGAGACGCTGTGTCTTCATTCGCTAAGGGCTGAATGTGATGAGAACAAAAAAAGATTATTGGTCATTGACAATGTGCGGAGGAATGTCTGCAAACTGGAGCATTGTGGGCCTGTATGACTGATTGAAGAAGGGGCTGGGAGTTTCTTTTACCCCCACTGTTTCCAACCTCTCCGTGCACTCCCTCCTACAGTTCAACCATAGTTCACACTGCCAGGAGTCTCCCCCACTCCCTCCCCCACATCCCCCTATGTAGCGCTGGGAGAATCCTATACATACATGCTGCTGCACATTCCACGCATACACTGAAAGCGTGTTTACGAGCTGATCTACAGTTTGTCTCGGCTTTGGAAAGGTGCCCGAGCCGCTGCGAGCTACACCGCTAACCCACTGCGATCACACCAGCCATGGGGGGGTCTAATGGTGAGGGTTTTTTTTTTTTTTTTTTTTATGGCAGAGACCCCCAAACATCTGGCACACATCTGGAGTTGTTTAATGAGCAGCTCAGTCTGCCTGACTCTTAACTCGGAGCCCACCATCAATCCCCTTCATTTCTCAAGATGTCAGGAGATTTCAGCCTCGTCTCCTCCCTGACAGGAGCCAAACGATGTCGATACATGACTGATAACAGCCTGTGAGGGGAAACATTTGGAAAGCTCCGCTCTGGAAATGCTTCTTATGGTTTTAACTCGCTCAGAGCAATAAACAAACTGAGATCTGAGCTGCGTTGATTGCAGAGCTTACTGGAGTTTATTGATATGGTTTCTCTGTCTTTCACCTCTGGGCTGACTCGGGGCTCTTTTACTCCTTGTCTGTGTTTGTGTCACAAAAATCTTCCTCATAACAAGGATAAGGTTATTACTGGGACTGAATCCAAGCTCATTTGAGATTCCTCCTCTGGAAAATAAATCAACTTTTTTACTTTTTTAGAACAACCGTCAAAGGCGTATGAGAAATCCCAAATTGGCTGCAGACTTTTACATAAACTATATATTGTTCATTCATACAAGCATGCAGCACAGAGAGTTTGGCAAAGAACACACAGACAGAAAATAACAGCAAAGAGCTCAAAAGATAAAGGAATAAAACAAATGGTGATAGTTACAGTGAACCCCAAAAGACTATGAGGAAGCAGAAAAAAGTGAAACCAATAAAAGGTGTAAAAGATAGAGATGAATGAAAATAGAGAGATGGACCGCGGTGAGACTGATGCAGCAGTGATCCAGCGGAACCTACGACATGATGGAGCTCAGGGACTCTGCTCTCTCCTCCCACCGGAAGGACTCAAACATGACGGGGAACATCAGCTCTCTAACTAACAGCAGGGGGAGACTCCTCTGGTTGCAACACGAGGTCAGATGTGAAGTCTGTGAGAAAATCTGCCTAATTTCACTTGATCTATTAGCCCTGTGAGTATTTAACGAATGAGTTTATGGTCCCTATCAGGAGCTGTAAGTGGCCTTAATGCAGCACATTGTGTATTTTGTGTATTATGGTTCCATTTGGAGTTAAATCGACACCACAGCAGGGTGTGATTGAGGCTGTGGCTACTTTGTGATTTACAAGACATCATAAGTGGGTCTACCAAAGAGGAGGAAGATGGTCTCATGTGTTTAGAGCAAAGCTGTTCGTCGGTTCATGATTCAGTATGTGTGAGTGTTTTTTTTTGTTTTTTTTTTGGTATTTCTAGACGTTTTCTTAATGTATTTAATTTCATGCTCTCAAACTCTTTCCAGTCAAATCTGCAGACGTTTTGAAGCAACACTTTTTTTTTCATCCAATGCACGTCTCAATGTATGGTTTCCCCTGCCTGTGGTCACAGCGCATTCTCCATGGTAGCCGCTCATAAATCAGGAAAATGGCTCCTTTTGTATGTTCATTAATAGGCACAACATGCGTCTATACAAAAGCTCAACTATTCTTTGAATGGACTTTGATTGAAAGCCGGCCTTTCTAACAGCAGCATTCTTATTCCTGCCCTGTAGCAGCTTGTCTAGCTGTCCGGCCTCTTATTTATTACCCCTTGAAGATGAGACAATGAAAAAGCAGTTCTCAGAGCCGTGTTTGCATTGAGAGGCCCGCAGCACAAAGCAGCCGGAGAGCATCTCATTGTTCCGCAGGGCCGGCCGAGATGCGGCTCGCTTCAAAGATGGTGGAGGTGGGTGGTACGGAGATGGAGGAGGGGATCCTAAACTATCCATGAGGGGTAGATTTCATCACAGGAAGGGATGTGGGGGCAGGGAAAGCGGGGTGGAGCTGGAGATCCAGGAGTCAAACACAGGCCAACATGAACTTTCAGGAGCTAAATTTGGTTCCCATCTATAGGAAGCTTTACTGCGCTCAGGTTTGTGCCATGCAGAGGATGCAAACACTTTGAAATACGGTCGAGGTTTAGATCACAGCACACATATCGTGCTCTTGCAACTCAGGTTTTTATAAGAGTCTTAAGTGGTGATGCAAATAAAACCCGGTAGTCGCAGTAAAACCAGCGAGCAACGTCCAGCTTCCACTCTGTGTTTGCCTTCATTTGATCTGGAAATGGGACGAAGGCCGAGGAGAAATGAGCAGTATTTCTGAGCTACACACAAAGAAGCCATTTACTGTGTTACTGTGAGTTGTGTGTATGAACCTGCAATTGTAAGGCAGAGAGCCCAAGTCTGCAGTCAGAGATAAGTTGGACGGATGTTTGCTCTCATTCATAGAGAGCCAATGAGCTGCACTCAGCTCAATGTGCTGCTGATACTCCACAACATGCAGCCCGACTCTGAAATACACCCTGATGTTAAAAAAAGGGAAAAAACCTGGAGGTTTCAATGAGAGGAAACATGCACACAGTCAGGAGACAGTATGTTTTTAAAATGCCGGCAGCAGTGTCAGACCTTTGTCGCACACTAATGAGAGCAGTACATCGTTTACAGTAGGTCTTTGTCGTCTGCAAATTTGGCAGGTAACTTCCGAGAGTTTCGTCATTTTAGAGTCAAACATACGCACACCACAACCTACATTTGCCAGCAATGCAGCAAAATGTCTGTAATGTGTTTGGTAAAGCTGGTGCAACCCTCCTGCACCTGCTACAGGGATTAGAAAATGTACCAAGATCTGCAGACCCTCAGTGTGGACTATCATGCACATCTGGGCCAGTGCCTTTAATGTCTCAGTGCCTCTGCATTCATTTAGCTTCGATGATAATAAAGAGAATATGGAGCAATCCAACCAAACCAGTCCAGACCAGACGGATGAACATTTGCCTCACCTTTACATCAGCCCCCTAATAAATTGTCAGCCTAAAGGATGCACACACCTGTGTGTCACAGACCGGAATGACTGTGGATGCTGTAAACAAATGTCTCAGGTCACATTAGGTTCCCACAGACACTCAGAGGCTGCTGTCTGTGCTGAGATCTGTCACGCTGCAGTGTGCACACGGTGGAGCCCTTTGTATAGATACAGAGCTATATTTAGCCTCTGGTCACAACTTAGCTTCTAGCTTATCAATGACTGTAGCCTGAGTGCGCTCAGTCTGTGGATGGGTGGACAGATGGATGGATGCTGGTCAGATGCTGCAGAGATAGTCCAGTTCTATTAGAGCAGCAGTAGCACCACCACACTGAAGCTGCTTTCCTCCACGTCTCTGTTCGGTTCTTGGCTTCAGGTTTCCGGCCTCCACCAGCTCACACAGCCCATGAACAGATCCCTCTAATCGAGTGAGTTTGTCTTGGGAGAAGGCCAGCAGACTGTGGAGCCTTTCTGTTTCTGGTGGAGAGCCTGAACAAAAGGTTGTTTATGTGTGAAGGCTGTTCTCTCATACAGGGAGCCCGGTTGGCTGTGTGTGTTTGTGCCGATGTAGGCAGGCTGGCTTTGAAAGGCGCTAAGCCACATACTCCTGGGTTCTGCAAAGCGGCGGCGGCAGTGGCGGCAGAAACTCTGTAGAGCTCTGATGACTGATTGGGAGCTGCTGGATGTACGTATGGAGCTGTAAACAGACAAAAGACAGACAGAACAAACAGAGCAGAGACAGATGGATGCTTTCACTCCCAAAAACTCTGTTCTGCTCTGGTTCAGCTTCATTTAGAAAAGGCATAAAATCGCTTCAATGAGTAATGACAGGAAGGGAACAGGACATGGAGGGATGATGTGGCGTTGTTTGAAGCTGATTTTGCATGCAGTTTATATCAGTCAGGAGGGTCTTTTAAAAGAGGAACCTGTGCAGGACAGTGGAGCTATTTTCTGTCTGCAGAGATAATAAGTCTCTTTATCCTAGCTCTTATTCTCCCTCTGAAGGACTCCTGATGCCTCAGGCAGAAGACTTGACCTGATGCCCTGAGCCAGCTCATGAACGGCCAACAGAGAATCTATAATGCTGCCAGTTTACTTCACGGTAGCTTGAAATGAACTGTAATAATTGGCTTTTATCGTTTCGCAGCATGGTGAAAAAAGTTTGGGTTTAAATGGTCAGATAGATATCAGGACTCTTTTTCTTTAGGATGGGGTTGCAGGAGAAAAAAAAGCAGCTTGTAATCTAAGTATTTAATCATTACGTGCATACGTGTGCCTATCTTTGTGTGCAACTTAAGTGCAAATACAAACAGATCTGTATATCCTATCCCTGTGCGGTAGTGTAAGCATAAGCGTGTCTTTTTAAGCCAATTTTGTGCACCTGGACTTTATTTATACAATCACACAAGCACTTCAAATTAACAGACCAGCAATTTACAGGGCTGTTACCATCTTGTGGAACACACCAGGACTTTAGCACTTACTCTTTGCATTTAAATTTATGTGATCTGTCCCTTGTAATCAATAAAAATAAAAAAAGGGCTATTGCTTTTTTTATGGTGAGGTTGCATGAATCTTATGTCAGCTGCAGTGGAGAAACTGCCGAGGGAACTGGCATGCAAGCTAGGCTACAGTTTGAGAGACCTTGATCCATATGTGTGCAGAATCCACAGATAGAGCATAACAAGAACTCATGAGGGCAAAATAAACTGTGTGTGTTTGTTTGTTAATGATGCATATTTGTGCAATGCCAGTCATATGAAGTGTTCCTGCATGTGCTCTTAGTGCTGTGTCCCAGTGAATTAAGCACCCTCGTGTTTCTATTCTGCTCATGTTAGTACCTTTACATTTTTTTATCCATAAATGTCTGCCTGATGTGTTTGGAAATAAATCTGCAGGGGTTGCGTTGCTGCTGCTGGTAGTGGTTGCAAGAAAGGTAAACCACTATTCTTAAGTTATTATTCAGCACATTTAATGAACATTAAAGTCGATGATTCTGCCTCCTGTCACTCAGAGCATGGAGGGGCAAGGCTAACACACAGTCGCCTTTCTTGTACTTGTGTCGATTTGTATGGAGGACGAAAAGAGAGTTAAAGTGAGTGAAATATATAAAAACACCTTTAAATAAATACGTCATATATGTCATTAATTAAAATGGGAATTAAATAAATAAATGTGTCCTTAAATGTGTCATTAATTTATTAAAATACCAGTTCAGTCAATGTAAAAACATAATAATTATTTTACCATTTACTTAATTATTTCATGGATCTGTGTTGCAGTGCTTCATGAATTTATTTTAGCTGTCAAACTCACCCATCAAAGTCAGTGGGCGGATCCTAACACCTGATTGGTTACCCGGCACATCAAGTCAGGACAGATAAACTCCAGATATTGGATTGATGCAGCCACTCCACGCTCAATATCTTGGTCGGAGAGTGCGGGAATAACTCCAAAAATTTCACTTAATTCCTCTGCTTTACACACTACATGCTCTAGGCCAACGTTTCTCAATCAGTTATTTAAGTCACGGCACCTTTCAACAGTGCATAAAATCTCACGCCACCCCAGTTTAAAGTACAATTAAAAACAACACCGCAGAGCCTCACTCTTAATGCGACTGTCCTGTTTATTAAGATGGGACAATATCAGTGAACAGAGCATAATACAAACTGAAAATGCATCAGAGATATGCAGGAATGTTTCTTTACATCCGAAGTGTTAGTTTACATCCGTGCGTCACTGCCCGGCACACACACACACACACACACACACACACACACACACACACACACACACACACACACACACACACACACACACACACAATAATACTCAATGAGAGAGGAAGAGAGATAGTCCCACATATGCACAGCGAGTAGGCACGTGCTCACACTCACTAGCATTTACCTTTGTGACCTCTGGTATAGACTCAGAGCTGGTGGACGAAGGTTTCCACACACTCTGCAAGGTCTAAAATATCGATAACCAACACTAACTGAGAAAGTTGGAGCATATCCTCTCTGGACACCAGGTTTTAAAAGACCAGTTTCAGACCAAAGTAATGGATCACACTAGATCAGCTTTAGCCCCGCCTACTGACTTTGATGGGTGAGTTTTAAAGATAAGAAAAATTCATGAAGCACTGCAACACAGGTCCGTGAAATAGTTAATTAAATTGTCAAATAATTATAAATGTTTCTACATTGAATGAACTGGTATTTAAATAAATTAATGATGCATTTAATGACACATTTATTTAATTCCCATTTTAATTCATTTATGACATATTTAAGAATTTATTTTAAGATGTATTTATATATTTCATTTGGTCTCTTTTCGTCCTTCATAATTTGAAGCAGAGGCATGTCCCATCCAACTGTGATACTGAACCGCTGTACTACATCTTTTGTTGGCAGCTCTTTTCTCTGAGCTTTTTAAAAATTCTTTCCCTCTTATGATTTGGCCTAGGCACAAGAGGTCTGTACACTCAAAAACCGAGGCCAAAGGATGCTGTTTAAAGCTTTTGATAGAGCTAATAAGTAGGCCTTAAGTGTTTTATTTAGTTAAACTGCTGTTCCAAAAAATAAAAAAATAACTTGGAGACCAAAATGATGCTTTCTATCATGATTAAATACTTTTATTTCCTTCCCTTGAACGATCTTGTGTCTCACTTGTTATACCTTGGAGTCTTTTTGGCTGTCTGAGTCACTGTGTAGGTTTAACTGATCTAATGTACATTACCTGCTCGGAGCTTAAAAGGACATTTTACATTTAATTGTTTCTGAACAGTAAAGCCTGAACTAAGAAGAGCCAAAAAAGAGCCCCTGTAGGAAGACAGAGGAAAATCAGATCCAGAGAGGAGAGGAAGAAGAAGAAGAGGAGGAGGCTGGGAGCAGAGGTGGGGGTGAGGGGATGTTAACCATCCGTCGGGCAGGCTCTAGTCCGGGTCACTCTTGGCCCTCAGGAAGGCCCTTCTGCATTCCTGTCCTCTGGGTGACCCCTCCTCTGGGGCCGCGAGACGTATTGGAGTAATCAGCTCCTGTCAGCACCTTGGTTATGCTGCATGGACTCAATCCAGGGGATGTGAAGGGGACGTGTAATAGCACCTGATGAAAAGTAAGTTTGTTTGCACTGAGAGGAGCCTGTGCCACTTTTTCCCCTTTTTGTCCAGGTTTTTTTTTATTCACTGTGTGTTTTGCTTTCTCCACATATCCGTCTGTTTCCAACACAAATGGGAAACCACAGCCTGTTTCAGTGCAAACCAGTAAAACACTGTAATTGGATTCAGACAGATGTGCAGCCTCAAACAGAAGGATGTTAGAAAAGTGAAATGTTTTCTGTGCGGGGAATGCTGATGAAGATGTGAAAGTGAGTCAGATGAGCTGATATTTTATCATTATGTCGGGAAAGATTTCAAAGAAACCAGTTTCTGGAAGAAAAGAAGCACTACTGTTTTTAAACAACTACAAATGTTCAGATGTCACAAAGTCAAATTATTATTATTATTATAAAGTCACTGGTAGTGTTGATATGAAGCAGAAGAAAGTTAACAAAAGTCAAAAACATTAGGAGGTAAATTTGAGGTAAAGTCCAAATTATGCAATAATTTGCCAAAACTACAGAGAATTAGTCAAAAATCTGAGACAAATTGATATCATTTGGTCAAAACTATGAAATAAAACCCGATAAAAAGGTCAAAATGGGACATAAATGAGCCAGTGTTTGATAGCATGACTTAATTAAGTCAGCAAAAGCTAAAATGTCCAAATAACTGGATAAAAGTTCATTTAAAGATAGGAGCTTGAACAACATTCAGGAAAGTAATGACAGACAGAAGGTAGAGGTATTCGATGGCAATGTTGCCATGCAACTGACGATTGCTGTTTTCAAACAAAACAGAGCAACAAACTGGCTAACTTTAAAATCCACTCGTTCCGTGAGACTGGCAGCTACTGACAGCTTCTGTGACTTTAAGGAGGTTTTCTATCTCACAGTGGAGATTTTTGTATTTATCGAGTTTATGGAGCAAGTCTCTGTTGTTAGCTCAACTCTGCTTATGGAGGGCTGCCATCTTTGTTATGGTCTGTCTACTGTATCTACGATCAGCTGACCTTTAAAGGCCCAATCATGAGACAGCCTTTATTGTCCCAGCAGATCAGTAAAGGTCACTCATGGCACAATTTGTGATGTTGAAGGAATTAAAAAAAAAAACACAATTAGACCCATACTAGCATTGATACCAACACAATCCTCTCAATTCCTCAATGGAGTGGCCATGGGTCCCCTCAAGTTTGTGCCCTCTGACCCCCTTCAATTAAACTAATGACTAATGACCTAATTTGATCACACCAGCCAAATGTGTCATCTTGGTCTATTAAAGTACATCTATTTTATTAAGGCATCTGCTGTAAAAACATAATGAGTGAGTGAAATGTTGGGAGGTTCTAACAACAGTTTTTTTTTTTTTTTTTTTTTTGTGGTGACTCTTTGGAAGATCCTGATTTGCTGTCTTTTCTCCTATAGTCAGCCCGTTAATCAGCTCTAAATAAGACTGCTCGTTGTTATTGTGATGTTTGGTGTCTTTTACTTCAAACTCACGGGGAGGAAACAGCAGAAAGACGGGCACACAGCTGAAATGTATTGATTTTCTGGCACCGCCCTGCTTAGATTAAGAAATGCCAATACGAGGATTCCACCCGGACTCTCTGGTTCATGTCGAGTTCACTTGTCATTTTCTATAATTCTGATAAAATCAAGATGCTTAGTGGTGATGTAGTTAGCCATGCTGGGCCGCCCTGGGGCTCTCTGATTGAATTAGACGTCTGTGCTCGGCCATTTGGTACCAGTCTGAAGTATTCCCAACACTTAATGGGAGCAGAAGTTATTTACTGTTTTCAGAGACAGGATTCATAAAAGAGAACAATGCTGCTCTTCATAAATTAAACAATTAGGACTCCTTTAGCTTTCTTACATCTAATGTTACTGTTTACATTTTCCCAACAGGCCCCACTCTGACTGCCCGAGCAGCAGATTTCAGATAGGATTTATCCTCTTGGGCAACCAAAGGCCTGTTTACATACATCATAATTGAGCTACTTACTGAGAATTTTTCCATACAGCTGAGATTTTTTAAAGATTTTTCTGTTTGCTTAGTGACAGACAGTCTGATTTATCTATGTGGGAATCTGCCATTGTTCAGTCTGTTTCAGATTTACTTGAACTTTACACTGAAGCTTTAAAAAAAATCTCAAAAACTTCAGAAATGTAGAAAAGAGATGACTTTTCATAATGAATGGGAGAAAAGAAAATCTCTGCTTAGATAGTAGAAGATATTTCTGTTTAATTAAGAAATCTATCAGAATGAAAGACTCAAGTGTTTCTGTAAAACTACTAATGGCTCTGTTATGTTCAGGTTTCTCCGTTTGCCATAAAAGTCTGACAGAGAGACTGATACCAGGAGCTCAAACCTAATTAGTTTAATAGAATCAGCCAGGTTCATTCTTTTCATTTACTCCTGGGATTTTTTGACTCAATCAGAAATGTCCTCTAAAATACCAATGGTCAGCCAACGTCAGTGGAACAAGTGTCATGACTTTGAGTCCTTAAAGCAACAGAGAAACAAAAGTTTTACATCAGACTTATATCTGGAATATAAATCACACAAGTATATAGAGCAGTGGTTCCCAAACTTTTTTTCATCAAGGCACACTAAAGGAAAAGTAAAAATCTCAAGGCACACTGATTGTGCAAAATAGCCTTTACAACACCTGTTATCACTGATATCATGTAAAATATCTGTAAATGTGCATAATGATTTACTGATGCCAAATTAAATGTGACAGACAACTATATTACTCATGAAATAGTATTAATTAACAAAATATTTCAAAAATTAATTTTAAACTTTATCAAATTAGGCTCAATCAAAGCAAAAACACACCAAATTAAACAAGACAGGTCACAAAATTAAAAATGAGGCAAAGCAAACTCAGCAGAAAAAAATGTTTTCATTCCTGCCCTGAAGCTTGGCATTTAACTCGTTGAGATGCCCAAATATAGATATAAATGAGATGCACCACTTCTTATTCGCCAGCTTGTCCTTATATGGGACATCGTGTTCATGTGAAAATTCTAAAAGCTCCTCCCAAAGCTCATAAAGATGGGATAGGACTTTTCCTCATAACAGCCAATGTATCTCTGTGTGGAGGATTCGTGGTGGGTTGTCTCAGCGCTGGTGGTTGGTGGTTTGCGCCACACAAGAGATGTTAATGTTGTTTAAAATTAAAATTCCCACTTGCGCAAACAGCGAAATATGTGGTTCTCTTTGAGAATTAAAAAAAAAAAAAATGTTTTTTGTCTCTAATTGGGAGGTGATTTCTATTGGGTTCAGCAAAATCAGCAATGTGCAGTTTTTTTGCAACTGTGTAGCTCTTTCTAGTAAAATCTGTTTTCACCATGAGGAGTGTGAAATATTCCAAATCTTGTAGTTGAGCTCTGACTTTGGCAACTTTGATTGCTCTGAGGCAACCAATTCACCAAGACTTACAATTCTTCCAATTAAACTCACACTCCACAAGGTTTATTTACTTTATACTGTCAGTTCCACCAATGCATGAGACACTTAACTTTTCTGATGGCATTAAAAAGATGTCAAAGGTGTGTTTTTGCACTAAATTTGACAGTAGTTCATTTCACACATGCACAAATGTACCTTCTTTTACCCAGCATTATATCAATGCAGTATCTGTGGCCACTGTAAGGGTTACCACATACCAAAGTATGCTAAGACTTCAAGATCCTATATGCATCTTATGGTATTAAAGCATCTCATGGTAATAAAAAGGGAGTGTGAGAGTGCAAGAAAGGCTGCAGTTCCTTGGGTGTCCACTTAAGGCTGACTCGAACCCCCATGAGAGCCCAAATTAAAATCCCTATTTTTACTGTTGAACAGATTTACAGCCTGGTAGGAAAACCTGGTTCTGGTCCCTGTAGCTTGTTCACAACAACTTTATGGGGGCTTAATCTAAACCAACTTGACACCAATTGACTTGGCAATCTTGGCAACAGTGCTATCAGAATTTCTAAATATGAGGAACCAAAACATAACATAGGTCACACAATGTTGGATTTTTACTCATGAGCCTAGGCATTTAGGTCCATGAGAAAATCAAAACTTTACTCATTGTTGTCACAGCATTTCAACCAAAGATCTGGGTTTGTTCTTGCGAAAATGTAGCCAAAATAGTCATGAAATATTGAGCAAGAATTGCATGTGTGTTTGCAACAGACAGAAAGGTTTGAGACAAAGAATTGGTATTTGGCATTACATGGTGATGGGTAGGTGTTTTTCTGACAAAGCCATGTAATATACTTTCCTCTCATCAGTCTATATGTGGTGAAGCAAAACATGTACTAACTACAGCCTTGTCCCTGAGATTTAAAATAACTTACATTTCACAGCAGGATTGACGGTGAATGGATTACCTTTTTTCTTTTTAATTTCCATTGTGTTTCTCTGACCGTGAGCGTGTTGGTGTGGATGTGTGTGCGCCCATGTTTGCGATGGCCATCAATAGAAAGAGAGTGGAGGGAGAGATTAGGTAACTTTGTGTGCTAATCCCTGTGAAATCACCGGCCCCGGGGTGAGGTGGGGAGATAGGCGAGTGCTCCTCTGATCAGACGGGCTGTGGCTCACCATGTGAAGCCGCCTGAATGCCTGGTAATCCCCCCCAGAGCCGAAGAGAAGCCTGGCTGACTGATGGGCAGCAAACACCGGGCTGCTGCCTCTAAAACTCTTCATCACGACTACGACTGTGAAGACTGCGGGCGGGTTAAGGAGGTGAGGGCTGAGGTGATGTTTGGTGAGGAGAGCTGAGGAGAAAGTTGATTCTGCTGTCAAATAGGCCTGATGATCACAGCTGTCTGTCTCAGCCTATTTCCAGCGGAAGTAAATTTTTGGTGATTGTTGCACATTTGTAGGTTTTGATGATTTTGTGTCAAGTTTGTGCTCATCAAGTTTTAGATGTTGTTAGCCTCAGATCCCACCTCCTTAATTTTTTAAAATATTTATCTTTATGTCACTGATATCCAGCGATTCCTGGTTAATGCAGATGCATTAGGAGTCCTATTTTCTTTTCCATTTTCTAATTTCCGTGAATGTAAAGTTGTGTATACACAGGACATTGAGGCAATGGAGTGGTCTCAACAGACCAACCAGAGGATGACCCTTTGACCTGAGTTTCCCACAGTGCTTACTGTTCTGGGGCTAGTTGTCACCCTCAGCAAGTGCTGTGGTGAACTCCTCCACCAAAACAAGTGAAGTCCTATCAGCAGACCTGATCACTGCAAAGAAAAGTCTCTCTCTGCAGTGGTAACCTCCTCATGGTATCTTGTGTCCACTGGCTTTAGAGCTTCTTCACCTGAAATAATCTTTCGAAAGAATCAGTGTTGTGCTGTGTTCAACAATTAAAAAATAAGCTTAAAAAACAGGTCGGTTAGACTTTCAAATCTCCTCAGAAACAACAGAATGAGCAACAAACTGTGTCAGAGCAATTCAACCTCATTATACTGATTACCTTTAGTGCAACATGCAGAGGAAAAAACACCCACACACTTGTGTACATGCATGTTATGACCCTCAGAAAGACACAAATACACTCAGATTTGATTGTAAATGAAAAAGATCCATCAGCCGGTGTTTTTCAGGAGACGGAAAAGTAAACAATGGAGGCGGTCACATTAGGACACTTAGACAGAAGTGTAATTACTGCTCCTCCATCGACCCAAATCTCCAGCAGGGGACCCATCTCTGAGGGTGCTCAGGCTGTTAGCGCTAAATGAGCTCACTTTATTGCCTTCTAGTTTGTAATGGCTCTCTCTGCCATACCTCTGGCTAGCGGTACACGTCTTTAACCAATCACAATCAGCGCCCACAGTCAATGTTTATTAGCTATTGTCTTGTACAGAGCAGACAATTATGTGTACTTGACTTGAAATGCGTTGCTATGACAGCGGGAGGCTGTAGGTTATAACTTTAACTTCACTCAGTTCAGTTTCCAGCTGTGCAGCTGAGAGGTGGAGGAGCTTTATTACAGCTGCTGATCCAGACTGCAAACCAATAACATCCTCATGCATGTGTTTGGCTTTTTGTTTAAGGGTTGGCTTTGCAAACTTCTATTGTACATAAAAACTGCAGAATGACAAGGCTTCAGCATATGAATCATTTAATAGCACCAAAAATATCCTAAAGCCCTTACTTTTGCTGCTTTCCCTTGCAGCATTTTTTACATGTTGCTGCACAAAGTAAAACTCAAGTCTTAGGAAATTGAAGAGCTTCAGATCTGGCAGGATTGTGTTTATTTCTCTAACTGAGTGCAGTTTTTGGAAATATCCCTGTCTTCCATTTCTTTGTTGAGATAGATAATGAAATAAAATGAATAGTCCTGCATCTGAATGATGATGAGAAACTAAGGTTAGGTCATGATCACCGAGCCCAGCGAAAAGACTGAAAGAAAAGGTCAAGTTTAGTACCTACAAAACATAGTGATCAGTGTGTTCTGAGCAGGTTCTGAAAAGTTAAAATAAAGTTTCATATTAAAAGGATTTAAGTTTATTTTCCAATGGCCACAAATCAATTCAGAACCCTGTCTGACTGAGTTTGATCGGAGCTGATGCTGTTTAATAAAACTCAGTCGTCCTCAGATAGTCCTCCTCCTCCTCTCATGAATTGCTTATTTCTCTTGTTGTCTCTTGTCTTTGTCCATTAGAGAGATGATTTGCATTTGAACTTTGGGCTGGCAGCTGTTGACCTGCTGCTAACAGCTGAAGATTTCCTGATATCGGACAGAGCTGTCAGATCATTACAATCTGTTTCCCTGTGTGGCATCACACTGCATCCTCTCTGACATTTCAAGAAGTTGTCCAGTATGATGTGCCATAAGTCTGAAATTAAAAGGGTGTAACCTCTGGGTCACATGACTGTTTTGTTGTTGGTTTTTTTAGGTTGATCTGTGCATTGTAAAGGTGCTGTAAGGAGAACTTTGAACTTTAAAACTCTGAAGTAACATGAAGCTAAAGGGACACTCTATGTGAGATTACAGAGATCTGAACAACGAGCCCCCCAGCTCATAAACAAAAAGATTCATATGTAAATATTCACTCACATTTTCGAATCAGTGCTCTGTTTTAAATCCACACCCGCAAACTCATAATCCTCACCCACTGATTTTCAGTCTGTGGGTTTGGTTCTCCAGCAGTAAGTATGGAATTGATAACATTATTCTTGTCTTCATTAAACCGTGGACCGAGTCTGAGTCCCTCTTTCCCAAAACTTCGGGTTGTTCTAAGGCCAGAGAGAACACATAATCCTCCAGTGTGGTCCAGGTCTACCCCAAAAATCTCCTTCCAGTTGGATGTATTTAGAAAACATCCAAAGGGAGGCGTGCAGGCGGCATCCTATCCAGTCACCCAAATCACCTTCCTCTGATAGAGCAGCAGCTCTACTCAAATCTCCTGACCCATCTCAAAGACTGATCCATCTATTTTTTTGGAGCAACCTCATCCTCATCCTTTCCATCACAGCCCAAAGCTTATGACCACCTTAGAAGATTGTAACACAGATGTACTGGTAATTCAAAAGCTTTGGATTCAGGTTCAGGTCTCTCTTTACCATGATAGTCTACCACAACACCTGCAGTGCTACTGAAGCTTCATCGACACATCTACCTGTCCCTCAATCCATTTCACCCCCACCTGTAAACAGACCCCAAAAACCCCAGCACTCCTTCAGCTGGTGATGATCAGGTGATGATTTACTCCCCACTTGGAGGAGGGCGAACCACTGTTTACTTTGCCTCGAACCATAAGGTGCCAACCTTCATTCCCAATCATTATTTATTAGGTTACAAACCACCGAAGAGAATGCTGGAAGTCCCAGCCTAACGACACCATCAGCATAAAATGACGATCAAATCCCAAGGCCCTTAAAGGGATATTCCGGAGTAAATTTAGGTTCTTTCTTTCTTTCTTTCTTCTTTATTTATCTCAAACTTGAAGAACAACAACAACGACAAAAAAAAACCCCAACTAGAAACAAAAACACTGAACAAAATGATGCATATGTACACCAAACAACTGTACATGTCAAAGATAAATTTACACAACATATGTTTGTTTGTTGAGAAGGAACAGAATGAAGCAAAGAGCTTAGTCCTGCCCCTTCCTTGCAAACTAGAGATTAAAAAATATATAAATTTGTATAAATTACAAAGATCTGTATAAATACCTACATATTATACACAAGATGTCTGCTCAACACTACATGGGGTACTTATTATAATTATTTGCATATTATAATAATAATCAGTGTTAATAATAATAATAATAATAATAATAATAATAATATTCAGAATTAATATTACTTCTGTGCAATCAGGTATATCTAGTATAAAACCATTTTTATTTTTTTTAGTTTACTTATATGAATCTTTTAATACTTCTCTATACTTTGATTTAAATATTTTTATTTTATTGGACATTTTTAAAATGACATCCAGGAGGCTGTTCCAGTGTTTAACACCACAAACAAAAATGCACACACTTTTCAGAGTTGTATGGACAATCGGACAAGTAAATTTATGTTAACCCCTTAGATTATGGTCCGTCCAACACACAACGTAACACTGAGTTTGACCCCAATGTTCTTCCTTGAGCTGCAAAACTCCAATACACTTGGTGATCAACTCGTCAACAAGCAGCTGCTGGAGGAGAGTAGTTGAGTTGTGTTTAGTCTCTTTGCTAAAGAAATCAGGCAAAGTTAAAAAGATGTTTGGTGGCTACTACTATGGCCGGGACCCTATATGTACTGTTGATGAAGTTAGGTGCTGTTCTGAGCATTATTTGTGGCTATAGAGTAGCTTTTAGGTTGAGGTTTGTGTGTAGTTCTGTGTAATGCTGTGTGTTGCTGTTGTGCGGCCGTTACTAAAGTTGGTATAACTAGAGAGGCAAGCAGTCAGCAACATTCATCTCATGAGGAGCTGTCTAACTCAGTCTAACAGTGTGTTTGACCATGACTTAAATTTATGCCGGAATATCCCTTAAAAACCAGGAAGGTCTTAAGTATTGAACAACAAGGTCTGGTGTTAAAGCATGAAGCATTGCCAATAAAACATATGTGCGTTATAAAACCTCGAATGCATGCAGCTCCTGCACACTTGTCCTACAATATAGATTTTCAAATGACTGTATTTCTATTTTCAAGGGTATAAACTGCAAAAAACTCAAAACCTGCAGTCATATGTGACCGAGGAGAGAATGAAAAAAGTGTTTGAACTGAATGAAATCTGAGGATGCTCTCCAGTTAGCATGATAGGGACTACTCTGAGTGGAAATCCCCTTTACTGTTGCATTTGATGAATTTCCACAAGGAGACACCCTCAGTGATGCAGCACCACCAAGACTGCATTTATAACATCTTGCATCAGTTCATTTCTGCATTTCTGTGCATACATAAACATAATGTGAATAATTCAGCCCTAAATTCAGATGTGCATAAATGATATTTATCCATCATGAGCTCATGAGAATTCTCGTCCTGACACAATCAAAAGTGTGTGTGGAAGGGGGTTTTTATGGACCGGGTATTTTACTGGGTCACTGTTAACACTGAGTCATAATATTGCAGCAGTAGGGAGAGGAAACAGCTGTCAATAACAGATCAAGCAAAGCTCTGAGTCTGTGTTTTTATTACTGTTGAAATGCAGTATTGTCTCTGAGTCCTTCGCTGAGCGAGGAGGAAGGGGACACAGAGAGCCGGCCTCGGGGTCAGGAGGTCACAGCGAGCGGGTGAATTACAGGACCAGAGCTGACTTCCTGTGTTGCTATCAGACACTAACTAAACCAAACACTGATACACAATCAGTGGAAAAGAGTTCACAGAGCAGCCTACTGACACTGACCTCATACCAACTTTTTCAACGATTTCACTTCAGCAGCCATTTTTCTGAAGACACAGAGCTTTTACAAGAGCTCGAAAGGAGATGTGGACCTCCTGTTATCTTATCCATGGGGTTTAAGGTGGTTATTTAAGTCAGACCTAGCCCTTAGTGTTGGGTCTTTTTTGTCTTTAGTTTTGTTTAATACAACCAGTAAAGGTCAATAGAGTAAGTGTGGTCAGCAACTAAAAGGGCGCTCTGTCCAGCAGGAAACAGGTTAGGAAACTTAAAAGGAGACTCAGCGGGCAGCTTCAGTCACTGTGTCCTCACTGAATGTGACAGCAGAGTTTAAAAGAGTGTGGATGACTGATAAATATTTATTCCTTCAGCTTTTTTTGGAAGTTTTTTATTGTTTTTTCCCCTCCTTTTTGCACCGTACACCGCTATGCAAACTTTTCAGAGTTAAAGAACAGCTGTACGAACATCATCTACAGGACATAAAATCTTTCAAAGATCTGGAGAAATCTATGTACAAGAGGGACAAGGACCAAAACCAAGACAGGACTCTGTAGTGGAAGTCAACACATTGGCAGAAAACCACTTTCAAAAACCACTATCTTTGAGTGCAGCCGAACATAAACTGGTTTTGAAGGCTGATCTTGACCAATCAGTTTTGTCAAGAGCAGGTTTGTTTATCCTGAGTTAGTCAGACAGCTGTGATTTTGATTGTGCACTCCACAGTGTCACTCCTTCTCTCAGATTTAAGGTTTTTCTGAAAAAAGGTCACAGATTATGTAACTTATGCATCTCATTATCTCCACAGAGGATAGTCGTATCTCCTGGGTGTTTTTGGCTCAGACAGAAACGCTCTCATTAGATCATTTTTCATTTTGGTCGCTTTTCACAGGAAAAAGGTTTTGTGATAGAGAAAGTCAAACGGTCATACCCAGAACACTTTGTCTGAGTTAGGTCCAGTTTGACCTCCTCTGTCTCTCTGTCCTCAGTATCTCAATGTCAAGATACTTCCTGTTTTTGTGTTTCCTTCATGTTCTCTTTTCCTGATGAGAAAATCAACTTTTATTTCTGCTCATGCATGCAGTATATTTTTTTCATGCTGAATTCACAAACTTTTGCCAGACTTTTGTTTGTCAAAGCGCAGGTATGTGTAGTTCTGCAACAACAGATGCTCCATATATATTTTTCAGAGAGGAGATGATGCTCTTTTTTCATCCGTTTGGGTTTGCTGGGTTTGTGATTTCCAGAAGAAAGCGCTCCCGTGTTTCTGAGCCTTTCAGACTCACCGCCTTGTTCTGGCTGCAGCTTTGTTCAGTCTGCTTCTATAGGAGGAGAAACTCTTTGAATGTGGGAGCCCGAGCAGAATAAAACAACACTTTATAAGCACATTTCTCTTTCGTGGTTATTTTCTCTTCTTGAGGATTAATAATATTACACACGTATGAATCAGAAGCACTCTATCTATTATGGAAGATGTTCAAATTTTTGGACAAGTTTATTTTTTGTTGGTGCATGATGGATTTGTTTGTTGTGACAATGAATCAATGTTTTAATCCAACCTGATAGGAACAAGCTGTTAATCCTCTGCCTGCACACACCTCTGCATACGCTCCACGTGAGTGAGAAATAAACATTTCTAAACCTGCAAAACGATCTCCTGGAATTTCATTCTTCACAGGATCAACTATTTCTGCACTGCAAAGGTATTTAAATCCATCAATTCTCCGTCACTGTTTGAATAGGAAGATTTGATACTAATGATGCAGAGGGAAATTAATCCTAATCTTCAATTTCACTCTGTGTATCATGTTGCTGCACAAAGGCATAATTTAACTGCATGCTTTGGCATGATACACAACCCAAGTGGAAAATATATTTTCTTCTGCCATGCAGCTTCAATTAAATTACCAAACGGCTAAGTGGAAGTGTAACTAAATATAGCTGTTTGAACGATGTTTGACCCACAGAGGAGCAGTGAGCACCAAATCCAGCTCTTCTCATCAATATCAAATGAAATAAAAGATTCCAGCGAAATTCAAAAAGCACCCGAAGCTGCAGATTTTAGGTTAATAATCTACCTGCTCCTTGTTTTGGGGCTCAGTAACCTGCAGAGTGAAAACAGCAGCGTCTGCACGAGCGTGGTCCTGGAGCTGTCAGGCTTTGCCCGGCCTTATTAAATGATCAGCTACGATGTGTATTGTCACAGCCTGGTGAGTTTTGGCAGCAGCGTCCACGAGCTGCAGAGTACTGATGCCAAAAAGCGGCTTATCTTGATGGATGGGTTCATTATCACCTTCTAATTACAGGTGGATTTTCAGGTGTATTCATTACCTGTGCTGAGCGGGGTTGTTTGTATGCATGTGTGTGTGTGTGTTAGAGAGGACTGGGGTTACTGTTACACCGGCTGAACTGTAGGGGGTCAGCTGGTGTGTGTCGGGGAGGGACGGGGGGGTCCTGGGGTTCCTGTTTCAGCTCTGCTGTAGACTCGCTGTAATATTCATGAGCTCCGTGGGGATCAGTGTTCTGTGCAGCCTCTCACTCTCAAACCGCCGTCTTTAGCCCATCAAACACGATCACAGGAGTGAGTGTGCAGCTGGCTCAACCACGGCCGCTCTATGTATACCAAAGTGTGTAGAAGACCCCCGCTCTGCTGTTTAAAGTCATTATTACAACATAGAAATAGTTCAAGCAGGTTTCTGCAAAAAGTTTTGACACTGCTGTCAGTGTTTACAGATTGAGCCTTTAGTTTTGAGTTATATTAGCCCCCGGCCTAAATCAGCCTGCAGGAAACCTCTAAGTGACCTCCAAAATCAGGGGAAAGTGAGTTAACCAGTGTGAATTTCACTTACGATTATGGTTCCTCGCAATCTTGAAAGTATTATAATCACAGTTTTATTTATGAGGAGAAAGGAGAGCAGGGAGAGGAGAAGGAGGAGAAGAGAGGCAAGCAGGGAGTAGGAGGAGAGGAGCGCAGGAGAGAGGAGAGCAGGGAGAGGAGGGCAGGAGAGAGGAGAGCAGGGAGAGGAGCAAAAGAGAGAAGAGGCAAGAAAACATTTTTAAAAGTAACTTGCGCGTCATCTTACTTTATTTCTGCCTTTGTTAAGAGTTGCTTATGTGCAGTATCAGGTAGAATGGTGGTGAATGAAAAGCATCAGGCTTTCTTTATTGAATCAAAAAGATTTCACTAAATATGACAGAGTAGATAAGAAAATACACATTTTCTGACAGTAAACTGGTCATCCCCTTCCTCTGGTACACACGTGAAAATCTTCTTTTTGTAATGAATTGACCGTTTTTTGACCTGCAGCTTTAACAGTGAGAGTCAAGTTATACTCCTTACTAAAAAATTCTGTAAAATAAAACATTCAAGTGAAAAAAAAACAGGAATTAGATTTTCCCCCCAAAGACAGAATTAGTTTTAGGACTCAGTGTATGTTATAACCTATAGAGCATTAATGCCCCTGAGGGCTGCCGTGTGTACATTAGAGGAAAATAAAACTCATCAGATCTTATTTATTCTTGGCATTGAATGAATCTAAATGTGTGTGTGTGTGTGTGTGTGTGTGTGTGTGTGTGTGTGTGTGTGTGAATGAATGAATACATGTTTAAATTAGCGGACACTAACAAGATCTACCCCCTTCCTCTTTTCTGCATTAATAAAAATAAAAGCTTAAGAAAATACTCCCATAGCAGCTCAGCTATCATGAAATTAAAACCGCTTTCCTCCCTGTTTCTTAAATATTTATAAAACAGGAAATAGTCATTATTTTACAGTATATCTGAAATAATTACACTGAGTCCTTTAACTCCTTGATGGGCTCTGGTGCAAATGCAAATATTTTGCTTTGCATGTGTAGAAATGCATGAAGCAGCTCCCAACATCTGTACTGTGGTCAGTATAAAACCACTGATAAACACTTCACCACACGCTCATCCTCCTGCCTGTTTTTCTGATGTGGACTCTGCTTCTGTGTAGTTGCTTTATTTTGTGTCACTAAAATGCTGCATATCTAATTCCATGTCTTGTCTTGCCTCCATACCAGCTTTGCAGTGAAATTAGTTATTGCATGACAGAGTCATAACCTCATGGTTGCACCAATTGACTTTTCCCAGAAAACAACAATGTCAGGAGGACCGTTAAGATAAATACTAGAAAACCAGTCCCAAACTTTTGCCACACATTCATAAATTTAACATCAGGATGCTAATTTGACTCCATGCTTTAAAGCTGGGATTGTCCCTGTCAGACAGGGACTCACACCTGTTTTTTCATATCTCACTTTTTTTCTCTTAGGATGTTTAGTATATTTAGTCTGTAGGATGTTTAGTATATTTAGCCTGTATTTATCGTATATATCTAGTATTTTTATTATTTTGTTTCTGCATTGTACATACTTGTTATATTTAATTTTATTTTGTGTTTTTTGCTGCTGTAACATGAGAATTTCCCAGTTTGGGATCAATAAAGTCTATCTATCTATCTATCTATCTATCTATCTATCTATCTATCTATCTATCTATCTATCTATCTATGCTGCACAAAATTTAAAGCTCCTGTTGGGGACATTCTGTTTGTCTTGATTTTGGCACCCCCTGTGGTCAAAGCGATCTCTTTAATATCTCAGCTAAGCCAGTCATGATTTCAGTCAAAAACTCACAGGAGTTTTAGATACAACAGGAAAATAAATGAATGTCCATCTGTGCCTTTTAGTGACAAATCTGATAATGCATCATAAAGTTATATATATATATATATGTATGTATATTTATCTGAGTCAGCCACTGTGTTGTTTAAAAACACTGAATGATAAAGTGACTCTCAGTTCATGCGGTTTACAGTCCATAATAATGAGTCATTACGAAGTCATGCAGTTGCAAAATCTGTATGCAGCAACAAAAACAACATCTCAGCCAGAAAGTTTCCCATCACCATCATCATTTTTCTGCCCCATCTGCAAAGTTCAAGTGTCACAGCTGCACAAAAACATGATTCAAGCATTAATATCAGATAATACAGCAGCACTGCAACACGTGACACATCAAACATATCTGCATGTTTCTGAAGCCTCTGTGATTAAAGTCAAGGTGAATATGCTGTATGTGTGGGTAAAACTGGAGGACAAACAAAAAAACAAAACAAAACAAAAAAAAAAACTCAGAAATAAATCATGGCTGTGACTTCAACACCTCAGATGAAAGTGCTTTTAAAACATTTAAACACTTTGTTTAAATTGGATTTCTTTCTATTTAAAGTCAATTTAAGTCAGATTAAAGTGTGAAAGTCTTTCTAAGCCCCAGTGTGTGAATGTAAAAGCTGATCCAAAAAAAAACAAAAAAAAAAAAAAACAAAGATGACTGATATTCGAGCGCCTGTTATCTGTTATTTCAGTTTTAGAGTTGAACTCAAGGTTAGAAATCAGAAGTCAAACAAGTCATTTTTTGTTTTAGTAAATGAATATATGACATTGTTCAGTTTTCTGATTTTTTTTATCTTTAAAACCATATTTCAAAAGTTCACTGAACCAACAGCTCCTGCAGGCTCTGAGGTTAAATAAGGGGATTTTGGGTCAGGTAGTTGTTGGATTATTTGAGTTCCAAAACCAGAAACAGGACAATCATTTCACTGTCTAAATCAAATGAATCCAAATCACAGCCATTTGACCCATTTTCCATCACTTTAACTTTCTTTTTTTTTCTTTTGAACATATTGAACTGAATGTTGCAAAGATTAAATGGTTCATTTTACGGTTTTGAACAACAAACCAAGGCCTGTGTCTTCACCTTTAACTGTTTTAACCCAAAATTCTGTCATATGGTCGTCTGTAAGAGAAACTCTCATAAATGATTTTTCATATTCTTTATTATCACCATTTCTAAATTCCAGTTAGTCATAGTGCCGTCGCCCGACCACCTGTTGACTGTTTGACACATTTCACTGTTGAAGCATTTTTAGTTCAAAAAGGAGCATATGTAGATTTATTTACACAGGAATAGATTTCATTATGGTCCATGATTTCCTCAAGGGGTGTCTCAGAGTTAGAGAATACTCTTGCATGTCTGGATCTTGTTTCTATCTGGTTTCCTCTTTGCATGATTCAGTATTAACCTCATTTGTAGATGCAGTGATGAACTGTATTCACACAGTGGTTTTTGACTAAATGCAGTGATTTCCACTCTAGAGTCCTGTCTGTTTCTAATGCAGTGCTGCCTGAGGGCCTGAAGATCAGGACCATCAGTCTTGGTTTTGGTCCTTGTCCCTTTAGTACAGAGATTTCTCCAGACTCTCGGAATCTTTGAATGACATGGGGTTCTGTAGATGATAAAATCCACTCGTTCTTTCACATTTGACACTCAGGAACATTATTCTGAAACTGTTTTTGCCATATTTTTTGGTTAAAATAATGCTATATATTGAATGATTTGCAAACCATCAAAATCTATTTTATTAACATTTCAAGCATCATCCCTATTTTAGATTCCTTTTTATTTAATTTCCTGCTTGGGACTTCAAAGTGGTGTATGATGCAAAAAGTGAAAAACAGGAAAACCAAAATGATTTTATCAAACATCTAAACTTTTCTCTTTCAAACAAAACAGGGCTGTGGGGAAAAAAAGATTAACTGAGCCTGAATCCTGTAAAACATCTGCAACACATACCCTCTAATCTTCATGTTTCATTTCAGGAGTTTTTCAAAAAAGTTATTCTGCTTTAAAGAAAAAAAAAGGGCTGGACTTGACTTTTTGTCCGTAAAAAAACGAAACTCTTGCCCTTTCGATCGATCCCACAGAACAGAAAGTAACACGTGAGAAATCAGTCATTGCAACAGAGCAGAGATAAGGCTGACATGTCTTTTTGTCTTGACTTTCAATCTTTCATAAATACATAAATCACTATAATGGAGCTGTACTCGGTTATTACTCTGTGGAGGAATGTAGCGTTTTTCTGTCTCTGCGCGTAAAGACAAACACCCCTTAGCGCGCGCACTCACGGCTCTCAGCTCATATGAAAAATCTCCTTTTTAAATTTCTATGTGTATTTTTCCTGATTTTACGGAGAAAAGGTCTTTATTTTCGTTCCCTGTGCTGCGTTTCTCCTCTCCGCCTCGTCTCGCGCTGCGGAGCTGCAGTGATGTCAGCCCGCCTGGGTCATTTGAAGGTCAGCAGCCTCGGAAGGGTTCATACAAAGTTCACTCGCATATATTAGGCAATTCAATCTTTCATTCTCTGTGGCAAAACTAGTTGGAAATGAGCTGCTCGGTGAGACGGAGGAGCCATTCGTCATCAGAAAGGAGATCGTGAGCTTTTAAACGCTCTCCGTCTTCTTTTTGATCCGAGAAAATGCAAAGATCCTCCGCTGCTTCTGCCTCTCCGCTGCGGTCTCTGCTGTCGGTAACCGGGACGGGCTGACTCACTGAGAGCACGTCGGGATTTTATTATTATTATTGTTGTTGTTATTATGGAGGAATGCCGTTTAGTGTCCGTGGTGACGCGCTGAGTGGACACGTTGCGAGACAAAGCTGGACAATGAGCGTTTGGATGAGCATTTTGTTCCGAAATAATTCATGATTCCAGTGCGGGACGAAGAGGAAGAAGAGGAGCGAAATCTGCCGTGCCAAGAAGAAGAAGAGGGAGAAGAAGAAGAAGAAGAGGAGGAGGAGGAGGAGGGGGAGGAGGAAGGGGAGGAGGGGGGTAACAGCGGAGTTTGATGGAGTTGTGTGCGCTTATGCCGCCGATTTTTATCCATAACGCACAAGACTAGCGGAACGACGCGCCGTCATCATGTTTGACTGCATGGACGTGCTGGCCGTAAGTCCCGGGCAGATGCTGGATTTCTACACGTCCAGCCCGTCCTCGTGCATGCTGCAGGAGAAGGCTCTGAAAGCCTGCATCAGCGGACTGGCGCACAGAGAGTGGCAGCACCGGCGGAGCGCACACTGTAGGTCCAACTTCTGCTCATCATCTCTCTTTGCTGTTGTTGTTGATGTTACTGCTGCTCATGATGATGATATTAAGAGCTCAGTTATGATGTGCTGAGGCTGAGTCCGTGATGATGCACAACAAGTTGCCATTAAGGGCCCGCAGGTCTCATAATTGTCGCATGAGTGATTATCTGATGAGGATCATTAAAATCTGATCAATTAGAGAAGTTTTCTCTGAGAGTTTGGGGGACATCCACGGCGCATGAACGCTTCATGAGAAACCAGCAGGATGAACTCAAACAGCAGGAGCAGCTCAGTGGCATGATTAAGTCTGATTTCAATGTACTACTTTTGACTTAAAATAAGTTTTTTTTTAAATGTCAGATTTAGTGGAAAACTCTCCTAAACGCAATTATTTATCTCCCTCTGCGCGCTCTCATAAATCCTGGAGCGGTGGAGTTGCTGATGTGTGTCTGCTCTCAGCTCCCAGAGCAGCTTGCAGGCTGCAGGAATGCACAGAGTAAACACAGGCGGCCGCGTCCAGCCGCCTCCTCCCGGCCGCACATGACAGGAGGGCCGGCCTGACGAGCCGCGACCTGCATGCGCTCTCTGACACTCATTTAGACAAATGACCCCGCGAGCTTTTCAACCAGATTAGCGTGCGGCTATCGGAACATGTCAGCCTCGTGCGTTTAGGTAGATGGATGGACTTGTGTTCAATTTTGTCCAGGAGATTAAGTGAAGGTTTTCAGGACTGCAGCCGTGCTTTGAAGAGAATCTCAACTGCAGAAAAAAGACCAAAACTTCAAGTTAAAATCCAGATTTAGAGGACGCTTCTCAAAGAAAGTCTGCAGGAAAACCTTAAGATTATTCTTACTGCACGTACACATCAAAACTCCCTCCTGCACATCGATAATTGATCACAATGTGCTCATCATCTTCAGATATAGATGACTTTCCGGGCAGCCTCTTGTCTCGGTTTGTTTTCCTCTGTCAGCCGCTGCTGCTCCGTGATTTATCCTCCAGAGCTGCAGCAGCCCGTAGCTGTCAGCTCTCAGGAAGTGTTTGCTAAAAGGCACTTAGTCAGTCAGTCTATCAGAGGGCAGAGGAGAGGCTCCTCTTATCAGATGAAGAGGGGAAAGTGACAAAGTGACAGCTGCTCCTGAGCAGCCTGAGCTGCAGGTGTGACACTCGCTGACTCTGCAGGTCAGGGTGGGATGTAGAGGTCCGTGCGTGTTTGCGAGCGTGCGTTTGTATGTGTGTGCGTGCAACGTTTAAGAGATGACAGAAATCTGCTGTGAATTAAGCTAAAGCTGAATGGTATCAGTCTTCCAAACGTAGAGAAATTCTGAGAAACTTGGTTTCCAGGGAGCAAAGTGTTTAAGTCTGAGGGAAAAAGTCCAAAACACTTTTTTCTTGTTTTTTTTGTTGTTGTTGTTTTGTTTTCTAAATTAAGGTTTGAATGAGTTTAAAAAATCCAGATTTTTTTTGACATTTCAGGACAAGAAAGCTCTCAATTTTTGGCACCTCTAATGGAGATATTTATTCTGAAAGTGTTGAGAAAACAGTCCTGGATTTTGATGCTTAAACTGGTCCTGAAGTGTGTGTGTGTGTGTGTGTGTGTGTGTGTGTGTGTGTGTGTGTGTGTGTGTGTGTGTGTGTGTGTATACAACATTTGAGAGGTGACAGTAAACTGCATGGAGTCAAAGTCTTTAGGAAAGCTCAAAGCTGCAAAATTCAAACGATCCTTCAAGAAATATCATTTTAAAAAAAGGGAAAAACTAAGTCAAAACAACAGCTCTAAGATCAGGTAAACACACCAGTAAACCATTTATGTAAGTTGAATTCATTTCTTAATTATAACGATGATGATGGTGAGGGTTAACTTGGTGGGACTGTGGTGCAAAAATCCAACAGAAAAGATCTGATTTGTTGAAGGTTCGATTTGCTCTATTTTCTGAATGTAAATCAATGATTCAGAGAAATTCTAGTCTAAACCTCTTTATTGAAGACGCAGTGATGTAAACATTCAATCCAACTGGTTTGTACTTGTGTTTAATGATGAAGCAATATAGAAATAATTTACAGATTCAAAAATTAAAAGCTCATAGTGGAAAGGTAAAAAACAATGGTCTCATCCCGCCCCCCTAAACCAGGACTTAAATCCATCACTAAAAAGGGCGTTAACGTGGTTGCAGGATAAAAACAGGTCTTATAAAAACCAGAATACCTTCAAATTAGTAAATTTTACGTCTGTAGTTTTTACTGAAATTTACTGAGCAGAGAAAACTGGTCCAACACTACGAACACGATTTTTTATTTTGTTTTGTCCATTCACCTTTTTTATAACCTCTGAAAAGAAAATAAAGTGAAGAGACATCATTGCAAAGAGAGAAATTTACTTTAATTTTCTTCACATTTTGAAAATGATCGTCCAATTCTTACTTTTTGATGAAATTTAACGTTTTCATGCCGAAAACACAGAAATAACAAGTGCAAACTCCCTAAAATATTGCTTTTTCATAAACCATGGACCTGTCTGTTATTTGAAATGACTCATATTCAAGTTTAAACTCCAAACTTCTCCTCACCTTCAGATCCATACACAACCTCACTCCTCCATATCTCGCAGACCTCCTTTTCCCGATACATACCACACCCGTCCGCACCCTCAAATCCTCCTCCTCCTCTATCCATCTCATTGTCCCCCTGCTCGTGTCGTTACCATGAGGAGCGGAGCCCTCAGCTGCTCTGCTCCAGAACTCTCTCCCCCCTGACCTCCCTTACACTGACTCACTCCCGCACTTTTAATCCAAACTTCAAAACTCATCTGTGTAAACACAACATCACTGTCCATTCTTGAAAAACTTTTTAAATTGGGTTTTATCGCTGTTCGTTATTGAAACTCTGTTTGTTTTAATAATGTGGGCTAACCTTGAGTGTCAAAGACGGCGCCCTACAAATAAAACAAGCATTTTTATGATTATTATGAACTCGTTAAAGAATCACAAACATTTACTTTAAAATATCTCTGTCAGCTTGATCAGATAAACATGGCTCATAATGTAGTGGGGTATTTATCAGTTATTGCTCTATAAAAAAAAATGCTAAAATAATATTAAATTTGCAGTAAAACAAATTCTAAATCCCGTAGCGCTAACATGTCTCTAAATAAAAACTCTGATTGAACAGTCATAATGTGTCAACAGACTGAGAAATGCAAAAAGGAGTTTTAAGGGTAAATTTTGCTCTATTTTCATTCAATAAAAGTGTCTTTTTTACTCTAAAATAAAAACCACACTAGGCTGAATTATTTGAGAACACAGTCATGACTGATACTGTTTTGATAAAACAAAATCAAACACACACACATACACACCTCTCCATCTGTAAATGCAGAGAAAAGAGAGTCTATAAAGGGGGGAGTGCATGCAGTGCAGTCTTCACTGCAGTCTCAGGACCCTCTGCATTATTGCACCTCACAGTAATGTTGTTGTGTACTGAAAGTTTCACAGTTTATCATCAAAACTGCACATCAAAAGTTATTGCACCAAAAATAATATCACACAGTGCACCAGACTAAACATGGCATAATGCAAATTATGACTAACATGGACAAATGAACAAAAATCAGCCCTGAATTCTTAACTTTAAGCTGCTTTAGTGGTCGGTCGCTCTGTGAAAGTGCTGCAGTCAAAATTCAAACAATACTGAGGTCAGACTGAATCTCTCTGTGCTCCGCTCACACTCCTCTGCTGGATCTGACCAGAAACCAAAGTGAAAAGAAAGTCTCGCAGTCATCTGTGTTTCTTAGTGTTTGAATAAAGGTCACAAGGTTGCCGTCCTAGTTTGTGAAACAAGAAAAAACCTACAGAAAGTCTAAATCACTGACTCATTTATTGACCAAATTTAGCCCTAAATATAGTCTTCAATCAGCCTCTCAGGTCCCAGCAATGTGAACAACTTTAATTGTAAGATGAGGAAAATAAAAGCCAAAAAAGTAGCTCTAAAATTTAAAAAAATAATTTGAAAAAAGTTGAATGTCAGGATAGCTGACATCAAAAAATTGTCATAACCTTATAAAAAAGAAAAAGTGTTTTTTCAGGTGCAGCAGCGTGAGTCAATAACAATGATTGAAATGTTCAAAGTGTGCCTCTTTCCTCTAGTCCCAAAGACTAACTGTGTCTTTTTAAAATCTTTTTTAGCACCATTCTTTATTTATTGTCAAATTTGTCAGTAAATTTTAAGAATTGTTGCAGAAATTGTTGTGGAAATTCATTTTCATAAAATTTTCCAGCCATGAATGTAATGCTGCACACTCAGCTGTTTTCCTTCCCAGTGTCAGTAAACACTCATGCCTCTTTAACAATACTCTCATAAAACCCAAACTGGAAGAGGATATTGTTCATTTGTTCCTCATTTTCTCACGCTGACTCCGACCCCGGTCAGTAAAGCTGCATGCCGGCCTCTTCGCCGTCAGACAGGACCCCCTGCCCTCCTCCTGTTTGAGCGTCCGCTCTTTAAATCAGACTTTGATTAGAAAAATCCTCTCCCAGGGTCACTGAGATGTTGCTTTATTAATTTATTTGTTGGGGATAATGGAAACCTCCTGGGTGTTAATTAGCCGCACTGACGACGAGCCGACCATTATTGCACTTCCTCTTCCAGTTAAGATGTTAATTAGGAATGATCAAGGAGCTGCTTCACACGCCGAGGAGGCCGGGGAGGGAGAGTTTCACAATAAAAGCATCCAAACAGATCCACAGCAGAGTCAAGTGTGAGTGTTTCTGCAGCTGTAAGAGGCAGAGCGTGATGCTGCAGCCTGATTGGTGCTGCTGATGGGTGTTATGGGATAATTGGGACCCTTTTTGTCTTGAAGGCTGGAGCGCCTCTGATATGGACATGAAGGGCCATTAGCACAGCTTGCACAGCGAGCTAATTTAGTGGGCGTGTGAAATGAAAGGCGGACGGGGGGAAATAAAAAGCCATGTACAACAGAGGAATGAAGAGGGGGGGTCTGATGCCAGCCTTGTTTAATGGACATGATTAGGACAGTGTTAGGGTCCCACCAGGGTTACACTGATACTCTGAGTGTGTGTGTGTGTTTCTCTAAGAAACGCCTCATCTGAAAAAGCAGCTTCACTCCCTGATCTATCTCTGAATGTGCCTCCACCATGGTTCAGCTGCTGTTTTTTAATTCTTTTACACCCTCGTAACAACAAAACGCTTCATGATTGGCGGGAATGTGAACAGAGTTTATTTGTGCCGCTTTCAGTACAGAAGAAAGAAATTGTTTCAACCCAGATTCATGTGAGAAATTTATGTCTGTGAGCAAAATATGAAATTTTAAAAAGATGTGAAATTTGACCTTCAAGATGGAAAACACAAATGAAAAATAGAGTGCATTTAGAGTAGACCGCAAAGGCTTGAGCTGCTTTAGCGGGCGCTCGCTCTGTAAAACGACAGTAAAGAGGTCAGGGGTCAAATCACTGCTCACACTCCTCTGAAGAATCAGGACAAACAAAACAAAAATCTTGTGTCTCCAAATTTTATTTTATTTTTTTAACAGATAAAGGTCAAAAGGTCACCGGTCAGTTTGTCAATGAAAAAAGTTGATTATGTTTGAGCTGGAACAATTCTAACCCACGCAGAATCCATTAGACCAAAACTCAGATTTTCTTTAACCAGAAAGTTTTAAAAAGTTTAAATAAGTTTGTAAATTATTATTATTATTGTCCTTATTATGATTATTTGGTCATTTTTTTCCCCAATAAACTGAAAAAAGTCCCTATATAACAAACAAACACACTTCAATTTGACAGTTTTTTTACAGGGTTACTCTCAAATCGGATTATTCTTTAAATTACACAGAATATATAACTTGATATAAATGATAATTTAGTCACACAATAACATGATTTAATCTTTCAAAAACAAAAAAGAAAAGGCAAACACTGAAAAATAAAGAAATGAAGAAGTTTGAACCAATTTGATCCTTTATTATTTTTAAACCGTTTGTTATTGTTTGTGTTGTTTGCAATTAAAGCCAAATGAGGGTCAGCAGCAGCAGCGTTAATAAATACACAAGATTCTTTGTGACGGGCAGAAGCTGTCTTTTATAATTTATATCGTCTCTTTAAAATCTGAAAATAAATATATGATCCTGCCCCGTTATTTGCTATCATTACTTTTATTAACTATTGTTAAAATCCTGAGATTGTCTCATATTGAAGTCATTATATTTAAGCAGGTCTGGTCCTGGAACTCCTGAAATCATTTCTAGAAGCCTGTTTTTATTTCTGTTTCTCTCCACAATTTAAAATACAGAAACCTGGACCACAGCTTAATCCAACTGTACTGTGTTTGTACCTAATCTAAGGATATGGATAATTATTCCTGAGGGTTTAGTAAATTTTAAAATGTTGTGTTTTTAAGATTTAGAGAAAACTGTAAAAATATAACCACTTAAAATAAATAACGTTTTTTACTCTGTTTTTGCAGGTTTGAAATGCAGCAGGTAAAATAAACAACCTCACATCAACATAAAAACAAACAAGTAAACTAATAATAAAAAAATAATAATAATAATAAATAAAGAGAGAACTGAGAAAGAGGGGATAAAAACACATCATCCTTTATTGATTTAGTCCAAAGCTCAGCTTTCAGTGAACTCCTTTTTACTGTTCCTATCAGTTTTAAATCACGCTGTGCTTCTTTAGATAGAGTTTACGGCTTAGTCAGTTAGTCAGAGATTATTTTTGCTAAAGGAAATGACTTTTTAATATTTTCATTTGTGCTCTCCATTTTTTTTTTAGATATCCTCATCTTTACGATCATCATGCAGTTCTTTGCAGTATTTAATCTGCATAAAAAGCAGCACTTCTAGTTCAATATTTGACTTTCTTTTTATGATATTTCACCTAAAAATGCTTCGTATCAAGTCTTTGAGAAAGTTTGTATCTCATCGGCTGTTTGTTGTGGATTCATTTTGGATCATTTTAAACAGGATTATTCACACAGTGATCTCCCGCCGCTCGCTCAGTGTCCACTTTCACAGATGGTTGTTAGGACAGGATTATGTGGTTGAAATGAGACAATTTGAAAATAAGATCATTTGATAGCGTTGTAAAAGTCTCTGCTGTGTGTGTGGTGATAAAGCTGGTAAAGGCAGAAATGTTTGAACAGTTTTTTCAGAAATGTTGGAAAGTTTCAGCGTTAAAGAAGCTGATCATGAGTAAAGGTGGATTCTGGAGACAGAAAGCAGACGTGAGGCAGAGCGGCCGAGAGGTCAGCACACTGCTGAGTGTTTTTTTGGCCCCCAACTCTTTGGCTCTTTTTGAAGCAACAGTTTAAGATGTTTGACGCGGGAGGCTGGTGTTCAGATCAGAGACCTGCACCATCAGTCACTTCTGTGTGTGTGTGTGTGTGTGTGTGTGTGTGTGTCTGTGTGTGTGTGTGTGTGTTTTAGAGAGAGAGAGAGAGAGAGAGAGAGAGAAAGAGAGAGAGACCTGCTGAGACTTGCTCTGTAGTCTGGGAAAAAACAAGGACGAGTTAGGATGAGACAGACTGAGACACGTCCCCCGAACACTTGATCTTTATGGGGGCTGAAAATGATCCTGTGATCGTCGTGAAGCAGATAAATGTAGTTGTGAGAGCTAACAGAGTGTTTACCCTCGATAGGCTGATTGTTTAAATGTGCAGACTGTGTTTTTAAGTTTAAAATGAAGTTTAAAAAAAATAATTTTCACCATTTTTTAAAGCCTTATTTTGTTTTGTTTTTTGCTTTTATTTTGAAAGGATGGGACAGTGAACAGAGCAGGAGACTAGTAAGAGGGATTGATCATGTCCAAAAACAGATTATTTTATACATTAGAATATCAATCTGTTCGTACAAAATGTCCCTTTGAATAAAGCTGTTGTTTTCCTTTATTTAAAAGCTTTTCCCATCCTGATTAAAAAAGTCAAAGACAGTGGAGTTAGCAGGGAGCGATGTGTATGAAAGGGGCTGCAGGCCGAGAATGCACCTGAGCTGCCTACACGGATGGGGTCCCCCGGCAGCACCAGTGTTAACTCCTGTTTTCATCAGCAGCTACTAGAGACAAATTAAGGTTTCCAAAGAAGTAGAAAAGGTGCAGCAAAACATTGGCTTAATGTCTATAAAATGTACAAGACATCTGTGTAAAATCTTATTCATGAAAACTGTAAACTTCTGCAGAACTTGTTGCATCTACTCAAGATTTTTTAAAAGTCCTCATTGAATATTAAGACACGAGAATTAAAAGTGTCTTTGGTTTCCTGAATTAAGGAGAGGTTGCTGCACCTCAGTTGCACTTCATGAGTATTTTCTTTTTTTGCACCCAAGTTGCCAAACATCCAGCTTCAGAAGTTTTCAGAGGCAGCATGTGGCTCGCTGGAGAATCAGACTTCTTTGTGTTGTTTAATAGTGTGGTGCTAAAGCTTTTTGGTATTTTGATATCACATGTTACCCATGTCGGTGTGCTGGGAAGTGTATGCTGTAAGCTTTTTAACATGCTAAAAGGTTGCAGACCGTCCCTGTCAAACTAAACCGATAAATAAACTGCAGCGTCCTGCAATACAGAATTTACTGTATTCACATAAAACTGACCAACTGGTAGCAAACTGGATTCACTCCAGTATGGATTACTGCCACTTTGAGATTTTTTAACCCCCTACAGGGACACCTACAGCACCCTTTCCCGTCCTCTGCATATCAAAGTTCTCTTAGTGATTCATTCGAGCACCTAAAATACATTTCCCATGGTGCACTGAGTGATGCTTGCATCCTTTTGCAAATATCAAATGAAGCCAGGCAGAGTTTATGGAGACATGGATGTGGATGCACGGTGCTCCAGAGTAGGAGGCATATTTGTGACCCTGACCAAAGCTGAGCTGGCTTTAACATCTGTGGTAGTTTTCCCTCAAAAAGTTGCAGAATCTCTAAAAGTCTAACCTGTAACTTTTGATTTCTTTTTGGTCTTATTGCTGTTCAGTAATGCTGTAAGAATAGAACACCAATGATGACGTCCTTTTAAAACCTAATAACTTTTTTATGATTGTAAAGATGTGTGTGTTAGGGGTCCTCACTGGAGTTTTCTGTCATATTTGAGTGATGGTTTTCAAAGACTGTGATCCCTGTAGGACAGGAGTTCTGCACATCAATATAATTCATGGTTTTGTGGATTTTTGGGACTTCATGGTTGTCCCCCAGCTCTTTTGAAACTCTTGCCACACCCGTCTCCACGCTCCCAGCATCATTCCTTTCCCAGTTTTCACACCGACACAGAATCTAGTTTCATGTTGAAGTTCTGGCACAAGGAGAATAAAATCATCCCGGCCAGCGCTGTGCTTTTAAGGCCTTGAATTCCTGCGGATTAAAATGAAAGCTCTCACGTTTCAGCCTCCTTATTTCTCTCCCCACGTTCTTCCTTCCACAGCTTTCTCTCCGCTCTTCTGCTTTTATGGCTCGGAGTTTCTCCTCCAGGTTTAAGGGAAGCTTTGAAGCAGCCTGCACCTGTTGTGTTCGGCTCTGCGGCTACTAAAGCTGCTTCCCGTCAAAGTGCAGTTTGACCTCTGTGCTGAGTCACCCCAGGGTCAAAGAGGGGTCACAGAGGGGGTCAGAAGAGGGGGATTGAGGAGGGTCTGGCGGGGAATCCCCTAAACCAAACCCTGAGAGTCTAATAATAGGGTAAGATCTTGAAAGTAAAAGCAGAGTTGGGAGTGTTTCCATTAAATGTAGAGCATATTTCCTGACAGAGAGCAGATCCTGACCTCTCTCCTCTAATTTCCCCACCAGACATGAAGTTAAATGACTCTTCCTCATTGTTATTTTCTTCTCCTCGAGTGTTTAAATCTCCTCTAAATATCCCTCTCCGTAAAACGCGCCGCAGAGCAGCGCAAAGCTGCTTCTAATTTGGTGTACTTTGGGTGAACTTTGACCATTTCCTCTGACTGGGCCTGTTGTATGTGAGCTATGCACTCGCTGCTCCTGCAGAGAAAACCTGCAGGAAGAAAAAACACTTCCAGACTGGATGGAGTGTCAGCTGAGAGCAGGAGGAGAAGAAGAAGGAGGAGGAGGAGGAGGAGGAGGAGGAGTGGGTTGGATCCACCGACTGGGAGTAATATTCCTCTAATCCTCGCAGGCTATGCCCAGCGCTCCACACCCAAATCACCACAGCTTTCTCCCTAACACAAACCAAACACACAAATACCCCGAGGAGCTCCAGGAAATGCCTCTCCTGCTCTTTCTCCCCCCTCCTCTTCCTCTTTTTGCTCCTTTCCTCTCCTTGTCCCTGCTTCTGGGGGGATCTGTTGTAATTTGTCTGCTTTAATTCAATCCCTGAGATTAATGGGGCCTTGCTTTCAATTGATTTTTTATTCAAATGAAAATAAAGCCTTAGATTTTACCTCTTCCTCTCATTTATCTGCAGCAGTAGGAGCAGCTTTGTCCTCATTTCCAATGCGGCGTCGTTGTGTTAAATGGCCTGTGTGTAGCGACAGACTTTGCTGCAGGTTCTTTGCCATCTGTTGGTCGTGTGGACCATGTGGGCAGAGTTTTACATGTCACTGGTTTCAGACTGGGGGAATTGGATATAAAGACGTGGAGGGCACAGAGAAGATAGATGACGCTGCAGCTCTTCAGATTATCTTCACACAGTGACCTCACATCCTGTCTCACACTGCTCAGTTAGGGCTGATCCACAGTCACTGTTTTAGGGTTTTTAGAGCTGACTGTGGCGCCTGATGTATATCTATTTTGCAGGCATAGACCACGCTGTATGGAGTTTAATTCTGCATGCATGCAAACTATACCAATACTGAAATTTACGACAATAATCAACGTCATTTTGCCCATGTCAATATATTCAGTGTCAAAAAAAAAATACACAAAAGTTGGTTTTGGATGTGTGTAGGTAGGCTATGGTCTCATGTCCCTCTAAGACGCTGTCCTATGTTGAAGATGTGACTCCACCCCATCCAGTCCATAACAAAGAAGGAAAGAAAGATGAGGAGATGAGGGATGGTTCAAAAGTTTTTGCGGCCGGAGCAACAGCTGAAGTAGACAAAGTTAATATGGGAGGGGGTGATCAGCTTGTGGAGTAGTTATTGCCCATTTATCGTTATCAAGGTGAACTGCTCAGTATATTGTGATATTGATTTGAGGCCATATCGCCCAGCCCTACTTTGAAAGTAATTTTGTTTCGAGAGAGAAGCTTTGATTAAACATAAAAATAACTCGTATGTAAAATCTAATTGTCAGTATATATAAATATTTTGTTTTCAGATTGGAAATGGTAGTTTTGCTGGTTTGTACTGTTGTTCATTTGAACATTACTCCCACCATGCTAATTACAGGAACATTTCAGTGTCATTAAAACTGAGTACAAGCTGTCAGACACTCTGAGTGGTTTATAGGAAACAGGTCAGTGTTAGAGTTTTCTTTATATTTCTCATGATATTAATGATAAACTTGTTTTGTATAAAAAAGGTTTAACAAAAGTTTGTCCTCTTTGGTTTCTGCAAGAACATGCTGAAATATTTATTTGTCTTGGCTGATAATCATCTAACTTCTTAATACATGCTGCACTCCCCATGACTTAAGCAGTTGCTACCCCTTGGATCCACTCCAGGCCACAATACATGCAGTACAGAGACAGAGTCCAGATGAAAACGACATGGTTTTAGATGCAAACTAACCGAACAGAGCACCATTCACATAATGATTAAAAAACATAACAGTAGAGACAGGAGTAGGCATGCAGCTCTTGTGTTCTGCAGGGATAAATCCCAGTTTTTACAGAAGGTGACTGTGAATCAACAGATGCATGTTAAATAAAGATATAATGAATTATCTAGCTGATTAAAAAGTGGTGGACCTGCAGCTCTTGCGTTTTTGTCAATGCAGTCTTGTGGCTTTCAGCTTGATTCTGGTTTTTGGCTTGCTGGTAAACTTCTAGTGTATTTATACACAGAGATATTTCTCTGATCATCTCTGTCTCCAGTCTTTTCCGTGTGTTATTCTCTTGTCAGGAAATAAAAGTGTACATTTTTCAATTGCATTTCGGGTGAAAATGGGATTAATTGTGCAGCACTATTTTAGATAGCATCTCTCATTTGTAAAAGAAACACTGTGTTATTTGTTGAATATTGACACTGTGCTGAGTTTCAGCAGTAATCCTCCATGATTGACTCTGATGTGATAAAGTCCCTGCAGAGTCTTTATCAGATCAGGACATGATGAGATTATCACATCAGGTCTTAATGTTATCAGCCTGAACAAACTCTAATTTAAGAGCAAAGTTTTCCACTTTAGCTGAGTGTTTTCTCCCTCACTGACTAGCTGATCTGAAACCAGTTCCTGCCCCATGTGTCCGTCTTCCACCGGTGGTTCAGTCCTGTTGTTTGGGCCGATCAGACGAGCTGTTTTCTCTCGTCTTTCCCCTCATTCTGCCTGCAGCCTCCAGCAGGGAGTGTGTGCTTTCCTGTTTGACCCCGGCGGCAGGTTCAGCCAGAGGCTAAGGGTTCAGTCACAGATTTCTCCCCGCATGCTCTTCAGGCCAGACTGGCCGTGCGCGCTTGTCTGTCAGCGCTCTTTATTCCTCTAATGGAGCTTTCTGTGTATGTTAACATGCGAGGAAGTCGACTCAAAGTTTAATCACGCAGAAAATGGAAAAAGGCTCCCCTGCACCTGATAGGGCCTATACAGCAACACACAGGTACTCAATGACCACCTCCTCCCCCCTCTCTCCTCCTCCTCACACACACACACACACACACGCACACACACACACACACACACACACACACACACACACGCACACACACACACACACACACACACACACACTCTGAGCAGTGTAATGAATCCAGGTTTATATGTCCCATCTGTCTGCAGGTGGTCACACAGCCTCTCAGATGCAGCCATGAGTTTCAAATAGGCTGAATGTTGGCGCTGCGTCTCCTCAGCGTGGGACCACCCAGCCGTCTCAAATGCTTCCTCAGAAAATCAGCAGAAAAAGTGTTTTCCCTCTGGATGTATGTTAAATTGTGCCACTCCACCTGCAGAAGGACAATATAGATTGTTTCTGTGCTCCAGTAGTCGAACATCCTCTTTAACATCTCTGCTCAAAATACTCAAATTACATGTTTGATACATGACGGTCTGTAGTGAGGAGGCTTTTCGTTTAGAGAGAGGGTGAGCAGATTAATGGAGCCTTTAGATAAGAAGATAAATATTTATTTAATTTAAAGGACCAATGCGTGATTTTTAATGAGCTCAGACACCTGGGAATGAAATATCCAAATCCCATGAATGAAGTGCCAACGGCACCAAGTGCACAAAGGGGAATCACGCTGAGTGTGATATCTGGGAATGTGAATTAAAGGGATAGTTTGGGTTTTGTGGTGTGATTGAAGAAGGTACTTGTCAGGGTTGATGACTACTTTAATTTACTAGTGGCCCAGTTTGAGGGGGAGGTGGAGAAAGGAGAACAGGGGGAGGCAAACAAAAGTTTCTATGTGCCTGAAAAGCCAAGGGACAGAAAAGAGAGGCACAAGCAGAAATGTGCTAATGGCTGAATTTTATCCTGAATTTTAATCATTATAAATACAAATCCAAGTCTTGACAACAAACCTGCAGAGTCAACTCTTCAGCCACTGTCTTGGCAAAAGAGCCGAGCTGACCAGGATCTCCGAGAGTGATATACTTACAGACAAGTTCCTCATACAACCAAACTCAGAAAATTCTTGACTATGTCATTGAGACATAGAAATCCATGGCATAGTCCACCTGGAAGCTCGTTCTCCATTTGGGTCCTTTCTTTTCAAACTTTGCAAAACTTGGGCCCAGGTCTAAAAATAGATTTGGTCTTTGGATTCCTGTCTGGATTTCCTTTTGAAATGAGCCTGGAGCTTTGGTCATTTGGTTAGTTTGGTGTTATTACCAGCACTTCAACACAAACAGAGCCAAATGTTTTGTGTGTTATATTTGTTCATAGACACACAAAATGCAGAAACCTTCACTTTTTGCCGTCCTCCTCCATCAGACAGCTTGGTGTGTTGGAGCTCTGGCTGTCTCTCACCATACATCTGCTTTATGTGCAAGCTGCTCTGACTGCTCTCTGCCAGCGACAGAGGGAAACCATTTGGAGCATTTGAGGCGATGAGATGACCCGACTTCAATGAGAACAAACGTCTGTCTGTCTGTCGTCATCAGTGGAACCAGGTCGCACTGCAGAACGGAGAAAATATCTCGGCTGACTCGCTCTACTGAAGTTGTTTACTCTCAGATGAATCCCACTTGAAATTCAGACCAGAAAACTTTGATAAATCCAAACGCAGCACCATTATGTCAGCTTTATGCAAGTCTACTTAAAGATTCTGCAGAACTTCTCAGCGGTCGATGCTGTTGCTCCTTCAAAACAAGTCACAGAGACTTCTCAAAGTCAGATAAGAGTGAGAATCGATAGATTTATGAATCATCTCTTTCTAATTAACCTTTGTGGTCCGCTCACTTTCTCATCCCATATTACAGAAGTCACATTTACCCCCACGCTCAGGCCTGCATGTGCCGCAGACAGGTTAAGTCTTCCCTGGAGCCGCTGGAGCTGACGACTGCAAAGCTGCAAATTCGACATGCACAAAAAGTCACACAGGGTGAATGGGGAGGAAGATTAGATTAAAGCGTCAGGGAATTCCACCGAGGGATGAGGGTCCAGTAATTATTAGAGCTGGTCTCTTACCATCAGTAATTGAGTTTGCTGTGACCAAGTACGGAAGAAAGTAATCGAATCAGAGGAGATGCTGCAGAAATTCCTCTCCATTTTCTATGCAGATACATGTGTGCATCATCAGGGTCGCAGTTTGAAAGTCGGGTACATTTTCACTTCAAGGTGATGAGTTTGCAGTGATCAGCAGCCTGCGTGTTGTTTTGCAGTAAAATATGAAACAAGTCAAATCATCTTTCTCCTGTTGACACCATGTGAGGAGTGGAAATAGACACACATATTCAGACACTGGACTAAAAGATGCGCCACATCCTCACACAATAGCCAGTGTGAACTCACTGGCATTGCTGTAATACTGATGTTTTAGCAGGTGATCTTTCCAACTTTCCAAACTGGCTGTAATGTCATGACCTTAAAGAGGTATTTGGACATGCACTAAAGATCTGATAGAGGAATTTTAACCTGACAACAATCATTTGAAGGATAAACACTGAAATCAGCTGGAATAACCAAATGTCAATGGCCTGCTGTTATTCCCCTTTGACATTTAGAGCAGCATTTGTGCAGCAGAGTCTGAGGTTATAAAAACTGAGAGAACAGTCATGCAGAGGCAGCTCTGATTTATGTTTTTTCCATGTCTGTAAATGTGAACGTCTTTGTCTGAGCTCCAGATGTCTCAATGAAACATTCAGTGATATGACACCAAGCCTTTCTATCTTGTTTTGTTTGTATTCCCGGCAGCCATTGAAACTCAGAGCACCAGTTCTGAGGAGCTCGTCCCCAGCCCACCATCCCCGCCACCCCCTCCCAGAGTCTACAAGCCCTGCTTCGTCTGCCAGGACAAGTCCTCCGGATATCACTATGGAGTCAGTGCATGTGAAGGCTGCAAGGTAGGACTGTAATACCTCCTCAGAACACAGGATCTCTTTCTGAACTTTTGACCTGAAACTGATCTGATCATCAAGATTCACCTCAGACATCATCAGAAATATGATACATGACTTCCCAGTTGTGGATGGACAAAAACATGAGTAACCACAGGTTTATCACTTTAAAATTTACATTCAAAATCATGTAATGTAACACAACATAATGCATCACAACATAAAGCAACATAACATAGACTGTTGAATGTTAAGGCATGGACCGTCAGAGCCGTGTAGTTAAATGTCACCTCACCTTGTTTGTCTTAAAAAAAAAATCTGTTCCTTTAATTAATGATGAATAATTTGAGTGAACTGTCCCTTTAAGACAAGACAGTCTCACTCTGCCTCTCTCAGATGTTCTACTTTTAGAAAGTCTTCCCAACATCTGCCCTACCAACACTTGTCTGTCTTCTCCCACTTACAGCAGCTGTTGCTAGGCAACAGTGCACACACCCACCATGCACATGGAGACATACAGAAAAAAAAACATTCAAAAGGCTCATCAGAAAATAGGCCATCCCTTTAAATGGAGATGCTATAGTTCTTTAAATGTTGAAGAATTAAAAGCACAAACTCTAGATGACCTGATCCGAACAGAAACAGCGAACAGTTATCCTCTCTGGTCCTCCGCACACGTCTGTTTCCCAGTTAGTTTTGTCTCTTCCCAGTCGGTGTTGTTTCTGCCTAGGCGGTGCAGCAGACTGTCCTCTCCTCCCCGCCCGCCTCTGTAACTGAAGCGCTGGTATGTCAGGAATCCTTTGGAGTTTTTGGCTCAGGGGGAGGTGGTGATCAGCTCACTCACCAGGTTCTGGGTCAAACCAAGTTCTCCTCTATGTGTGCCAATATAAGCCTCATCATTAAGGTTCACCCTGGCCTCTGACCTCCGCTCTGACTTTCACTTAAAGGGGACTTTTGGTTATTTTTAGCAGCTTTGGCCTTTTTTAAAAAACATATTTTAGGGATTTTTCAAGTAAAAAAACTGAAAAACGGGCTGAATCACCACAGTCTGCAGCAGTTACAAGAACAGACTGAAATCAAAGGGTTTCTGCTTAAAGCTTTCCAAAAGGCTCAGACTGCAAATCTAAGTCCTTTATAACGAGGATCCCAATTAAGATCTTTTTCTCCTTTTCTTTTTATGCTTTTTTAAAAACAAAAACAACCTTTTCATAACTGTGTTTAAAGCCACCAGAATCATCTTACCCAGAAGAACACAGGATTCCTGCTCTGCTGCCGCTTTGATCGGGTATTTTATTGATATTTTGTGACTTTGATGTTTAAATGGTGGGAATAATTCTGCCTCACACAATCAAACACAAAAACTAACCAGTCCACGAAGCTGTAGACAAGCGTTTGTTGTTCTGTGGAGGATAAGTACTGTTATTATTTTCACTCTGTAATTAATCATTTATTTAAACTTATGTCAACTTAAAGGGAAACCTGAAAAATGTGATATTTTTATATTTGGTTTAAGATACTAGCATGAGTAGGTCTGTGCATTAACAAAAGCATCAGCATGTGTCTGTGTGTGCATAGGAGTGTAATGGAAGAGAGTCCCGATATTATGCTCTCTACATTTGCAGAGAGGACACAGTCTAATCCTTCCTGATCCAATACCATCTCATCGTGTATGCGCATGCTATTTTTGATTTGAAAAAATGAGAATAAAACACTATATGTTTCTGCAGGGATCTTTTTCTATCATGCAGTCACAGCTGTGAACTGAAACAAAAAACTGGAGCGTTCTTATAACTGTTTAAAGCTGTAAATCTGAAATCTTTAAGTGTTTAAAAACACCAGAATTTCCCCTTTAGGGAAACCCCCTGTGAAGAATAAAGGTGGACTTTATCTGTGCGGTTCATGAGTGTAACAGTGGCCCAGTTTACTCTCATTCACACTGTCAGAGGAGTGAAAACCATCATCACATCACTGGATCAAATAACTGCGGGCCTGAGCACTCTGAGTGTTTCCCTAATGACAGTTATAGAGGACGTATGAAACCACATCACAGTCAGAGTGATTCTGAGTAAACAGACAATTGAACAGAGTTTCATCCTTCTGTGCAGCGCTGATGTAAAAATAGTTCAACTCATGGCAGAATGGCCTTGATTTTTGCAACATCCTGACTCAAGAGGATTATGCAGCGGATTATAGCTTTCTCCCCCCGTGTTGTATTCCTGTCTCCATGGCGAAGGCATTGTTGTCTGCGGTGCGAGGGGCAAGCCCCTTCTATTGGATGGATGCAACCAAGCATGCTGTACAGCTGTAGGCTTTTAGCCAGCGAGGAGAGCCTTTTACTGCCCAGTGAATGTGCCAATTAGAGCCACAAATAGACTCAAAGGCACACAGATAGACAGAGTGTGTGTGTGTGTGTGTGTGTGTGTGTGTGTGTGTGTGTGTGTGTGTGTGTGTGTGTGTGTGTGTGTGTGTGTGTACGTTTGTACGCAGTGGGCTGTGTTGTGGGTGTGTGAAGCACTTGTTACAGTTAACTGCTGCACATTCATATGCATGCACATATGCAGCGCTGTAATAAACCAACACTGCACAGAAGGCCGGCGCGGCCTGACATAAATAAAACTGTTCCACTAATAAGTGTCCACACACTTGTGTTTTTTTTCAGTCTGCAGTGAAACATTGAGACATGGATGTTATTCTGAGCTCTGCTTGGTAAATACTGATCTTTAGACGTCTTTGGTGCAGAGAGTTTCAGTATCCTTTCAGTATATTTCTTCATCCAAGAGCTACGTAATCCTTGGGCTCAGGTGTCCTGAAAACCAGATCCCTGCAGAGACAGAGCTTTTGTTCAAGAGTGAGAACTTTTTTTGACATGATACAACAGTGACAAACACAGTGACGTAACTTTGCAGAATGGGACTGAGTGGTCTGCAGCTGCTTTAACTAGTTCATTTCATGTGCAACCAAAACCCACAACCTGCAATGAAAGTGGTGCAGAAAGTGGCTTTATGGCTCCAGTGTCTTAATAAACATCTACATCATGTAAGCACGCACATGATTCATCCTTGAAACCCCAAAAGTGCAGTGACAGCTTCCTCATGTGTGAAGGCTCCATTAATGCTGAACAATATCTACAGGTTTAGGAGCAACATCCGCTGCCATCCGGATAAAAGACTTTTTCAGGGAAGATTTTCATATGATCCCAAACCACATTCTGACAACAGGGATTACAACAGCATGGCTCTGTAGGAGAAGAGTCCTGTTGAGAAACTGGTCTACCTTCAGTCCTGATTTGTCCCCATTGAAAACATTTGGAGCATCATGACACCAAAACCAGGATAAAGGAGACCCTGAACTGTTGAGCAGCTGAAATCCTCTATCAGGCAAGAGGGAGACAACATTTGATGATAGACATGACCCTGACCCTTTTTTTTTTTGCCTGCATCAGATATGAAAAGAGCACATATTTCTATGATATTGGTGATATTGAAGATATTCATCACCATTCCCCTCATTGTCAAAGACTAAAAGCTCTAAAAGCAGCAGAAAAAGCCTGATAACAGTGTGTAACTGTGTCGCTTTGAGCGGTGTGTGTGATTGTTGCCTGACTGAGTGGGTGTGTTGCTGCTCTCTGCAGACGTTCAGTGTGGACCGAGCTGATTTGAATTGTTAAAAGAGGGAGCAGACATATGGGCCTCCAGAAGCACATGCATATGCAACAAGATGACAGTTTCATCTGTGTCGACCCAAAGTCAAGAAATCCTTCCAAAGTCAGGGCAGCCTTCACATCCAGTCACCCCTACACTCCCTGATCATATCACATCTTTTACCACGTCCTTCTGAAAACTTCAAATAAAAAACTTTATGCAATGTCCCAGATACCTCCAGACCGTTTAAATCCCCCTAAAGGAATCTCTTCAGAGTTCCTGAAACTCAGCCTGGAGAATGGTCCTCCTGACTCAGTCTGTTTTCATTCCAGCGATGACCAAAATAAAGAAACTGTCAAACATGAGTATCAGTCTAGACTTTATCTTGTGTCTGGCCCTCCAACAATAAGGACCTGCTGGCTCTGTGATATTTCGCCGCCGTTTGATGCTCGTGCTTTGGCATCATTTCCTCTGGTTAGAGTTTCCTCTCTGATCCAAAAAATCAGAGTTCTCACCGAAGCAAAAACACATACTGAAGAACCCTCCAATGGGCCAGCAATATCTCTTTCCAGCAATCGTACACTGCAGGCGACTGATACAGACTTTCAGAGATCAAGGATATCTTTATCATCCTCTGCAGGTGATGGGTGCCATAGTCAGCAGTTCCACACTCCCCAAATAAACTAAAAAGACACTGATAATTAAACCAATATCTCAAATTTCATATAAAGCTGTTTAAAGGACTGATGGCAGCCCAGACTAAAGAGCTTTATTGTCCTGAAGTTGGCTTGATAAATGTTCATTTTCAGGGGGGAAACTGTACAAAAATGAAAACCCCAAAGATCCAGAGTTAAAACCCACGTGTCTGCTGAATCCCTGCACTCACCTCTGCTGCTGAAAACTGAATCCACAGTCAACAGTGGTGTGTGAAATTCTATTCTCAGAGCCTTTAATGGGGTAGAACTTTAAAAAAAGATGCTTGGAGAATTTTCCGTGCAGGCAACGCCATTATTCTTAATTTTAGAGAGCTTTAGGTTTCCACTGTTATGCCACTTATCCTTTTCTTACCTTCCTTTGTAGTGGCTGTTTGAGTTCTCTCTATGCTCTGTGGTTGCTTTTATTCACTTCACAAAGAAAGTGCAAAAGGATTGATAGAAATCCTGAGGTAGTGTAGCAGCTCTAGACCTTAAAACGGATTATTTTTTTAAAAAATGGTGACGTTTCTCCTTCTTACAACCTTCGACATTGTTGGTGATCATGATGACAGCAAAAGTCCTGAACCATCTTGGTCTTGACTGGTTGATGAAGAAGAAGTGACTCATGAAGATGGCAGTGTTAAATAATGTAATGATTTTAAGCTGCAAGTGCTTTCAAATGCAGCAATGAGGGCTGTTTTATACATGAGGACACTAAGCACTGAAATCTTGGCCTGCTTTGGCTTTATAATGAAATGCTGCTAATGCAGTGAATATAGTGGACACCTTTGGTTAGATACTCATTTTCACAGCAAATAAAACCTGTCCAAAAAGGATTCGCAGGTTTCTAGACTGATGAAAGTTAGTGCGAGTTTGTATTCCAATAAGACGGCCATGGCTATCATTTGACATCACTGAGGCTATGTCTATGTTTGTGACTAAACCATTTTACACAGAGCAACGTTTCTGCAGGAGCAACAACATGATAAGCTGTAAACTTCACAAAATGCCTCAGAGTGACTCTTCAGTGCTGATGCACATGATGTTTTTCCTGGTTGCTCAACCACTAAAAACACTGAAAAAAGCAGTTTGACCAAAGGATGACACATGAAACTTCAGGACATGCACTTCAAATGCCCCCAGCCAGCATCCTTGGCTGTTCCCATCAGGGCCCTGTGTCCCCTCAGTCCCACACCGATGGTTTGACATTTAGACTCAGCGTCTTTTCATGCTTTTAGACAGGACACCAAGAGCTGGTAAACAAGCTCCTCCTAATGTGATTTGGCTGAACGTGTCTACTTAACAGGTCTACAGGTCTATGGCCGGCTCGTGGACAAGTGAGAAAGTGCACCTGACGGGTAAAACACAAAACTAATGTGGACTGACACAGAAGTTTTGTTTTCGGGACAAATGGTTGAAACTTTGTGTTGAATATCTGGAGCTGATTAAACTGACCAAGCTGATTCAATCTATACGGAGCCAACGATTAACATGCAGGATGTTTAATTAGGCCACTGTATACTACCAGACCGCCAACTGCAAAAGCTGTTGATATGCTCCTCTACTTCACGAAATCTGCAGAAAGTCTGCCGGAGTCCTCTTGTGAGCTTGGAGAGTTGTTGTTGGTTGTTTTAGCCTTCAGCATTTGTGGACTCTCCAAGAGGGAGCCTGTAAATTGCAAGATTCTGCAAGACCGAGAAGTCTGAATAAACAGAGAAAAAAAAAACGTGTTCTTGTCCTGCTGCACCAACCATCCAAAACAAACAGTAAATAAAGCCAAACTACACGTCAGTCCTTATCAAACTACCTTAGAGATCTCTGGATCAGAATGCGTTGTACATTGAAAAGAAAAGCTGCAGGTTGCTGCTGTTAGGGGAGAAAATAAATGGTTTAAACTGTTTTAAATCTATTACCTCTGTGGATTGTAAACATAGACTGTGTATAGTATGGACAACTTGGTTCCGCCTTCTGTCAGTTTACAGATTTAAAGCCAAAAAGCTCCCGGTATTTCTGCATTTTTTTCTCTATTTCCTGAAACCAACATTGTGCTGTAGCGTTGTACGCACCCCACCACTTGCGCAGTAGCATTGTGCGCATTTGGCGGGAGAGAGGCAGAGAGTCGCTGTGATGACACTCGACTCAAACAGCGTATCCCCCGGGTGAGCTACGCAATCGTCAGGGATTATGTTCTGTGTAATTAATTTCTAAAGTTTGTCCACAGCCCCATAAACTTTGCTGGCGGAGTTGGGATTTATGACCTATACTGCAGCCTGTCACCAGAGGGTGCTGTTCTCTGAGTGGCTTCACCCAGCGAGGAGGCAGACTCTGTCCATTCTATATACAGTCTATGATTGTGAAATGGTTAAAAGAAAGCCCTGTTTCAGGGGTGAAACTCAGACTTAGCCATGGCTACACCCCCTAAGTTTTGTACAGGGGGTCGAATTGCATCTTGCTGCTTTTTTCAAAATAATGGACTGCTTGTTGACATTTCACAAGGACACAAAGAGACTCTTTTTCTGGTCCCAGAACAACGGATATGTGAACCAAATCTCATGTCTTTGGGTGAAACCGTTCTAGGAGCTTAATTTTTGAAAACTGCAGGAGGTGCTATAGAGCTGATTTTCCTCACAAATATTCAAATCTTACAAGTTGTGAAATATAATTACCAGGCTTGATGCATTTGCCAAATTTGATGAGTTTTGGGGCATGTTTAGCCTTTAATCCAGTGCCTTGATGTCAGGTAATGCTGTGGTCTGCGGTGTACAGTGAGATAATAAAGCGAGAACTCCTTTCGGTGCCGAAATCTAAAACGTAGACACCTAAACCACGAACTGATGTGTTTTAGTGGATATCACTGCTGGTGGCTTTGAGCAGAGAAAGCTTGCAGTTGACATCTTAACATTGTTTTGCATAAGCTCTGAAATGCCCATAAAGGAGAGACAGCTTGAATGTGAACGCGTGTCGTCAGCGCTGACAGGCCTTTAGGGATGAAGACAAAACTTTGAGCCGTGAACACTCCTCCCCCTCTCTCTTTCACTTGTTGGGTCCTGAGGCGTTGACACAGCGGGATTAGTTTGATGGAACTGGTTTGACAAGCGGGAGACCATAACCTCTTTGAATAAAACACAATTCAGAAAGCTCACACTGAAAAAGAAACACTCCTCCATCTGAACCCTCAGCCCCCTCTGCTCACAGTTTTTTCCTTAAAACCCACAGAGAGGGGACGCATGAATACACTCACCTTCAGATCTGATTTCTTAACAAATCATTTCTTCTCCATTTGTGCAAGGAGGGGATCCCTGACACGAGAGGCCTGACAGAAAACTAATGAACATGTACAAAATGACTACATGCTTCACCTTTCACTAAATTTAACAATGGGAAACTCCTTAAAGTTTATTCACACCTCTATGTACTGACATTTTTGCATCTAAAAAAGTGTTGAATTCCTATCTCATTGAGTGAAATAATAGGTTTTAAATTAATTTGGTGTCTTAAGCTTCATAGGTGAATCCAGGGGACCAGATTCTGGACATGATAAGGCAGGACTACAGTCAGATCAGTTGATCAGCAGGACTCTTCTCCTACAGAGCCATGCTGTTGTAATCCCTGTTGCCAGATAGATGGAGAATTATATAGAGAATGTCAGATTTTGATTCACCAGTGTAGAATGGGCGCAGGCCTGCCTGTGTGTTCACAGATGATGGTTTTTAGAGGTGAATTTGAGCTCATGTGTTGATTTCCACTACAGGGTTGTCTGGTTTTATTTCAGTGCTTTCTACATTTAGCATCACACTCCTTTTTCCTGTTTTCTTGTCCATGTTACTGGCATCAAATATAAAAGCACATATACATTACATTTCATTTCATTTGTTTTTGGTTAAAGCCAAGGTTTTATTTGACAATAGAAGACAGCAATTATTTTTAAATGATTGTCTTTTAAGTGGCCCCATAGATCAACTTACAGCCCTGCATGTCTGTTTCAAAACTTTTTGTAACTTTTCATTGAATTTCTATCTGAAGTCGGGGCCCATGTTTACAAATCATGAAAAATTATCTCTAAAAGTTTCAGAGTTTTGTTGAGGTTTGGGTGCTGAGATTTGCAGGCTATGTTAGTAAAACTTATAAAAAGTAACACTTAAACAATTGTTCCGTTTTCTTGCTGAGATTGAAAAACAATAACTGTTTGGTGTTATATTTGTGGGATGATTTGAGTCTATGAGAGGCGTTTCTCACAGCATGGACCCCCTCCTGTCAGCCGGGATCAGGGGGGATCGTGTTGACTGGTTTTTGAGGTATCCTGCTGACTAACAGACAAACATGACTAAGAATAAAATCTCTGGTGTAAGGATGCATTATGCAGGAGTTTATAAATCTGGTATCAGGATTGAATATTCATATTTGAATAATAATAATACACTGATTTTAGGATCTGCACAAACATTTGTTTTGAGTTTTATTCATGTGTCCCTGGGTAGTTGTAAAATGCACATTCATCAGTCATTTCCATAAAGAAAACTTCATATTTCATGTCGTTGACCATAATTATCATTACTGTTCCCCTGTTTCTGTCCTACACCTCCTCCTCCTCTCGTGTGCTTTTTATATCTATATTTATTTCCTGCTGCTGCTGCAGGACAGCGATGATGTTGAACCATCACTTTCTGCAGAGATAGTGAAAATAGGACGTGGGTCTGCTGGTTCTCTGCCTGCGTTCAGCCTGTCACCGTAATCTATACAGCTCCCCCCCGAGCCGACGCACACTGCATAACATGATTTGTCACCACCCTTGTGTAACATAAAAGAAGCCGGAGCGCTAATAGAGAGAGAAAATCAAACAGAGAGGGTCACGCTGCAGAGATGTGACAGCAAAAAGATCTGATTATTGTGCCATGACGTGGCTCTCCTCCCTGCAGAGCGACCTGCTGCTCGGCTGCTGATACGACTGGTAGAGGGAGACTCGGTTCATAGTTAGTGTTTCAGAATCCGATTTAGCTTTATTGGGAACATACAAAGAATTTGACTCTGGTAAAGTTTACCCTCTATGTACAAACATTAGACATGAAATGTTAGAAAAAAATGAAAGAAAATTACAGAGTATGTACAAACTAAAATAGACTTTCAGTCTAGTGTTTGAGGAACATTGGCTTTCTTCTGTTTGTCAGGAGAATTAACACTCTGCTGATAAAACAGGTAACCTGAGGGTGAAAGTGTTCTTTATGTTCTTTGCTTCTGAGTGTTAGACCATCACTGAAAGCATCTGCAGCAAAAGCGCCATCATTTCTAGTCCTTTTTATTTAAAGTATCTCACTGTTCTAACAAGAACACAAATTCAAAGTGCAAACTCCTAAATATTGTCGTGCCCCCCCCCCCAACTTTCTGTTTTTATCAAATCAAATATGTAGATATATGCTCTGCTGTGAATGCAGTGTTTGCAGAACCCTCCCTGGAAGATCACAGGATATCACTAGTCCAGTTTTATTTACTTCTAGTGGTGCTGGAACCAAAAATTAAAAGAAGACCGCCAATTTCCGCTATACCGTTGATCTTTCATAGTGGCCAGAACAAGTGAGTTCGAGGTAGGGAGGCATATATACACACATGCTGCAGACTCACAGTGTCCAGTTTTCTGCATGCTTGTTCTTCTTGAGAAAATGAAAGCATGTCCTTGTGGTCCAGTGTCAGTCAAGAGTGCATCAGGTCACAATCAGTCTGGCAGCAGAACACAGAAGCTTCAAAGGAGGCTGGTGTACAGATCTGTGCCAGATCTGCCAGTTTTAGAGATGTCTCTGTACTGAAATTTCACCAGTCCATCCGTTTTGTATCCAGAGAACCATGTTCCCCTGTCCTGTCCTGTGTTGCTCCCTAAAATGAGCTTGTGGAGACCTGGAGCACAGCTGCAGAACCTGGTTAAGTGTCTACACCGTTAAAACACCTTCAGCCGGTTAGTTTGCATTGGCAGATACTCTAAACTAAAAGAAGCACCCTATTGGCTGAATGCAAAATAAGACTACTAGAAACTGCAGTTCCTCGAGTGTCCACTCGGGGCGTGAAGCTGGCTTGGAAGTACTGGAAACCACATACACACTCATTCAAAAAGGCCGATCTTAACATCAAAATTTACAGCCTGTTGCAAGTGAGTGGCTCATTTTTCTCTTTGCACACATGCTGCAGGGGGGATAGGAGATATAGAAGTTACAAGCTTTCAGGCTGCTTTGACTTTTGACTGACAGAAGGACACACCGCAGCACCCCACAAGTTAGGTCAACTGCAAGTGAGATTTGGTTGGTAGTTCCATCATGGCTTCAAAACTCTGCTTCAGAAACCACTGGAGGTCAACGCTGAGGTTTCATTGTTGTTTAAGTATGTGCTTTACTATCACTTACTCAATACCTGCACCACTGTAAACATCCTTCACACATACACACATGCACACACCAAAAACTGGATCAGATTAATTCTTCTTCTTCTTCTTAAACCTGCGCTAATTTCAGATGCAAACATCAGTCTCAGTGTGTAAAGACCTCTAGTGTGTAAGTGAGCAGAAAGGGGGCCTCCCATCAGAGAGTGAGGGAGCTTAAAGATGGCTTCTGATCACTCCGGGGGCCCCCGCCAGGTCCAGAGGCAGAAAGATGAGTGCTGAATGGAGAGCGGCGACCTGAAGAATAGGGCCTCAGTGGGGCGTCTGTGGAGGAGCGGGTGATCTGAAACCTCCTCCGTTGTCTTTCTCTGCCTCGGCCTCGGCCCGGGTTCTCTGTCTCTGCAGCTATTCAGAGTGAGCGCCGAGTCACACAGCTCCTCTGTTCAGGACTCTCACTCACTGTCTCTCCTTTTTCTTCCTCCTCTTTTTCACCCTCTCCTTTCTCCATTCCCCTTTCACTCTGCACTCTATCTGCTGCTCCATCTGTGCACTTCAGGTGCTCGGATGGACAGATAAGCTCTGATTGGGTTACTGAGGTGGGGGTGCAGAGCGCAGGAGGAGCCGAGAGGAGAGCAGTGGGGGTCTAAGAGAGCTGCCTCTTGTTTTCTGTGTTGTGGCTGTTGACTGCTGCTCTGTTGTGCCTTATCTGTCCAGGTTTCACGTTTGCAGCAGAAACAGAGCAGGTCTTTATGCCGTTCAGGTTCCTCTCTGTCCTGTTGTTCTGTTTCTCAGTTGATATAGCAGTTGGAACAACAGCATCACTGCTGTGTCCCTCTTCTGTGTTGCTGAAATGTCAACTTTAGCTTCAACTAAACCCAAATGGCACAACCTCAGCCCTTGATGTACTCACTGGAGAATGTTTTTGTGTCAAACGCTGCCAAAAAATGTCAAAATGTTGACTTTAAGGGACAGAGGAAGCTTTAATAATCATGCACACCACTTCTACCACCAGAGGAAGGTTTTCAGAGATAGAAAGGTTTTGCCTTTAGATGAAACTATGAGTGCAGCCCTTGTTGGAGCAAACATGGCAACTTATGTTGACAAAAGTTCATGCAAACATGTTATTACCTTTAGCACATTCAGCTCTGCCAGGCAACCTGTGGTAAACCTTTTTTTTTAACCACAAACTTAATTTACAGAAACAAAACAACTAAACGGACATCCATTAGAGCACTTATCTGACTACATACAACTCTAAGTCCATTTTCTGCATCAAAATACTGCAGAACTAAGTGGCCCTGTTGGACACCATCCATCATCTGTGCTTGTTTACATCCAAGTAGTAGAGCATTAAAACAGCAGCCTTAACCAGAGCTCCTTTTGTGACCCCTGGTGGTGGCTGCCTTGAAACTTAGACACAACATATGAGCTTCATTTCAGGCCTACAACAACTAAGATGTGATGATGACGTGTAATTGTTGATTTTTGAACTGAGCCTTCTTAGGTTTTAGAGTGACTTTTCAGAAGAAGTAGCATGACCATGCAGCAGCTTAACCACAAAAATAGCATGCAATCAAAACAAACAAACAAAAATCAACAACTGCTGACTATCAAAATAAGAATTGATATCTATGAAAACCTGTTTTTATTTTCAATTTTGCTCCAACTTTTCTCTGCAAAATCAAGTCTTTGTTGAACCACCTCTTTAACATTTCCTTGAATCACCTGGTGTGAAATTAAACATCGTCCAGCGAACCTTTCTGATGCCTGTTTGGATCAGTCTGTCTGAAACTGTACTGTATGAGTGTGGCATAAAAACACATACAAAAGTCTTCTTCATGTGTCCATGTTCATTCCCTTAGTGCCAGTGTTTTTTTGTCTAGCTCTAAGTTTGTTGGGGTTTTTTGTTTGTTTCTGTAGATGAAGTTGTGGATCAATAAATTTAAGCGCCACAAAACTAACTCAGTGTGCCTCAATGCCACAAGGATAAATCTGCTAAGAGAAATAAAAAATCCTTCCTCTAGTACTTAAAAGTAAGCACAGTGATCAAAGCTTCCTCTGTCCCTAAAATCAACATTTTGACTTTTTTTTTTGGGCAGCGTTTGACACAAAAAACTTTTTAGTGAGCATATCGAGGACTGAGTTGGTGCCATGTGGGTTTAGCCGAAGCTAAATGTTGACATTTTGACATGGGAAAACAGTAACTGCAGCTTGATATAATGATAATATAAGCCACATGCAGATACAGCCATCATCATTCACATTATTGACCAGCATTATCCTAACATTTTGATGAAGCTTTTATTAAATTTATCACAATTTTTATTGAACAAACTTTAAATGAGTTTTGGTAACCACCTGCAGAGCAGATGTGTTTTTGCCACATGGCCTACAGACAGTGCAGAGAGTACTAATTACAGAGGAGTCAGAAACCCCCTGCTGGACAAATCACATCACAATATCACTTTCAGAACACCCCGTGCATTGTTTTCTGCACAATATGTTCTGCAACAAAACAGTTTTTATCTCATAAAGTGAAAAGAAACATGCAGATAAAAATATTCCTGTGCTTGTCCAAATCAGATGATATCCACCAACAGCAATAAGCTGCTATCTTCTGAAACTACAATAACGTTTTAGTTTGCCATGGTTTAGGTCTGTTTTCTCCAAATGAAGCTTAGTTTCAACCTGGACTGTGTAGATGCTGCTCCTTCAATCTGCTTTATCCTGTCTTTAAAGAAAACATTTGACAGATAAGAGTTCAAAAGTTTTAAAGTGACAGCTTTCAGGGATGTTTTCCGGTTTGATTTCACAGTATTGCACCGCTAGATTTGCCTTTTTTGTCTCATACTCTCACGGTGTCTGGTCTGGTTCTTCCAGTTGAGTCCCCGTCCTGAACTCTGCTGTGTCTCTCCTGTGAACTGCAGGTGTAAGTAATAGCCTGGACTGGATAACTGGATAAATATCACCCCTCCTCCCCTCTCTTCTCTCCTCTGTACCTCTCCTCCTCGTTTTTCTGAAACCCCCCAGGGTCTCCAGTGTCCTCTCCACTTTCCACGGCAGTGATAAGATGTCGACACGATTAAGAGCGAAAGCTAATCCCCCCTCTCTCTCTCTCTCTCTCTCTCCCTCTCTCGCTCTCTCTCTCTCTCTTTCGGCTGTACTAAATGTTCAGGTGACACAAAATGCCACGGCCAAGTCTAAAGAGCCGGACAGCCTGTGGATGGTAGGATCAGAGAAAGAGAGAATGAGAGAGGAGGAGGCCAGGTGGACAAGGGGTTGGATTGTAACTAAATAATTAATGGGCGGCACTTTCGTTTTTTAATCTGTAAATGAGAAGGCCGAAGATGGCGAGGCCGGCGCTCTGACACCCGATCCCAGACCCATTAAGATAACAAGATGTTGGATAATGATCTCGGTTAAGGTGCAGTTTATCAGTCCAGGGGGAAGTGGCCTCGTCTCCCAGGTGGCTGAGCCTGTGTCCCCTGATGCCCTGATAGTCCATGTCTATGAGGCCTTATCTGTAAAAAAAACATGTAGAGTTCTGATATGATGACCAGAGGAGGAGGAAAAAGAGTCACTGCTGACCCTGATGTGCAGATTATCAGCGTGATTCCAGATCAACTAGAATCATAAAGGTCTCTGTCAGCCCCCTCAAGTCTTTTTCAAGTTATAAATCCTCTCATAGGATCCATTTATTGTGCTTACCTGTGACACTAATCCAAAAAACATTGTCTGATCAGTCCACTCAAGTTCATGATTGGTGGGCTGGAGGAGCGAAATCAGCACCTTGCCGAACAGCACAGGCTGAAATGTTGCAGATGCTGCATCCATAGTGACTAATGCATGCAGATTAGCTTTCGTTCATTATCACCTCTCTGCGTTTCTGCTGCATTTACTGTCCGATTGGCTATTAGCTCGCCGGGTCAGAGAGACAGCTGTGAGGGTGACAGTTGTAGTTTGTAAATAATGTAAAAAATAGCATTTATTAGTACATACATACATAAATTTACTTCCACTTGGAGGTGCATTGCTTGGATAGTGATCCTGTAGATGCTGCATCAGGGCTAATGTGTTTGACTGTATATACTACGGACAACTTGGGTCCGCCTTCCGTCAATACACAAATCCCTGTAATTCTAGGATTTTTTCCATTTCCTTTTAAAATGGAGCTGAACAGAAAAAAGAGGACTTGAGCACAAACCAGTCTTACAGTAACTACATGTGAACATCACAATCAGTGGGGAGAAACATTTATATTCTGTGGAATTCATTTCTAAAGTTTGTCCACAACTCTGTAGGGATTGCTGGAGGAGGCGGGGTTTATGACCTATACCGCAGCCCGTCACCAGAGGGTGCTGTTCTCACAAGGCTTCACCCAGCGAGGAGGCAGGCGGCGTCCATTCTATATACAGTCTATGATCAGCAGCAGCCATCCCAAACCACAGAGCTCAAACCACAATCTTTTTTTGTGGCCTCGTCTTGATAACTCCTTGGTCATTGGTTATTGTTGATATGTCAAAAATCCTCCCACACTGCCGCCTTCTCCAGATTCTACAATGCAGACAAAACTTTGCTGATTGGTCCTTCTGTCATGTAACGCTGCCTTGTCCATGTCTCTATGCTTTTATTCTGTTTCACCAAATATAATGTATACAATATTGAAGAGCTTTCGGACAGTTTGAGAAATATTTAATTCACATGAGTCTCCACACAGACCCTATTTTGCAGTTGCAATCCTCAAATAAGAACCTTTGATCGGCTTACTCAAACTTTGGAGAGAGTTGAGCTGCTCTGTCTCCTTCTGCATCCTTGTGTTGGAATTGGGATTCATCCTCAGCATGTGCCCACAACTCAAACCTCTGATCCTATCATTTATTTAGCCCGGCAGCACCATCCCCTCCCCCTCCTGCTGCACCCCACCCAGGTAAACACCTCTGTACAACACTCCGCTTGAGGGTGTCCTTTGGTTGCACATTTATAAGCTTCAAATGAGTAAACCCTGCAGGACACGCAGCGGCAGATATCAGAGCAGTCTGCAGTCTCAGGTCAGCACTCGAGTCCTGTGGTGGAGGAGAGGAATGAAAAGAGAAGAGATGGAGGAGAAAAGATGAGAGTAAGAAAAGATGGAGTCAAAGAATGAGTCAAAGAGCAGATGTGTTGATATTGTGAGTGCTGGTGTCAGAACGGTGTTTCCCCAGAGGCGTGTGCAAATGAAGTGATCTGAGTCGCAGCATCTGTTCACTGCTGAAACAGAGATACACTAAGTTACACAAATATCAGCCTCTGCACACAGATTATACACAGTTTACTGCTGAGGAGACAAAGCTTGCTGTTGACGTTAGATTTGAAGGACATGGAGTGGGTGTCGTGGGTCCTGACATTCACTATTATAGCTTTTGAGAAACTGTGTGTCAAACTTGAGTCTTACAAGCTTGAACTATGTATTAGTGATATTTAGAACTTTGACCCCTTTATTAAAAAATTAATGTATCCCAGGGCTTAAAGCTCGCCCCATGTTCAGAGGCTGCAGTCCAACTCCTGACTACAACTCTCTGCTCCGCCTTGGGAGTGAAAACTTGGAGAAAATATCAGGAGTGCATGTGTGAAAGAGGCGACATTGTCAACCATTTGCATATCCCACCCTCCATGTTCTCATTTTTGGATTTTTGGAAACAAATTAATTAATTAAACAAACTGCTGACATAAAAGCATCAAAACAGTTGAACACAAACCAAACGGTGGTGTCACAGAGGCTACATTCATTTTTCATATGTGGTTTCTCGTCCAGACAGAGTCTAATGCCTGCTATCCTGATTTAGACCTTTATTCTGGACTCCTCAGTGCAGGAGAGTTTGAATGAGGAGCCCTGAACCATCAACAAACCTTCACCAAACAGCTCCAGCTTGCAAAGCACAAATCTATCTTTGGGAAACTGTTTGAGAAAAGGGCACAACACACAAACAGTAGCAGCTTTGCTCCACACACACACACACACACAGAGATTTCCAAGGCTAAGTGACCTGGATGCTCTCAGCTTTGAATGACATAAGCACCTGAGCAGCCTTGGGTTCTGCACCCAACCTGAACATACTCGCAGGAAGGCTGATGGCGGCCCAGGATGCGCCTCCGTCCATCCATCAGAGGCTGCAGGTAATGTCTGCAAACTCACGCAGCTTACATCAGCCGGGATAAAGGCCTCTATTAAGGAAATGAATAATACCCACTGAGGGGAGGTGACCTCGCACCGGTCATGTGACATCAAGGCTGGGACACGATTGGCTGCTTTTGGCTAGTATCTATGGGAGTGGGTGGGTGGGGGGTGAATCCAGAGGGTGACGGATGCTCGAGGCCAAGTAGAGATGGGCTACAGAGTCAGCCGTTTCAGTCCTGTGATCTAATCTGTTACCCATCATGCATCTTGCTTCACTAATGAAAAGGCAAGGTCCCATTTGTCACATGCAGCTATGGTAAATGGAAATTTAACCCCCCACCCCAACCCCCTCCTCTTTTTACTGAATGCAGCTCCTCGGGTACAAACGCCCGCAAACATGTGCAAACAGGCTCTGATGATGGACGATAATGGCAGAAAAAGAGCCAGAGGAAGTGCAAATTAATATCAAGAAGAAGAAAGGAGTGCAGCTGCGGCCTTTTCTGTCACTGTGATCAGAAACAAACAGAGACCAGTTCCTGTCTCTGAGTATCAGGACTTCAAGGTGAATCATCATTATCTTTATTATTGCTTCCCTTTAAGAAGGCCAGAGGTGTGTGCGTGGGGTACACCCGCTTGAAGATGAAGAGGGCTCTTTAAGGGTCATTTCTGACACCACACAGGCGTGCACGTAAAGTGTGTGCAAACACTTTGCTGGCCTTGTGCAGACTTTTGATGGACGGCGTCACACTGATTGAGAGCTCCTCGGAACAACCTTCCCTGGTCAGATAATGTTGGATTGGAGGTCCTGAGTGGAGCTGAAACACAGAAAATATCATGAGTGCTGTGTTTTTTTTTTTTTTACTCTGAGAAAGGATCAACAATTTTTATCCCTTAGAGGCTAAAAAACTTGTTCTGCTGCCAGAAGATCACCGTTAAAAATGAAACACTAATAGCCTTAAAGCATTTATACGAAAATACCGTGAAATCCAGTGAGTAAGACGTGGCCTGTTTTTGGGATCTCTGAGGGAGTAAGGTTTAAAAGGTGATTTTGGTGATGTGCAGCTCTTTCTGGTCCGTCTGCTTACATTGTCTTGAATTGAGGAGCCTTTTCAATCAAACCAGAACTCCTCAAGCTCTGGTTAAAAAAAAAAAATGCAATTTTTATTTATTTATTGATTGATTTATTCACTCAGAAAGTTAAATATTAGGAGAGGTCACAGGGGAGGATCAAGAGCAATAATTTTACAAAACTAGGGATAGAGAAAACATCTTCACATCTATGGAAACCAAACAGCAACACACCAATTGCTCCAGTGGTTGCTCCCCTTTTCCTCCCCATGCCCTCCCGCTCCCACCAACCCTCTACACCCCCAAAATATAAAGGGGGAATATACACATATATAGAGGAAGAAAAAGGAAAAAAATTATGATAGTAATAAACCAGTTAAATGATTTTGTCATTCACAGAAATATTTATGAAATTTATCGATCTGGTTTTAGAAAATTCCACAGCACAGAGACTGCTTTAGTTAAAATTGTCAATGACCTCAGGTCCAACATGGATAAGAAGCTACTATCTGTTTTAGTTTTATTGGACCTGAGTGCAGCTTTTAATACAGTCGACCACAAAATTCTTTTAGATAGACTCCGTAATATAATTGGCAGCTCTGGTACTGTTTTTAACTGGTTTGAATCCTATCTTAGTGATAGACAATTTTACGTGAACCTTGGGGATCGCTCATCTAAATGTTTTGATTAAGTGTGGTGTTCCCCAAGGTTCCATTTTAGGCCCTACTCTTTTTAATCTTATATGCTACCTTTAGGGAATGTCATCAGGAGGCACGTCATCAATTACCACAGCTATGCTGATGACACACAACTGTATGTTGCCGTGTCTCCTGATGACACAGGGCCACTCGATGCTCTTTTCAACTGCATTTTCGACATTAAATCATGGATGGCGGAGAACTTTTTACAGCTCAACCAGGACAAAACTCAGGTTTTAGTCATTGGCACAGGGGACAAGAGCGAGAAACTGGTCAGCAAACTCAAAGCATTATCCTATAACTCATGTCAAAAAGCTAAAAATTTAGGTGTTTTATTTGATTCAGAATTGAGCTTTGAGCCTCACAAACGAGATATCACTGAGAAGGCATTTTATCACTTAAAAAACATCACTTAAAAAACAGTGCGACCATTTCTCTCTCAAGCCAATGCATAGACACTAATTCATGCTTTTATCACTTGTAGAATAGATTATTGGAATGCACTCCTTTCTGGTCTCCCCAAAAAGAACATTTCACACCTGCAACTACTACAAAATTCAGCTGCACGGATGTTAACAAGAACCAGAAAGAGAGATCACATTTCACCGATTTTAAAGTCTCTGCATTGGTTACCTGTCTCTTTTAGAATAGATTTTAAGGTTGCTTTATTGGTTTTTAAAGCTCTCAATGGCTTTGGCCCATCTTATCGATCTGATCTTCTTTTACCTTAAGAGCCAGGTCGAGCCCTCAGGTCTTCAGGAAGTTCTCTGTTAACATTACTCAAAGGTGAAACCAAGACATACGGTGAGGCATCTTTTTATTACTACGGCCCCCGTCTATGGAACAGCTTACCTGAAGACCTGAGGACTGCACCTCATCTTAATGATTTTAAAAGCAAACTGAAAACAAAGCAAAATAGTCTTGCTTTTAACTAAATTTTATATCATTAACTTCGTTTAAGTGTTTTAGCATTTATCTCTTCAATCAATCAATCAAATTATTTTTATATTATATATATATACTGTATATATATATATATGTATACATTTATCTCTTCTCATTTTAGTCACAGGATGTCTTTTATTGGGCTATTTTGGTGCTCTTATTTTAGTATCTTTTATTGTTGTTTTCATTTCATTATATTTATTATTTCTTAAATTTTATTCTATGTTTCTTTGTTTTTAGAATTTAACCTAAACCTCCAGTGTTTCCTTATCTTGAGTTTTATCATAACGTTTCCTCAGTGCGCACATTCCTGTTTCTAAGAAATCAAGCCCTTTTTAAGTTAATGCATTTTAATACTGTTTCTGTTGCAATTAGATCGTGGGGTGGGAACGGGGGGTTGGACTGGGGTAGATTTAGGTATTCTTTCAATCTTGGGTTGGGGTAAATTTGGGTATTCTTTGTTTCTTTTATTCCTTTTTCTGTGTAAAGCACTTTGTTCTACATTGTGTCTGAAAAGTGCTATATAAATAAAGATTGATTGATTGATTGATAATCAGATGAATTACAACTAAGAAAAAATAATAAAATGAAATAAAATAAAATAAAAGGGTAAAGATAAAGATGCACAAACCACTCCCAACCCCCTCCCACTGTCATCCAGAAATACCATAACTCATATTCATCAAACAAACTTTCAAAGAAACTGAACAACTGCACAACTGCTGTCTCCTTTATCATAATGATATCCACAGAGACAGCATTGTATAGAATCATGTATACAAATGAGATGACCAAAATATATGTGCAGGCGCAATATGTAGGTACCATTCAGAACATTGTACTGAACAAAAAAAAGCAGACAAATAGATGAGATGGATCATAAATATTTACCACATATCAATAATTTTCATTAATAGCTGACCAGCAGTTAATATTTAATGCTTTAGCCTCATGCAAATATATGCATATCCCGGTAAGCCATTTCCTCACTGACAGTGCATGTGGTAGTTTCCAATGATAGGCTATCATTCTTTTAGTAGCAGTAAGACCAGCCAACAGCAGGCGCTTTTTATTCACAGTTAATTTCAAAGACCAGGTATCTTTAAAGTAAAAGCAAACTCTGTGAGTGAGGGATGACCTCTCCAATTATATTTGACATGATACTCCAGACTTTGTTCCAGAATCTACTAACCTCCGGACACTGCCAAACCATATGATAGAAAGTAGCAACAGTACAGAAATCCCAATATGGATCATCTTTGAGTTTTATTTGTTGCAATCTTCGAGAAGATAAATTAGACCTATAAATAAATTCATGGTGTATCACTTGATGGTCAAGGTCAAATGTTTTTAAAGGTTATCAAGCTAAATTGATAGATGGTATGAACAGGCTGTGCAATGAGAGTGAATGAAGTTAGGGATAATGCATGATGCACAGGGCAAAAGTAAAGGTGCAGTTTTCAGGGTCCATGAAAATGTTTTCAAATTAACCAAAGCAGTGTTATCATCTCAGAGATGAATATAATCCAACACTGGAAAATCAGGCGGCACCAAACTCTTGCTGAACTCTCTGAGTTGTTGTTCTGACTTCAGCAGATGTTCACTTTTTTTTTCTAACACAAAAACTCATTTTTCCCACACTTCATGAATGCAGCATTTGCGTCAGTCCTGCACAAAGAGGTGTTGTCTTTGGCTTTGTGTTTGGAGTTACAAACAGTACTGAGACAAAATTTCCAACTTTTAGGTGTTTTTTTGGGGGGTGTTTTTTTTACAGGAACAAAGATATGATCTCATGGCATCGTAGTTCCAGTTTACAGTGTCTCAATTTAGCAAATTAGGAAGTAAAACTTGACCTCCTCATACTTTTGTCTTTATTTTCTTACTTCTCTTGTTTCACATCCTCCAAAGTGAGTCGCATCCATTTAATTCTTGAATTGTAAAATGAATACATCTGTAGTCATCCTCAGAAGCTGGATGTCACCTTGCAGGAGGACAAAAGTCTTGTCATTCATAACCAGCAGCGTCTGTGTTTGATACTCAGAGCTGCTTCTATCTCTGCTCCCTCTCCTCGTCTCTTTCTGAGCTTAAATCCTGCACTTGAAGCTCCTCAGAGCTCCCAGCATGAACACACAGACCCTCTTCCCTCACACGGCAAAGAAAAGACTAAATATGCAGCTCCTTGTTGCAGACTGTCGTGATGATATGAAATGGAGCAGAATTTCAAAAGAGCTGTGAGGGTGTTTGGGAAAATAGGGCGACTGCAGAAAATTAGAAGCAAATCGAGGTTAACGTCTTCTTCTTTTCATAAACCTCTTCTCTCTCTCGCCCTCTGTCTGTGTCTGTCTGTCTGTCTGTCTGTCTCCTCAGGGATTTTTCCGCAGAAGCATCCAGAAGAATATGGTGTACACATGTCACCGGGACAAAAACTGCATCATCAACAAGGTGACGAGGAACCGCTGTCAGTACTGCCGCCTGCAGAAATGCTTCGGAGTGGGAATGTCCAAAGAGTGTGAGTTTGACGCCCAGTTTGACGCAGTGTGAGATGTTGGATATCTCCAGAGAGTTAAAATGAAGAGTTTATACTCTCTGGTCGCTGCTGTTTGAGAGGCTTTTCCACTCAGACTAGATACAGCACAGTAGAGTTTAGTTTGATCTGGAATCTGGAACTTCATTATCTGACTTTGATGAAACCATCATTTTTTTGCAGTGCACAAGTTTCAAAAATCAGAAACTGTATTTAAACTTCAACATGCACAAATGTACATTAAGCAGCAAGACATTTGGAGCTTTGGCTGAATTTTGCTTGAAAAAAAAAAAAATCTGCATATCTGCATAAAAGGTTGGCAGTAGTTCAGTCTTTATGGGCTTTACTGCTCCAGAACTAAGGGTTACAAGTCTTGAAATGAACCTGTTTGCCGTAGAGGTGCTAATTCACTCTCAGGGTGCCTTTAAACATCCAGCTGCTAACAGCTTGTGTGTGCAGCCCCCTCACTCCATAACACACATAACTGGTGAGCTTACACAGCCCTGCAGAGCACCAGTAGAGTAGAAAACTCTAACACTCTGGGATCTGTCCTAAAGAAAGTCCGAAAATCATCCAACAATTCCAGGACGAATGTTAAAATTAGGTTTAAAATTACTTAGAGGCTTAAAGATGTGGCTGAATTGTGTTCATGTATGTGGACTGTTCTTCAACTGCTACACCAGCAACACCTCAGTAGAACATGACCACAGGATTCTTTGTGTGCATGTGTGTGCAGCAAAGTACATCTTTAAAAAAGGTGAGCAGTTGTAAGACACAGTCATATAAATCTACTCCCTTGTACTGTGTTTGGGTTTTCACATTTATACTAAAGAAGATCTTAAACAGTGGAACAGTTTTCAAGCCAAAACTTCTCTGCTGTAGCTGATTTTCTCTGATGAAGACAGAAAACAAGAGTCCAAAAAAAAAAAAACGCTTAAAGGTGGGGTAGGCAGGACCTGAGGAAGTGGAGTTTTTGAAAAGAAATCTTGAATGTAAACACTACCCCTCCCAACCAGCTCCTCCTCTCCCCTCCCTCTCTGCTTCAGCAAAGCCCCGCCCACAAACAGACGCTGCTGCTCACTCGTATCGCTTCAATTAAACTCAGATATAATGCAGATAAATACTTCAGATGATTATGGAGCCCAGTCAACGTGAGAGTAAAAAGCATTGGTGCTACTGTAGATGCCAACAGACTACCAGCAAACACAATGTTTGCAGGACTTCTAAAACTAGGATAAAGTGACATACTCCAGGACCTGAGGTTAACGGTTTAGCGGTGCTACAACACGCAGCAGGTGTCGTTTGACAAGAAACACTTCTGTTACAGACACTTGGCTTACTTTGTTAACTTTGTTGTTATTCCACCAGAGTCTCCGGTATTTACTTGTTTTCTTGCTTGTGTTGGCAGTCGTGGCCAAAGAAGGATTCAGACAATTTCCTGTACTTTCTGGTTGGTTTCTAATGTCTGATATTGTAGCACACTAACTTTGTTTGGGCTTGTGAATGACATGGGGGAGCAGCGTCTGCCTCACAACCAATCAGGTTGGGGGAGGAGGAGAATGGCTTTGTTTACAGTCAGAAAGAGCAAAGCGCTCAAAAAATGTAAAATGTTGACTACTCAGACATAACAAAACACAACAATATTGTTATGATATTGATAGCTTTTTGTATATACACCACAAAAAAGATGCTTCTTAAATGGAATCCTGCCTACCCCACCTTTAATACACCAACTACAATGACACACAGATTTTTTTATCCTTGGATTGTGAGCTAGGGTACTTCTGTTGCTTGCTTTTAAAAATCTGTTTGAAGTCCTGATCATGAAGAGTCAAAAAGTGCCCCAAAGTCCAAAAAGTGGGCATGGCTAGATGATGAGGTGAATTCTTCAATCATAGTTAACACTGTATGCAACAGTGGACAATACTTAGGTGATGAGACTCTGACACTTTTTCTTGGTGATGAAGACTTGGACTTGAGCACTGAGGACTTTGGTTATTGGACAACAGTACTTGTCCAGATCCGGTGGCCTCTTAAACTGGATTTTAAATCTCTTTGGGACTAAAACAAAAAAAGTAAAGGACTCTAAATGTGTGAAACATGAAAGTAGGACATTTCTAAAGTCACAGCTTCCACGCTGATCTGCTGAATGTATCTACAGCTATGTTTTAACCTCCTGGAGAAGGTGGAACAGAAGCTCCAGAGATGTCTGCATCACATCCTTCATGTTTCTCATGATTAATTCACTAAGTCTGTTTCCACTGCACTTTGCAGTTTGCTTTTACCCAAACACCACCTCTTTAACCCCAGCTGAGTGTAAACTCTAACATGTGCATCTTTTAGCAGCAGACAGTGTTGTAATGAGGTGGATCACCAACTGAGAGGGGTAGCCAAAGGTCTGCAGGGCTTTTAAAGGCCTGATTCGGCTCTCTATATTTAATTCAATTTCCTGTTTGCTGCTTGAGAACAGTGCTCAGCATTGTTTACCCTACACTGTAAAAAAAGGGGCTAACAGTAAAAGATGAGAGTTTATGAAATGCAAATGGTCTGCACATGCAAATGAATGTGAAACATTGTGCAGCTCATATACAGTTAATAATAATAGGTGTATTTTCTTAGATTTTGTTATTTTGCACTTTTTATACATTTATACATATATATATATATATTTACTTATATATATTTTATATTTTTTTACCAGAACACTTTCTCCTTTGCTTCTAAGACTCAGGGTTATGAAGTGATGATAACAAAAATCAAAAACATCCTGCACTTGTCACACGATGGAATAATTTCAGCCTTTTACCAGATGCCTGCACTAAGAGGAAAGCGGTCACTTGCTGCTCTCAGTGCCCTCATGTCCCCTCTGCTCCATTGTCATCTATAGGAACAGTTTGCATTTCACAGGTTATTGGCATCCTTTGATTGCATCAGCATTTATAGCTCAGGTCCACTTCATGCTCCATTAGCCTCAGCAGAGGACTCGTGGAAAAGATGAGCTCTTGATGTCCTACGGCTAAACCCCCCACCAAGCCCCTGATGAGAAAGGAGCTATTCCTTTTTCTATATTCATGGGATGGAGGTGATGGGGTGGCATCTTCAGCTTTCTGCTCTGAACACCTGAAAGTCCATGTCGGGTGAATTTGACCTCCACTGTCGAGTCTCTGCAACTCTGGTTTACTGGCGGCTTCTTAAAACCATCCACAGCTTTTCTTTTCTGCAGCTGTGTGGAGTCATAGAGAGTATATTAGACGTAGATGTAGTCTCTGTGATGGCACTTACTTGTTTCACTGCAGAGGACTGAGGAGTCATTCACAATTAGCAGTATCACTGTGACAATCAGAGCGAGCTCCAATTTTGACTAGGATGACAAAAATCGGTCGTTTGTACAAAGTAAAAATTTGGCTCTAACTTTTTTGTGCTGCTCTCATCCAATACCAACTTATTCTATTCTTTTCTGTTCAGTCCAGTCAAATACTCTGATATCAGCCTTTCTGAGCTACTTACTGTTATTTTATTGTATACTGTTATATTTGGGTTAACAATGTAAGTCAGTTTTTCATCAAAGATGCATCATCCGTTTGATTACCTCAGATAAACACATAATCAGACAAATTATCCTCATCAAAGTCTGTTTTTATTCTGAGGGAATAAAAAGAGAATAAAAACTGCTCTAGGCTGTGAATCTCCTGAGCGCTTGTGTTTGTGGTCATAGTTATTTCATAATGAGGGTGTTGAGAGCTCAGTCTGCAGCCTGAGTCAGAAATGAACATCTGCTCCTGGACACCACACTCGTGCTCTCATGTGCCTCTGGAGATAAGTGAACGGCTCAGACTGAACTCAAAGACACCGTTGTTAAGTCTGTGTGTGTGTGTGTGTGTGTGTGTGTGTGTGTGTGTGTGTGTGTGTGTGTGTGTGTGTGTGTGTGTGTGTGTGTGTGTGTGTGTGTGTGTGTGCGTGCGTGCGTACGTGTGTGCAACAGCTCCAGCAGGTATGGGACTGTATGCATCATTACTTCCACACATTACACAAGTCCTGCCTTTGTGTACTTTCTGAAGTGAGCAATCATGAGTCTCTTACAGCCATACTTGTGTGATGAGTTCTTAATCATGTGGAGAGGAAGACTGTCAGACTTCTGTGTCCATGATTGTGTCTATGTGTGTGTGTCTATGTGTGTCTTTGTTTGGTTGCATGAGCCTCAAACAGTAATTAAAGTCATGTAATGATAGAGAGAGACAGTTTGTCTTGTCAAAATTAGCTCTGAAAGCCTAAAATAGTTGCTTCAATGAGGCCATATAATTCAATAACTTTAAGTGAGTTGAACTGTATTTGTAAGAATTTCCCAAAGTCTCATCTTGTTCAATAAAAGGTCAAAGGGCATAGCTCAGTGGCACTCCGCACATGCATGAGTGATTGCCCTTGAAGTAGGTGCCCTAAAATTTAGCCTTTTAGAAATTTAGCTCAATGAATTCTCCTTCAGGGATTCAATAAAGTTCTTCTTATTATTATTCTTATTCTTATTCAAACATATATTTTTAGTTTTTAAACTGCACTCACAAAAACCTCATAGGCTACGTTCACACTGCAGGGCTTAATTCTCAATTCCGATTTTTTGCTCAGATCCATTTTTTTTTTGGTGTTGTTTGTTTGGCTGTTCACACAACCATCTATTATGTGACCTGTATCAGATTCCAGTGTGAACTGTTTGTGATCATTGTGCAAAATGTGTTGAAATAAGGTAAAACGTGTTAGTATTTTGCAAGAGTAGTGTATGAGGTCTGCAATGTGCGTCTAAAGTCAAAAGTCTTCACGTTTTTTTTTCTTAAAGTCCTGAATAGAAGTCCCAAAGTTTAGAGCTGTGGTTGCATTTGTAACTTATAATAACTTCAGTAATTTTGGGCTGTTTTTGAAAGCTTCAGGCTGTTTGGAGTACTTTTTAATTCTTGATTTACAAGCTGATAAATGCTTTATTCAAAGCTGCAAGGCTGCATCTATAGAAAAAAATCACTATATCTTACGAAACATGAGTTGCTTATCTGCCTTGAGTGCATCTTGAGTATGTTTCTGTCAAAGCAAAGACTTGGCTCTGAGCTTAACTTTCAACATCCTAATTGAACACGGATTGGTCGAGGTAACCAAAAGCAATGTTTTAACTCAGCTGATAGAGAAAAATGGCTGGAGTACAGAAGTCCTCACTGGTCTGCGAGAAGAAATGAATAAAGCTGACTGAGACAATCAAGGTCAAACTCTGTTGATGGTCCAGAAATGAGTTGAGGTTTAGGTTCAAAAAGTATTGTCTGAATAAAGTCAACATCTCAACAGAAACTAAATTACTTGTTTCCACATTGAGCGAGACAACATCGTTCAGAAATCTTCACACGTATGAAGTGAGACCATGTTGGTCTCTCCTGTTGATCTTCATATGTCTGAGTCTGTGTTTATTGCTGAAGGCTCTTTGTGCTCCACACTGTTATTCCGTTCCGTTTTCCATCTTATCGGTGTGGGAAAGCTTCTGAATCAGCAGTGAGACCGTCACGAGACAATCTAATTTTATCACCTCCATGTTGTGCCCCAAGGTCATATTTTTACAATGCAGGTTTTCCATCTGACAGCCCCCCTCCCCATCAGGACCATTAGCTTAAACTCAACATTTAGGTGGCAGCAGTAAATGATTACGGTTGTTCGACACCCACCTGGTTAGTGTTAAGTGCTGTGGCAGGCGGCCCGGCTGCACCACGTGGGCTGCAGATAGATCGTGTTTATTCAGCGCTGCATCTGTTTGCTCAAAGAGACACTGTGCAGAGCTTGGCAGCCTGCAGATGGCTCGCCGATGGCTTCTTCAAACTGTCTACGGCCGCTAACTTTGAGCCACACGATATAAACAAGGGCTGGAGGAGAGGAGAAATGAGTTAGAGGAGGACAAAGATGGCACAGTGTCTCGGAAATCAGAGGGATGGTGGCGGCGCCGTGTGGATAGTATTTACCGGCGTGTTGGAGCTCCGCTCAATGACCCTCCATCTCCTGCTCTTACTCTCAGGAGAGCTCTTCAGAAACACTCAACACACTCGTTCACAGCAGCTCACTCAAAGCCTGACAGAGAAGCTGTTTGCACACTCAACAGCTAACACACATACAAACACACACATTCACACAGTTTTCAGATTTTTGTGTTGGATTTAGGTGGTCTGTGCTGCCTGCAGTACATCTATTTGCATTGGTATATGTTTTAGTTGAGGTGCTATATGATCGGTGCATGATAAAAAAACAAGTCCAAACTCACTCAAAGATCAGCAACTGCAGAAACTATGAAGTCAAGAGCAGCTATCACGGCGAGGACATCGCTCGGCTCCCTCTGCCTGCTCAGCGGGTATTAAAAAGCTGTGTATTTTCACGGCTTCTTGTTCCATGCATCATTCGGATGTATCTGCTCATGCTTGCAGTAATTTGCTCAGAGTGCAGCTGTAATTGATTGCCCAGGGTGGGTGGGGGAGAGGGTGCACTCGCCACGTTGCTGTCTTCCTAAATCACATCTCGTGGCTCTCCGGCCTCTGTGCGGACCACAACCCCCTCGCCAGACACTATTTGTCACCTCACTTTGACAAATGACTCACAGGACAGATTGTTTACCCCCCCCTCTTTTTTTTCTATACCATTATCTTACACCTCCCCCCAATGCACGGGGAAGAGTGTTTGGGTGTATGTCCTGTGCATACAGAGAGGGTTATTGACCTCTTGATTTTAACTTGACACTTTCATAGTTCAAGTTATGTTTTATGCAGATTATCCAGTGTCTTTGCAGAGCAGCCTTCTCTTCGAGCCCATGTTTTTGTTGTGGTCCAGATTTTCAGTGATCTACTGTTATTTTTGGGGTTAGCTGATGATGTTAAACTCTAAAGCTTCTCAAAACCATAACTGTACAATTTAACATGGCACCATATTAAAGAACAAGAGGAAATCATACTCTTTCTCTGCTCTGCTCATTGTACGGAGTAGGAGGCTGAAACTTTGGGCAGAGAATTCACACATAAACAGGTTTGAACAAAGACTAGAATTAGACAGAAAGTGACAGCCCTGGTCTAAACATATGTCAAACAATGACAACACAAAAAAAACTGAAAAGAGTAAGCTCTAATATACTGTTTTATGACCATTTAATCACTGTTTTATTACCATTCTATTACTGTTTTGTTATTATTTTTGCTTTAACTATAAGTGAGAAAAGTTGTCTTTACTATTTTGTTGTTTTTGTTTTAAAATCATTTTTCCAAAAATCCAAAAGTGGGATCAGCTCTTTCAAAGTTTACTCTCAGAATATTCATTAAAACATAAGATCGAGTCCTTGGTCATCTACCTCTGATTTAAGCGGATTCCTCTGACCCCACACTGACACCATAATCCTCAGTGATCAATGGGGTGATGCAGATCTTTCCACTGGTTTTCATTTTAAATATTATTTTTACTGCATATAAAACATTCAATTCTCTAAACTCAGACACTGACTTCTTCTGTCTTTCTGTTATTTGTGTTCATCTCATTTTTGTGCACTCCACTCTAGTCAACATCTCCACTGGCTTAATATGTTTTGCTGACTGTCTAATCACAGTAGATGCAGCTGACAGTAAACATATATAAATATACATTAAATGGACATATAGGTCAGAGATGTAGGTCAGTATGTTTGGAGTGATTAACATCAGCGCGTTGCTGCTTCCTCTCAGCGCTGACAGAAATCCAAACAAGGCTGCTGCTGACCAAAACACTCAATCTACATCTCTCAAACAGGAAATGATATTGACTCCTCTTTCATTTTGATGCATTAAGATGATCCACTGATGTGGAGAGGGAACATGAGATGTGAGATGTGGGTGTAGTATGTCCTACATAAATCAAAATGAAACATAAACTCAGCATATGTACCGTCTGGATGTGTCTGAGATGAATTGTGGTCTTGGCATTTTTTTTTACAAAGCGCTGGCTCTATGCATTATACTGTCATTTTTGGATACATTTTCTTCATCAATTCAGCCTAAGGGATTGTTTGGATGCAGTTTTTTTGATGTATTTTTTGAACAGTCTACCTTTAGTTTGAGATATTGCATTACATACACAGGTGAGAAGCTTCAAATGCTTCGCAGTAAGGTGAAGAAAAGGAGAAGAGGAAAAAAACTGCATGCAACATCTAAAACAAACTGAAATAATACCAAAAAATCACTTAGATGATGAAACAAGAGCAACAGTGCAAAAGTGCCCTCTTGAGTGCTCTTAAGGACAATAAAAATGCCTTCTCAGATGCCCTTTCTAAGAAAATGCATGAAAAGCAGCTTTAGTAGCTTCCTCTCCAAAGGACAAAACATGACAAAAAGCTTCTCTGGATGCCCTTTCACAGGGTAAAATATAAAGAATAATCAAAGAAAAAAAGTCCTTTTAATATGTTAAAAAACTGCAGTGTAGATTTCATTTCAGTATGTAAAACAAAAAGTGTCCATGAAAACCTCTTTAAATACATACATGCAGAATAAATCCCCCCTGGATCCTCTTTAGTGAATGAAATGTTAAAAGAGCCCCTCTGAATGTACTCTTTGCATCATTTATGACATTTAAAATAAAGGCCTGTAATTACTGCCAAAATCCAAGAAAATCAAAGTGCAAGCGGGGACTGTTTGAGTGCATTCACTGGTGGGTTGTTGCACAGCAAAGAAGAGCAAAGTAGATGTGTTTAGCGCACAATAAAAGCTACAGGGCAGATCAGGAGATCGGCTGAAGCTCGAGTTCAGATATACTGTATGAGAACAAGCAGAGTTGGGGTGTGTGCAGGTGCAGGTGCAGGGTTCAAAGCAAACTACTTCAAAATTTAAAATTAAAGCTAAAAATCTGTGCGTTGGACAGTAATCCCTGTATTCGAGGACATAAATCAACCCAGATTAGATATTTGAGTTTCAACTCCATCTGGGGCTAATACCTGATTATGGGTTAAACTAAATAATCTGTCAACATTATAACCTCTGTGACCACCAACACTCTGAGCTGATGGTGTTGTTGTTGTTGTTGGTGTGAGGCACAGGAGCTGCCAGATGTTGACATTAGTAAACATCTGGAGGTCTTTTACACAAAGTTGTTCCAACATGTGGAGATTAATCCTACATCATACATCAATTTATGATGCACAAAGATTACAGTTACTAGATTGCATTGGTTCAAAAATTACTAAGAGTTGGTTTATACTTTTGGTTTATTAATGACGCATTATACACACTTAAGAAGCTGCCATCTAAAGAAGCTACCATGAATCTTTATGAACAATCCAGATGAGCCACATCAGTACATAACAGTCTCACAGAGCAGCTCTGGTACATGATAAAGGTTTCTCTGTAAACTCAGACCCAGGTTGTGACTGTAGTTCAGTCAGGCAGAGACTCAGGTCCCTCAGGTGTCTGAGTTTGGATGAAGAGTCCAGCTCCTCCCTGTGTTATTTTAAAGCTGTGTGTGCAGCTGATCACAGACGTGTAATGTTGAGATGATCATGCTGTGTGTTGAGTAATGAAACAGGTCTGTTTGTTTTGGCCTCCTGCTGAGCAAACTTCAAAGACATGCACCTAATGAAGCACAGGACGATGTGGACTCAGTCTCTGAGGGAGTTCGTTACACACAACCTGAACAACAACCTGAGCTTTGTAGCTGCATGTTTATACCTTTAGATGGTCTCCTGGGGGTTTTATGCACATGTTTGCTCTGGATTATCAAGGAATATACAACAGGGAGAGTGTTCATCTGGGCAAACACCTTCTCACTGTCCTTTTGCAAAAAAAAAAAAGATTTCAGCTTCACAGAGCTTAAAACACAAAAGCAAATAGTGAAAAGTATGCAGTCAATTTGACTGCCCTGGTCATTCGAGGTAGTAATACTCAGACCTCTTTTGTGTTTTTAAATTGTAATGATAAAACAATGTTAGATTAAAGTATACACACATTTAGGAAAAGTCAGGGTGTATAGGTTTTATTTTTAAAAAGTTATGGCGATGGAAATTTTAAAAGCAGTCAAAATGACTACCTTGGTAGTTTGAGTGTGAAAGTGGCTGCTGCAAACATGGCCTTTAAAAATGATAAAGGTACAAACTGGAGGGTTTTTTTTAAGTTTAATTACTCTTTTTTGGAATCACTGTTACTCACTTAAAGATGTATTTCTCCTCTTATAACATCAGCGGAGCCTCAACTTTGATGACAGTCTGATTCTGTCTCATTTGGAGTGAATCCCTGCAGTTTTATTCCTCTGCTGCACTCACAGAGGAAGGAGGCCGGTGGCATTTTGTTTTACTGTTTTTGATCAATGATTCCCTTTCTGTTAAAAGTGATATCTTAGAAAAGCCAGGGGGAATGTCTTCAAATTTAGCTCAATCTCTCTTTAGGACTCAAAAATAAACTGGCCAAAGTTTTAAAGTACAAATGTCATGAAGAAATTAAAAAATGGCTGTAACTTTTGAGGGTGTACACATCACAACCGGCTACATCTATAAAAACGGTACTAAAAACTCTTCCTCTGGTTGTCTTTATGTCCTTTCAGTCCATCAACATCCGCAATCCAGTCATCAGTTTTTGAGTCTTTGCTGAGGCTAATCCTAATCCTGTGTTCTCCTTTAGCTGTTCGAAATGACCGGAATAAGAAGAAGAAGGAGAACCCAAAGCCAGAGTTGACTGAGAGCTACGAGCTGACGGCAGAGCTGGAGTCCATCATCGAAAAGATTCGGAAAGCCCATCAAGAAACCTTCCCCTCCCTCTGCCAGCTTGGCAAATACACCACGGTGAGTTCACTGTCCTGCTGTGAGGAGAGGGTTTGCTTGAAATTTGGTCTCTTTGACTCTGCCCCAGAGCTGTAGATGTTTAATGTTGGAAAAAACAAAAAGACATTTCTTGGCTTTGTCTTTGGCATCTTTTATTAAGTTTTTGAGATCATTAAACTCCACTGAAATACTGTGAGCCTTGTAGTTTGTAATCTGATGCCATATATGAATAAATTAAAATCACATCAGACCTGATCTGGTTTGATTCAACTCAGTTTGATTTGGTTGGATACAATTTGTTTTGATATCAATCAAATGTAAAACAGTGAGATTCCATTCAGTCACAGTTGGACTTGAGACAGTTTTTCTTAAATTGATCCATTCTGATTGGATTGGATTTAATTGGTTTGCCAAGATGTGACCAGAGCCATGTTTAATAATGAAGGCTGCTTGTGCTGCTTGCTAACACTGGGGTTTTAAATCCATCATACAGTCGATGTCCAGATGGGCAGGATTTTTAGAAAGTTCTTTGTCCTTCATATTAAGTCCACAGGGCGTGATTTAAGAGGTAGGGACTGTAAACTGTGGATGTTGTTGTTTTCTCGTTACCTGAGCAGCCACCATTACTCTTGTGAAAGTTAAAAGGTCAGTGTATGAGTCTCATGAGATTAAGGATGCTGATCACAGTATGCTGAATAACACAGTAAGACCTTGGTGGACCGGATAACAGCTTTAAAACCACACCATCAGCTGGTTTGTGTGACACTTTGACTTGCTATTACTATTAAGACTTCATCGTAAACATCATCATCTTAACGAGAGCCACGGTGTGTCTGAAACTCCATAACCCTGCTCTGCACGTGGCTCTGTACACTCCTTTGATTCATTCTTGCAGGAGTTCAGAGCTCATAATGATAATCAATCTGTTGTACTGTACTCTAAATCCCTCTCTAATGCAGCTGACTGTCCAGGCAAATCCTCGCAGACACTTCTTCTTCTGCTGCTCACAATAGCTATTGATCGGACATTAAGCGTGATAGGAAGACAATAAAAATCATGCATTATGTTTGCACCGTGCAGCCGACACATCATGACTCCCAACTGCCTCTGCTGAGACAGATTGCAGGCAGTCGCGGTGTTTGTTTACCCCAGTTTTCATATGCTGCTACAGTGAGAGGAGAAGTTAAAAGAGAGCTGTCAGGACTGAGAGACGATGCAGCTGCAAACATCAAACCGTCATCAGGGGAATGTTTGCAGGCAGGCAGCTGCCCATCAGTCTGCTGGAGGCAGACACCAGCTCCAGCCTCTGGGTTTTTGACACGTCTGGAAAGTGGAATAAATTCAGCTAATCCAACTTATGTCATTATCTGCCTCCCTGAATCAAACCCGCATGTGGAAGCAGCGGATCTGTCCCCTGGCGTGCAGCAGCACTAAGCCAGGCGGCGTGAGTGCTTGTCAGGGTTGGAGAAAGCTTTATTCCCCCTGTCATCTCCCAACAGACGTCAAGGTCTGCAACGTCCCTGAACCTCCCCCAAACCCTCAAACCCTGTGCTAAACTAACAACCCATGAAAGGCTGATATCGAGGGGAATCTAATCCTCGCAGGTCCTTGAAGAACAGCCTCATCAGTTGGACACATCAAGCCTTCGCTTGTCCGGTCTCAAAGCTGCCGACCCTGCAAAAGGACACTGTCTGAGTGACAGCAAGCTCTTCCTCTCCTGAGGGACGCTGCTGCACTCATCATGACTCGGTGCAAAAGTTGTAGGTCAAACAAGTGTCGAGAAAACCTCCAGAGCAAGTCCATGACTCTGTTACAGCGTTGTTAGGCTGATATTGGTGATGCTTTGACAGGCGAGCGGATAAAGCTGCAGGACGACCGCGGGTTTGATAGCAAGCAGAGATAGCGGCGCCTTGATTGACATGTAGGCATGGCAGCATTGTGCAGGGAGCTGACAGCGTGGACTGTGTTTGTTTTTAGAGATGGCTTACATATAGATTACAGTGAGTGATGATTGACACCCAGGGAGAGTTTGGGAGCAGAGGGGGGAGGTGCATTTTGAAAGATTTGGCGGTGCTCGTTTCGGAAATCTCATGACACCTGTCAGTCACATAAAACAGTGTTTGTAGAGAGATAAACAAACCTGCTGAGCAGCCATAATGTGCAGTAATGTCTCTCTTGTTGCTGTGATGAAAATCATTCAGTCACTGACAATAAACCCTCAGAGTGAAGATGTGTATGAGATGCTAAAATGGAGCAAATTGTCAGGCCGTGTACGGCGCCTCGCTCTCCTCTGAGTGCAGCTGCTGCTGTCGCTTCAGTGTACAGTACAGTAAGCCTCCGTCTCCAGAACACTTTATTTTTCCCTTTTCAGTCCCAACACAAAGCTCCTAATCACTGGAGCCCCTCCCTGCTCCACCCTCATCCCTCAAGACTTCCTGATTTTCACTAAATAAACAGTCTGCATTGAAGCGGCTGAAAATAGGAGGACATAATAGCAGAAATCTTGCTCCCTGGTTGTGATATAAGCCAGTGTTTGCTGTTTGTTGGAGTGGCAGTCGGGCCTCAGATAAAGCCTTAATCTGGATCAGCGGTAATTATGCTTGCTCACAGACTGTGAGAAGTTCCTCATTATTACAAGCGATTGGATCCTGATGCGCCTTTTGAGTCCTCCTCGTCGGAAACAGAAGAGGAGCTCCCGCGCCCCTAGATTAGGTTAAAGCTCCAATTATGTGGTGAAATATTCAAATCCTAGTCTGCAGTGATTTAGGAGTTCATTGCCGGGTTAGCAGAGATAGCTGAGCGAGTGAGAGGGCTTAGCTCTACAATGAATAAGGCTTCATTGACAGTGATGGTGATGAAAAACGAGCCCGGCACTTTCAAAGACAAAATAAAACATTAGCGCTCTGCGGCTGCAGGCAGCTGCTGTACAGTAACGCTGCCATGCCTGGAGATATTAGCCACATTACAGTTTGTCCTCCCTCGCTATCCGTCACAGCTGATGCCTGCTTCGACTGTCTTTCTGCATCTGTACACACGGGCCTGCAGAGCGCTCGCTTCAGCTCTGCCGGCTTCTCTCCTAATGGTGCAACTTGTCTAATTTGTTTGGATAAATGTTCTCAAATGAAATTAGAAATCTCGTGCAACCTCCTTGTTTTGCTGAATTGAATTATGGGACTTGTGTAATTGACTGAGATTGCAGGAGGGTTGAAACTGCGAGTTATCCTCTTTAGCTCCCTCCTCCCCTTCTCCACCCAGAGGGAAGAAGAGCAAGATAAGTTGCTTTAATATCGGTCACCTCCTCCCCCCAACATATGTGCATTGTGCAAACTCTCCCTCTGTCTCCCTCTTATGTGTTTTCACCTCCTCCTTCCCCATCAAACCGGACGTCAATCAGGAGAATGTGCGTCCGTAGTGCTGTTGTGTCGACTGCGGCTCGTTGTCTGTGATTTAAGCACGGTCCTAATGTGCCTTTCACTTAACCCCAGATCATATTTAATGATCTCCCTCTCTCTCTGCCTCTGCTGTCTCCCTTTATCTCCCTCCCTCCCTCCCTCTCTTTCTCTGGGGTGGCCACACAATAGATTTTATTTGCTGGTGACAGTGTCCGGCAGCAGCTGCGGTGCTAACTGCCTCTCAGTAACGACCTCAGAGGGATTGATGTGCTGAAGAGCAGAGGGACGCTCCAGCTGTCTGTGCTGCTTGTGGGCTGCAGGCAGCTGCTGTGTTGAAGCCGTCTCACACTGAAGGAGCTCCCCAGGCTGGGCTTAGACTGATGCTGAAGTGAGAGGACCAACATATTGAGTACATATTGGATTTTCAGTAAAAGATGTCATATAAGTTGGTCAGTTTTTCTCCACCTGCTTATTTTTCTTCAACAGCTTCAGGGCTGTAAAACCTGTCCAACCGTCCTGGACATCATCGGCTGTCTGAGCTGTGTTGTCCAGAGATTATCCTCTTTGTAGTCCATCTTTTAAAAGTGCTGGAAGAAAACATGGACCCATAAATTCACTGTTTCTAAGATCCTGGGCTGCAGAGCTGCTGAAGTTGTTTAGTAAATATCAACTTTTGCTCAGAGTAGGTGTATGAAAAGAAAACAGGAAAAACTTTTACCAAGCATGACAATATCGGACTGTGTATGAAGTGTGCAGCCAAAGGACAAGTCGTTTTTTTTTTTCCTCACATGAAATCCCCTCATTCTTTCACATTTGACACTTAGGAACATTATTCTAAAACTGTTGAACTATAGTATGAGCTCATACAGATTCCCGCTGTCCGAAATTTGCCATAGATTTTCCTCACAAACACATCCAGTAGAATTTGTTGGACAGGGAAAATCGCAGCGGTTCCGCAGCGATGCAGTTCCGTATGTGGTGGAAACTTGGGGTCAGCCTCTCAGAATGCACTTCTTATACCCAGTCATGTTACGAACCTGGTGGAAATTAACTTGATTATTAGTTTATTATTTGCATTTTTTTGCATTACACAACTTTTTACCAGTCTGGTTCTCCTCTATGACAACTATTTTTCAACCTGCTGCTGGAATCAAATTTAAATTAGCAGAAATTTCCCACAGAACAGCTGAACTTTTCCCTTTCAGTATTTCAAAAGTTGTTTTTTAATACTGCTATAAATTAAATACAAAGGTTTGATAATTTGCAAACCTTCCGCATCTGTTCGATCATCATCATTTTACACTGTGATTTTTCAATTAGGGTTATAACAGGGTTATTGTCTGTCTTTGTGATCTTGTGATATAAATAATCTTCGGGCGTCATGCTGAAGACCATGGAAGTAAATGTCTTTACTCTGGACTCTATTTCAGGACAGACAAATACAGATGCATGAATTTGAACATATTTGGGAAGAGTTCATAGATTATATAACACTCCTGTGACCAGCTGAAACAAATCTCTTACAGTCTGTTATTGCTCTGAAGACTGCAGGGGGGACATGCAGACAGTTCGGTCCCACTTATAAATGTTTAAAAGTCTAAACGAGAATCTCAGATAGACTTATCAGACTGATTTTCTTCTTTCTGTACAGCTTTAATATTCTCTTTGTCTGGGTTTTGATGTGCTTAACTTATTTAAAGCTCCGTTTTCCTGGAGTTCATGGCTTCCTCAGTTTCATTTATAATTAATATGTTTATACAATACTCGGTTTAAAACTGCAAAGACTGAAAACTGGGTTAGTTTTCCAAGGAACTAAATAAAACAAATTAAGACTTGTGAATACATTTTCGGCTGTAACTTTCTGCCATTAAAACCTTTATGGTCTGAAAACATTCCTCCCTGTCTGCTCAGACTTTCTCTTTGTCTGTAAAGTCAGTTTGAAGAAGTGATTTTCTTTCATGCTGCAGTTATTACAGTATTTTACACTGAATAAGCACTGTAAATATCCTCAGAGTCTGTTTGGAGACGTAATTCACTCTCAGTCAGTGTCTCTTAGCTGTTTGTATTTATGATGTGGAAAAATGAAAGGCTGTGCAGCAGTCATTTACAGCTGAACAAAAGCTCCTCTCATCCCTCCTGAGGCCTGTGAATCATCCTGTGTACGCTCAGATCAGAGCTCCGTGTTTCTGCAGGCCGAGCAGTGGCATAAATCTTACTGATGCTGTCTAAAGCACTTTTTATTTCCTTGTTTATTGTTTGTTTGTGCGCTCGAGCTCCTGCCCTGTTGCATACCTGTTACATAATGAAAGAAAAACTCTGCAGAAGGAAGAAATGGACTCTGCAAAGAAGACAGGCTCCTCAAGGAGTGAACCACCAGAGATAGTCAGTCGTATTGAGACAGTACTGTGTGAAGCAGGGATGCACAAAGCTCCTGACTGCAATAAGATCTTGAGTTTGCACATACTCATCCTGCACACACGCACACTGAAGCTGTGGCTTTATTTCAGTCAGACCTTTGCAACACAAAGCTGAGACAGTCCTTTCAGTGGGATGAGTTCACTTCCTCCTGTTGTTTCCCTTAGTCCACATTATTAATGTTATTTGTCAGATATTATTGACCACATCTCTCTACTCGCAGGCACGTGACACTCACCGTGCTCTGTGCTAACGTTAGCTGTGGCTGCTGCTGCTTCATGTTTCTTTAATTTTCTTTCATATGGAGTTAAATTCCTGCCAAAGCTCTACAAATGAAGAGAATGTGTTTTACAAAAACGATTGAATTCACGTGCTAAGAATGCATGCTTTGCGTAAAAAATCATGTCTTTCCTTTGACTACAAATCTTAATCCTTTACAACAACACAAAAATAATCTTTACATGACAAAAACCTTTGTGTAACTCTTTATCTACAAGTATATCAAAATATTTCCTGTGAGAACATGTTTTTTCCTCCTACGAGTACAAAAAAATCCCACAAGAGTTAAGGCCTAAATTCTCTGGCTGTGGGGTGAAGCTGAAGATTTTCGCAAAGATTTGGTGGGTTTTCCCAACCAGCAGGTGGCACTGTGGCTCAGTCTACCCGTGTTGTGCCGAGAAACCCATGCCTGCCGAGAATTGCATGCACCTCACGGAAACGTGCACCGCTTGTAGAGGTCCACAAAAATGTTTGTGGGGCTAAACAGTGGTGAGTAATGAGCCGAGAGTTAAGTTTATATCTTTTGTGTTATTTACTTTGAATGCACCTTGAGATTAGACGTTTTATCTGCCTAAACATTTCAATGCTGGAAACACAAACCTATGATGATCGACTGATTTTAAGTTTTATTGTGAAGTTGGAGTGTAGTCGGCAGACGCTAAATTTGTATGTCATTGTTGAAATGAAATGAAATGAAACAATTTTGCTGCCTCTTGGCCAGAAATCCCTTGAAAAAGAGTTTTTTAATCTCAATGGGACATTCCTGGTTAAATAAAGGTTAAATAAATAAATTAAAAGTAACCTTATATCAGCTGTTTTTCTGTCTGCCCAAATATGCATCCACCTGTTATTCAGCTGTAGAGACAATAACAAGTCATATTTTTGTAAAAATGACACTAGGGAAGTCCACAAAATAAACTGACAACAGTTTGTGACTACAAAGAATTAAAATAATGATATTATGGGTGGATGCATTTTTCTGCAACAGCTGTTTTTTCTGTCTGCCAATATATACATAAAGCTACAGAAACAATAACAAGTCATATTTTTGTGAAGATATAATCTATACAGTCCAAAATATAATCTGTCAGTAGTTTGTGACTCTACAAGGGATCAGAAACTAACTACATAGGAATTGCCGAAATATGCATCCACCTATAAATTTAACTCCATACTTTCAATTCAGGTGAGACCTCTGGAGTTAAAACATGAGTGTGCAGAGAGGAGAAAACATTTTTCTTTTCTGCACACTTGCAGCATATTGAAATGAAACGACCTTCCTCTAAGACAGTGAAAAGCATGCACAGCCATTTCTATTTCTTTTCAGCTTGTTGCAGGTGCTTTTTAATAAAAGCCCTGACAAAGTTGGATGATGCAAAATTTACCCTTAAGTATAATAATGCAGCCATTACAGCCTATTTTGCAGGCTTGATAAATCCAGATTCTTTTGCACCAATGAGTCATTATGACCAAAAATATGCCGCAAAAAGCACACATTTAGAAAATACTAAAAATGATTTTAGTGGTTTCACTCCAAATCATGTCCTTCTTCATGTCAAACAGCATCTTGATTAGAGTTCATGTAACCAGAAATAGCAAATAACATGACTCTGTTTTTACAGTGCTGACCATTAGCTTATATCCAATATCATCTTCATACTCACACTGTTCGTTGGCTCTGTAAACACAGCAATATGGATAAAAAGGAGTCCAATTAGAGTAGAAACGAGTCCTGAACCCTGCCTGCACTCACTCAGACCTCACTGTAGACCTGAGGCTGAGCTCTTTAAAGCTGCAGAGGTGTTGATGCATTAGATCAACTTTTCACAAAATTTGAAGATCTCATCAGTGATTTCAAAGAGAAACCTGGCAGGTAGACTGAAATAGTCTGATAGTTAGCACAGAGAGAGCATGCAGATGCTCTCACATGATTCTGAATTAAAGGAGTTTAATCAGCAAACTGATGATTCATTCACTCACCTGAGCTCACATATCACCACCAGGAGAACAATCCTCCCATAATCCTCCTCTCCTCTCGTCTTTCTCAGACCTCACTTCCCTTTCCTCTATCTGTCTCCTCCTCCTCCTCCTCCCTTCCTCTCCTCTCTCTGGAGTCTCACTGCTTTCTTACCCTCACTTTTCGCTCATTCCTCTCCCTATATCTGTTTCCTTCCTCGTTGCCTCCCACCCTCACCCCCCTGTGTAGGTTCTGGACCGTATATCTGTATTAATGGCACCTCTGGCTTCAAACCGCTCTGTGCTACCTGTCACCGCTCTGTTTTTGCATCCCATCATTGCCAAAGCATCCCACTGACACTGTTAGGCTCATTATCTCAGGGCCCGGCTCGGCTCGGCTAGGCTCAGCGTATTCACAACAACAATCCTGCTGGTGTTTCTGAGAGCTCCGGTCTTATGGAGCCTATTTACTGTGTAAGTGTGACACATATAGAGCAGAGCGGGGAGATCATTAGCAGCCGTCTGTGCAAAGTAGCTGCCTCGTCTTTCCCTGACGCCTCACTCTTCATATCTCTGTGTGTGTGTGTGTGTGTGTGTGTGTGTGTGTGTGTGTGTGTGTGTGTGTGTGTGTGTGTGTGTGTGTGTGTGTGTGTGTTGCAGAACTCGAGTGCAGACCACCGTGTGAGGCTGGACCTGGGCCTGTGGGACAAGTTCAGCGAGCTGGCCACTAAGTGCATTATCAAGATCGTGGAATTTGCCAAACGAGTGCCTGGCTTCACGGGGCTGACCATCGCGGACCAGATCACGCTCCTGAAAGCTGCCTGCCTGGACATTCTGGTGGGTGCTGGTGCTTTTATTTTAAAAGGAACTCATTTCTGCATTTTGGTGCCTCATCCTATTATTTTGCAAAGTGGATAGCTCAGCATAAAAGTTTCTGGCATGCAAGTTGAACATTCATAAAGTACCTCTTCTACCTAAAGAAAAACTAACTATTCATGCAGATATTTCAAAAGTTTAATTTCTAAAACTTCTGGTGGCTTAAAACTTTCTCAAATTAAACAGAGAGAACAGAGTTTTGGATTTTATCAGCTTAAGTGCAGAATATCATTAAAAGACTGGATAGTTGTGATTTGCACTGTCCAAAAAGAAGCTTCTCTCTCAGTAGGGGTTCCCACAAAACTCTATCTGTTTGCCATTATGATTATAACCTAACCTAACACTGAGTGAAATGAGTGAAGAATCTTCAAAAATTTCTGTGAGCTACATTGTTTAACACCCCTAAACTAGGGCTGGGCAATCAAACAATTACGATGTATCAAAAATTAATTTTCCTCATTATGGATATAAAACATGGTCAATATCCTTTTTGAAAGTCAACATTCTGCCATGTTTTGGTAGTCGATACAAATAGCCAATGAAAAGGGGAGCTCCTCCAGGTCCGCTTCAACTGAACCAATCATGTGCTGAATTAGAACCAAGTAGCTAACAACTGCGTAGTAGCAGGCTGCAGCTACACGCAACCATAGCACTTTAACACATGAAGCCAACAGCACTGTTTGTGAGAAAAAAAAGAAAATGAATGATACCCCCGGCAGAAATGCAGATGAAGGCTCAACAGATGATTGACAACACTGGCACGAAAATGTCGGTGGTGTGGAGGGTTTTTTTTTTTTTGAGGTTGGACATGAAGCAGAGTAATGTGCACTGCAAATCATGTTGAGTTCATGTTCTCGCAAAGTCAGGGAATACCTCTTTTTCACCACCTGAAGCAGTGCCAGGTGGCAGAGCACGTGCAATGCAGAAGGTGACAAACCCTGAGTGGAGCAAGGAGCCCATGGCACCTGTGCAGCCGAAACAGCTGACCATTCAGTCTGCTTTCTCTAGCATAACACCTTACAACAAAATGTCGAACACACACAAAGAGCTCACAAATGCAGTAGCTTATTGTATTAAAAAAGACATGTGACCAATAATTACTGTTAAATTTCATTTATGAGTAACAGGGAACATTTAATATTGACAAGTGAATTTTTTTAAATATCCTGATATTGTTATCGACTGATGTGAAAAAAATATACTGTGATGAACTTTTTCCCATATCGCCCAGCCCTACCCCAAACATATAAATCAGGGACTACCTACCCAAAACACTTGAACAACAGTTAAAGACATGGAGATAAGACTGGATGGTCCTGATCTTCAGGCCGTGATGTCACAGTGGCTACATCTTTGTACAGTTAATGTGTAGAGCTAATGTCCCACATTTAAAATGTTGCAACACTTGAGAGTTCAGACCTCGGTCAAATAAACCTCCAAAAAATACAAACTTTTGGGTCTTGTGATACTTCTATTTCAAGTTTGCATCAGACAGAGTCCTGGTCTCTTTCCTGCTCTTTTATGTACATTCATCATCAGACTGTGAACTAGTTTACCAGAGTAACTCTAAGATACACAGTTAAGATGCTTCTTCAGTGGAGTCTGAACTCTAAAATATTCAGTGATGAGCTAAAAACCTTCCATGAACCGTTCACAGCAGTGTCAGTTATATAAACACACCTCTTTAACAAATGTTATCAAATTTATTCAAATGTTGCTCCTTTCTGTGTAAAACTCAAAGGTTAGCGGTGAGTCGATACCCTCAGATCCACAGGGACTAACCTCAAGCTCTGCTCCCATTAGACAAATCCTCGAACGTGATTGGTTGGCCCACTCAGCTGGCCAATAAGAGTCAGAATCCGATTAATTGATCTTTCCAGTCAGTTAGATTCTTCATGAAGAGTAGCTGTCTGTAGTGGGGATTAGATTACACACACACACACACACACACACACACACACACACACACACACACACACACACATTTTTCAGCCTGTAATCTCTCTGATACTCTCGTCTGTTTGTTTTCAGCGTGGGTCACTCCCTCGCTCTGTCTGTAAATGATGCTGCACGTCTCTTTATGGAGTTCAGACGTGGAAACATCTGCAGGGCCGGCTGGTCGGCTGGATGTTTGTTTGTTATGTAGGAGTAGTTAAGTGGAGCGATGTCCTGTATTAATGCAGCCACTGTAATGAGATGGAAAAAAGGCAAACGGCTGTGTCTCTTCCTCCTCTGTCTCGCTGTTGTCGGCTGATTGAATTATAATGCTTCACTAAGAGGGAGAGGAAGGAAGAGAAAGTGGGCAGACAGTGGTGACAGACTTGTTGTGTCTCATGTAGACATTCATTTTGACCTGTTTTACTGGAGACGGTTTGGCTAATCATGTTGATAGTTATATGAGATTCATTTTAAAAGTTAAAAACTGGAGATGTCAGGAGGGGCTGCGAGCTGAGCTGCTGCTGTCGTCAAAGGCCCAGCCGATAACTTATAAACTAGAAATCTGGTTTCTTAAATGTTTTATATAATGATAACAAGATGAAGCTGAGAGGAAAAAGTGCAGTCTGAGAATCTGCAAACAGAAGAAAGTTATAATTATCATTTAAAGTGTGTGGCCATCTGGCTGATAGTGTGCAAAACTCTGAAAATACAAGAGATTAGAGATATTTCCCATGTATTCAGAAGTTTACTATCAGGGCATCACCTCAAGTTACTAAGCTAATTAAGGACTTCTAAAGGGAGCCACAAGTGGTTATCAAACCTGCCTGGACTGAATCCAAGTTGGCGCCTAACTTTTGGATGAAGCAAAGTTCAAACTCAAACTCACTGTAGGTTCAGGCGGCAGTTTTTTCCATGTGATGGAGGAGCTGGAGGCGGCCTCCTATAGAAGCAGGCACTTTGCAAACAGCTGTCCCACATTGAGGGATAATCCCACAGACTGCTGAAGTTTCCTCCTGCTCCACTTCTCGTCGCCTCTTCATGAGGAGCAGAAACTCTTTTGAGGAAAAGTCAAAGACAGTCTCACATGAACGCAGCGCTCCTCCGGTGTCTGGCCTGACGTCAGCCTCACGTTGTCAGCCTTGAACGTCGTGCAGACGCATCGTGAGACCTCTTTGATTCTGCTCCATTTTTGCAGCTCAGACATTCAGCTGCATCAACCCAAATCTACCATTATGTAACCGACCAAAATAGAATCATGGCTTATTTTCGCTGTGATGATTATGCAAGTCTCGAGTCTCCATGAGACAGTTTTCATACTTGAGGAAAAGGAGATGAAATGATGTCTGCTGAGAAGTTTGGAGACACACTGAGAAAAGTGAGAGAGGAAAGTTGACTTTCTCACACTGTGGGCTGTTATTTTACTTACGGGGAAGTGCGCTGTGAGGATTAATGGCTTAGGTGTGTGCTAATACACCTGTTGTTCAAACTGCAGTTTAATATGTATTTAAGTATTATACAAAGGGCCATTTAGACAGAGATTATGAGGATGTGCAGGGATAAATTCATACTGTATGAACTTTTTTAGACACTACTCAGAAGTCCTGACAAAATTAGGAGGTCTTCTTGAAATCTGAATAAAGGGTTATTTTAGTCTTTAAGAGCATTAGCTTGATTTTGTTTATTTGAGGGAGAAAATAATTTGTTATTTTGAAAAAAAAAATCAAATAACACTCATTGCTTGAGACTTGAAACATGCTGAAAAGTCTGTTGTGTCAAACTGCATTATAGCTGTTGGCAAATCTATTTCTCATCTACAATATTGTCAAGATTGGGTAAAATTGAAAAATTTTACAATATTTTTGTACTTCTTATTTTTTTTAAATGAATCAAACTGACTTGTTTTTGTTCTTGCTGATGCTCCACCTGCACGCCACAGCAATAACAGCCAGTTTCCTGGTTACTGTAGAAGAAAGTTACTGCAGTCACTTCTAATTTTCTGCAGCTTGCATCATGATTTAGATGTCAAAGTATATCGAACAGGGTAGATGTCTCTAAATCGAAGTTATTTTTTATTTCTCTGGGTTGACTCGTCTGGAACTTTTTTTGTGCTGCTCTCTAACTGATTCACTGTCATCTGTTGTATCTCATGTGCTTTCTGTATTTCCTCACCGAGAAGATCGATAGAAAAAGCTGTATCGTATTTTAATTCTCCTCTGACAACCCAGGCGTAAGACTTTATCAACTCCTTTAACTGTGCTGTAAAACAGCCGTGCAACCCTTGAAATACTGATATATGCGTGAAGGAAACTGGACTGTTTATGAATCCTTAATAAAACCAGGAGTTTTAACTTTATTCCAGGTGTCTTTTTAAAGAATTAGACACTGAGTGGGTCGTTTGATCCCCTCTTAAAGGACAAATGAGAGAAGAATGAAAAATGAGAGAGCAATTGGCACAGGATATGAGGTGATCTGCATATTGGTGAGGGAATACAAATTAATGATTAATGCATGAAGATGCATATTTATGTGAGATGTAAATGCAAAATAGCTTTATCATATCAATCTGTGGAAATGACTGTGGATGGAAATGAGGTTGGGTGCACCATAGTGGTGCAATAGCAGTGTGTGTGTGTTTGTGTGTGTTAATGTATGGCTCTGGAGTTTGTGTTGACTCAGTCATACTTGTCAGATGTGACAGAGCAGTGAAGTGAACTCCCAGAGACTCAGAGGTGAGGAGTTGAAGGCCGGCTGTGATGACTTTCTGGCTCTGGCTCAGCCATCAGCATCCGCTCACCAGCACATTTCTGTGGTGAAGGGCGTACATATTGTGCACCAGGGCTGGGTGAGAGAGCATCAGAGTGAAAGATCAAACACTGTGTGTGTATAAATGTGTCTGTGTGTGTTTGTGTGTGTGCGTGAGCACAGGCCTGGCCAGCCGGTGCGAGTCACCGCCAGTAGCCATGTTTTATTCTGTTTCATGTTGCAGACACGCCTGCCACTCACTGTCAGAGCCAGCCCACTCAAATAGCTTCAAAGAGCTTCACATCACCATCAGTGGCTTCATTAGGTGTACACACACACACAGGAACACACACATCTACACATGCAGTGCAGCAGGAGGCGCAGAGGTTGTTATCTCTGAGTGAGTGGAAGGTCATTGTTTTTCTTCTGTCTTTATTTCTGTTCATTAAAAAGTTGAAAAGCTGATTCAGACCTCAAACACAGAGTTTCATTGATAAGTGTATCTGCACTTATTAACATGTCATTAATGGACAATTATTGAAGTAAGGAGATTACTCTCTGAAGGTACAACAGCTGTGTCAGTTAAAGGTTCCTTTGACAGATGGTGAAGAAGACATTTTTCATTCAAGTGTTGAAAATAAGGTTAATTTATTTTATTTAGGGGAGAGGAGGAAAATGACAAACCACATTCTGACAACAGGGATTACAACATCATGGCTCTGTAGGAGAAGAGTCCTGCTGAGAAGCTGACCTACCTGCAGGCCTGACAAGAGCAACAAGACATGCAATAAAAAATAATAGCAATAAAAATAAGTTTAGTGCTTCTGCTCCTTCTTGCATATCTGTGAGTTTTGTGCTGACTCATACCTTCATTGCAGATTCTGCGCATCTGTACGAGGTACACCCCCGACCAGGACACCATGACTTTCTCCGATGGGCTGACCCTCAACCGGACGCAGATGCACAACGCTGGCTTCGGCCCGCTCACCGACTTGGTGTTCACGTTTGCCAACCAGCTGCTGCCCATCGAGATGGACGACACAGAGACAGGCCTCCTCAGCGCCATCTGTCTCATCTCTGGAGGTGGGCGAGCCGGGGCGGAGCGCTGGGCACTCATTGAGGGGAGAGGGGGGGTGCCGAAGGACATGATAAGAGCTTAGAAAGAAAGGGACAGAGACGTTAGTGAGCACAACTTTTTCAGCAGCCACAATTAACGGGGATAATCTACCCCTACCTTCAAAGTTAGCACCACCTGCAGCAGACACATTAGCTCTTATGTTCTCTCAGCTTACGCAGTTATGTCTTTTTCTCTTTTTGTCTACCTTTTAGTTCATTTAGAATGAATTGTGGTCTTGCAGAAAAATGCTATCCTGAAGGTCAAATCTCATTTTCCTCGGTGTCGTCTATATGTTGGAAACTTTGGCGGTGCATCCTTAGCTGCAAAATCCTCACCAGCTGCACCAAAGTCTGCAACCCTCATTCAGCTTCAGACTGAGAATAAAAAGTCAAAGGCTGATAGCGCCCTCTGCTGTTTAAAAGGTTTTAAACGATATTTTTCATCTCACGGATTTAACTGAGTGATCCCTCTGCATCCCTGCTTTAGATAAAATCTGATCGTCTGTGTTTCTAATCAACTTGTTACACAAGTGTAGAAACAGGTGATGTTTATATGTGGAAATTTTGCAGAATTTTAACCACATTTTTACCTCTCACAGTTGATTATGAATCATAAAAACACCTGAAGCTGCTGCAGGTGTCCTCTACACAAAATTGATGCGCATGATTCATCATCATCACCACCACTTTAGGAAGTTGGATTCAGATTTCAAGTCTCATAAAAACATTAAGGCTGCTTCCTGTCACCAGAAAACAGAGTAAAGAGAATGTGTGAATGCATGTTTGTTTGGAGAAATAAAGGCACACTCACAGTGCTGCTGCAAAGACTAGAAAAGAGGACACAAAATGCAAAGTTTTGGATCCTTAATCAAAGTCTTGATACTTAATGTGTAAAGAATCATCTGTCGACATGTTTGAGTCAAGGAAAGTCTTATTTTCCTCCTTGGACACGTTAATTTCAAATCATTTTGCAGCCTGGTTGCATCATGAATGCAGCATAAACTCTGATTTAGAGATATCAAACAGATGTGAGAGATTACCAGTTAATCCTCTCCTCATTCAAACCGTGCCTGACTGCATCTCTGCTCCACGTCTTCAGTCAGTATCGATTCCTCCGGTTAAATATTGAGTAGAGCTGCAGCTCAGTTTGGGAGGAAAGTAAGCCAGCCTCCACAGGAGTCTGAAACCAGGTCAAACACGGGTTGGCATCAGTGAGGCAGCACAATCCTGACTGACAAACACAGAGGAGGAGGAGGAGGGGAGGAGAGGTGAGCGATGACATGCAGGTGTGTCACTGCGGCGTCAGTCAGCTGAGCGCTCGACCTCCCAGAGGAAATAATCCCACTCTGCTTGTTTTCCACCAGGAGACATGTCTAAATCTCTAATGTCAGGATACACTCACATCACACACTTGGGTTTTACAATCCATCCACTGAGAGTCACACAGGTTCAGCTCCCCCAACCATCCACCCACCCACCCTTCTCCACCTGTCGTCATCGTCATCGCTGCAGGATTTTCATCCAGGACTTTGTATTTCTGCTCTGAATTCTGGAGCCTGCCACAGCAGACTCTGTTACAGACTCTTGCATAATCCAGGGACAGTGTGAGACGCCACACTGACTGTATCTGTGCTCATACACTTCCACCTGCTGATTCCAGAGCACATACTGCCACCCTATGGCAGGGTGAGGAAGTGCAAGTGTGTGGTCCAATTCAGACACCTGTGAAACGACTGTGAAATAAACTATATGACCTATGCTTCCCTATACCATCAGGAATGCTGTTCAATAACAAACCGGGTGGTGCAATGAGGCGTCCATGATTTTCAAAATAAATGTCAGATTTTTCAGACCAAAAGAAAGTTTTTTCACTGTGTCTCAGTCGGCAGAGAAAGGCAGCCAAGTTCTCCAATTGCTTATAAATGAAAAAGTGACTTAAATGATTAATACAAATTTTTGGATCTCACCTTACCTCCTCGGTTTGTTAACTTACAGTCATATTTTTATTGAAGTCTTGAAAATCATCGAGGCGTCACTTACATGTATAACAAGGTGGAAATACAAAAGGAGCATGAAAACAAACTAACTGACAAGGTAATGCTGTTAAAAAAATTATTGTCTCAGTCCTGATTTACCTCAAAATTTAGGGAAAGTTGGGATCTCAAGTTGAAGTATATAAGAAGTCACATGTTGCATTTACCATCAGTTTTCACCAGGTAGTGAAATTTCCCCATTTGATTGTCTGCATCATTTGTGAATGAGACATTTTTTGCTATGAGGCTCAAATACATCATAAGTGGTCAATTTTGGGCCAATGAAATGTATTGTGTCTCATTTAAACATGCACAAACAGCACCAGCACACAGAGACACCAGTTTGTGTTAAAATTCCCTCTTTGAGTTTGCTCTCTGAATTAGATGGTGTCTTTTTTGACTCATTTCTGCAGGTTGAGTAAATCATTAAATCCGTCCCTGTCAGTGTGCAGAAACCTGGTCTCTGTACATCTCCAGATCTCTGAATAAAACCCCTGCTGAACAGTTTGGTGGGTTTAGTTATGCTTCCTGCTGTTCCAGACTTAAAAACCTCACTTATCAGAGCTTAGCACTCCAAAGAAAGGATTCAAATGAGTTTTCTCCTCATCTTATCTAATTGTCAGGATCTCTGCAGAATCTCCTCTGCAGCAAATGAGTCGACATAATGAGATAAACTCTGCTTCTTAATCAAACCGGCTTCATGCTGAGATACACGCATTAGCCTGCAGCTCGTCTCAATCAGATAAAAACCAGACACAAATTTGTCATTGTTGAGTCACAGGTCTGATGGATTTGTGTGTGTCTGTGTGTGTGCATGTGTGTGCAGACCGTCAGGACCTAGAGGAGCCCTCGAAGGTGGATCAGCTCCAGGAGCCGCTCCTGGAGGCTCTGAAGATCTACGTGAGGAAGCGTCGGCCCAGCAAACCCCACATGTTCCCCAAAACCCTGATGAAGATCACAGACCTGCGCAGCATCAGCGCTAAAGGTAGGAGGGCCATAAGCTCAGTGTTTATTTAAAATTTTCAGTCCTGTGTAATGTGAAGAGATCTGTCCTCATGTTGATGTGTGGTGATGTGGAGTATGAATATGCTCCTCTGCTCTGGTAATCTGGTGCACACATCACTGCAGGAACCTACGTTTGTCAATACAGCTGTCAATAACTGGTTGAACCCTGGAACTCCTGGATCTGAATCAGCATGATAGGAACCCACCATAATAACAGAAGTCTTTCAAAGTTCTCGTTTTTTTTTTGGTTTAAACTCTCTGTGGTTCACTTTTGATGCACATTGAGGACCAGCTTATAGTGCTGAGCCCCTGAGTCTACCTCAGATCCCCATACCCCTCTGCAGACCCCGGCCCCCTGACTTTGGGATGACCTGCCTGAAGACGTTGCTGTACACAACCCTGTTTTTATCCCCTCTGTGTCTGTCTTAAAATCCTGTCTTTTAAACTTTACTCTTTATCAGCTTGCATAGGTTTATCCTGCTGCTTGAACAGCTTATGTTCTTACAGAGACTCATACTGTTTGTGCTGCTCTTATTTGTCTCCTAAGCCTTTGTTTTTTTAAGTATCACTTATTCTGGGTTTCACTTTCAGTTCGATTTCCCCCTCTTTCTGTTTGATGTCCTCTAAAGCAGCTTAGCATTACTTTGAGAGTTCTCTGACTTAAATGACTGATGACACTTTCATGTGGAGGTTCCTGCTACTCGAAGTATGTTTGATCATTAGTTTATACAATTTAATAGGCTATATAAATTGTATGTACTGAGCAAATTAAACTGCCTTTCATACAAACAGCAAGTAAGCTCAATGTGAAAGAACCACAGACTTTATATGGAATGGGTGCCGTCTGCCTCCTCGCTGGGTGAAGCCACCCTGAAAACAGCACCCTCTGGTGACGAGCTGCAGTACAGGTCATAAATCCCGCCTCCTCCAGCCATCCTTACAGAGCTGTGGACAAACTTTAGAAATTTAAAACACTGAATATAAATTTTTCTCCCCACTTCTTGCAATGTTGACATGTATTTATTGTAAGACTGGTTTGTGCTCAAGTCCTCTTTTGTCTGTGCAGCTCCATTTTCAAAAGTTATTAGGGGGTTCATGTTTTCTATGATTGACACTTGATACAGCTTATGGGGGTATGAAGATTGCGTAGCTCACCCTGTTTGAGCTGAGCATCATCACAGCGACCCTCAGCGACTCTCCCGCCAAATGTGTACAATGCTGCTGCGCAATGTTGGTTTCAAGAAGTAGAGAGAAAACACAGAATTACTGAGAGCTTTTTGGCTTTAAATCCATATACGGGCCGGAGGCAGGACCGAGTTGTCCATAGTATATTCAGTCTATGGAAAGAACTCATTTGTAAAAACCACAAATTACTGCTGAAGTGTAGCAGCCAGCCATTTTTACAATGACACTGCAATTTGCAACTTCCAAATTCCTCTTTCAAAAGAAAAAAAAAACTGCAAATTTCAACTTCAGTGTGTGACAGTTAAAAAGCACCTTTTACAAAAGGAGCAATTATAGGTAACACCATCCCATCACTGCATACCACCAAATATAAGTCAGTGCATGCAAATAATAATCATCTTTGACTGAAGTGGACCTGACTTAAATGTACTTGTGCCCTGATCTCTGTCTTGCAGGAGCAGAACGTGTCATATCTTTGAAGATGGAGATCCCCGGCTCAATGCCACCACTCATTCAGGAGATGTTGGAGAACTCTGAGGGACAGGATGGTCAGAGCAGCAGCAGCAGCAGCAGCAGTGGCGGAAGCAGCAGCAGCAGCAGTGGTGGGAGCAGCAGTAGCAGCGGTGGTGGGAGCAGCAGCAGCAGCAGTGGCGGAAGCAGCAGCAGCAAGAGTGGAAGCAGCAGCAGCAGCAGCAGTAGCAGCAGCACTTCAGCAGAGGCGGGGGCCAGTCCCAGCAGTAAGGACAGCACCACCGAGGACGCCCCCACTGCAGAGTCACCTGAGTCCTTGGACACAGAGGAGGCTACAGCCACACCACCCAGCGACGAGCCCTAGGAGGTACCCCTAGGTGACTCCAAAACTCTCTGTGACAGTCCTTTGCACAAAAAAAGGAACAGCCGGGCAAGGCTCCGACCTCCTATAATCCCTGTACCCTTCTCCTTTGCTTGGTATTATGTTATCTTTATATCCTCGTCCTATTTTCTCCCCTAATATTCCCTCCTTAAAAAGAAAATGTTGACACGGAGGCCTCAAAGGATCAGTGCTTTGTGTATAATTCTGATTTGAGCTCTTATTTGGCGTGGCGTCTCTGGGACAGGGACTGTGACAGAAGGGCATGGCCCTGAATCCTCCAGAGTTGATACTCCTCAGGTCTCCTGTGTAAATTCTTATCTGCATGACGGGAGTTTGATAAGTGGTTTTACTCGTCTCTCTCTCTCTCTCTCTGTCTCTCTCTCTCTCTCTCTCTCTCTCTTGCTCTTGCTGTCCTCATCTCCTCATCTCTGGTATTGTTGGCATACGTACATTGTACATACCATTGTATGGTTAGATCTGTTTCTATGATGAATTTTGTGGTGCTTTTTCATTGTCTTAAATATTATCTTTGAGGCGATACATTGAGGTTTAAAATGGGACTAATTGTAAGTCCCTGAAAAAGTTATCTAGAATGTTATTGCATATAGACATTATGGAAGTCTAATATTTTATATTTGTTCCTATATTTAAAACGTTTTTTGTCTTTTATAACACTTCATGTCTCTACATGAGTGAGTGTACATCCACACCGCCAGAATGCAAAGCTTCTCTTCATATCGACAGCCGAGTCTGTTCAACCGTTTCCTCAAAGGAGGGAAGCACAACAGCAGAAGCCTTTGATACACACTCATCAGACCGACCGACTGACCGCGTCTGCTTCACTCAGTGAAAGTCTCACCATGAACCATGGAGACCTGGAGTATGGGATTAGATTAAGATCCCATACATCATATGAGATCAACTCATTTTGGGTCTGCATCTCTTCACTACATCAGTTTGTTTTACCGTCTAAATAAATCTTAGAAATGATATTACTGAAGGATGCCAGAGGTTTTTCTGCAGCAGGATGTGAACACATCAGACGCTCCCCTGTTCGCCTGCACTTCAACCAGACTGTGATTCAACTTAAAATGCACTTTATCTTTATTATCTGGGCAGACAACAGGCTTAACAAGAAGATATTAAGACACAACCTGTTAATCTGGAAAAAAAGGTTTACTTGGGATGTCATCAGTTAGCATCAGTAATACAGAAAAAAAGTCTTTTCTCGGCATTCAGACATCTCACAACATACTTAGACTACCAACTTTGATCTTGAAATTTAGATTTAAACTCTGAAATTAAACGTTTTGCGTGAAATTCTGAGATCAAAGTCAGAATTCTGACTTTGATTTCAGAATTTCAAGCAAAAAGTCTGATTTCAGACTTTGATCTTAAAATTCTAAGCCAGAAATCCAAAAATTGTTTTAAGTGTCGGAATTTCGAGAAAGTTTGAATTTTGACTTTGATCTCAGAATTTTCAGGAAAAAAGAAAGACTTCAAACTTTAATCCAAGACCCCCCCAAAAAAAAAATAAATAAATAAATAAATAAATAAATAAATAAATAAATAAAAAATAAATAATAATAATAATAATAATAATAATAATAATAATAATAATAATAAAAATAAAAAAGTCAAAGTTTGACTTTGATCCTCACAGACTAGACCTGAAAACAGAATTCCTTATTTGATGTCAAATTCTAAGAAAAAAGTCAGAATTCTAACTTCAATCTCCAAATTCTCAGTAAAAAAAAAAAAAAAAAAAGAGAATTCATCTCTTTGAGCATAATGAAGCCTATACCCTGCTTGGCCATAGTCTTCTTGCTGTTTTCTCACCTCATCCCTTAAACATGATTCTGGTCGTTAAGGCAAAAAATAGAAAAAAATCTAATGTAAAAGTAATAGCACAGGGATGCCAGTGTTGGTGCAGTGGTAAGTGAGGAAGAAAATAGATCCTTGACGAAGACATAAATACTGGAGTTGTTTCCAACGAGCTTACAAGAGAGCTAGCAAACGTGAGTTGTGTAGCTTTTTATTAAGTAACAGAAACTCAGCAGGAAAGATGTTAAAGACAGTAAGACATGAAGTCACAAATGGAAAATGTTTGATTTTAACATAAGCTAACCCAGTACATTAGAGGTAATAACAATTCACAGCAGAAATGTTCTGGATGAGACATTATGAATTCGTATCTGATTTTGTCAAAATGTTGAGTCATATTTTGGTTTTCATCTTTGTTTTTTCCTCTTAGTTGAGAAGTGAAGTTTCCTACAGAAAAGGCAAGTCAGGAAAGAAAAAAAGTCAGGATCAATCTTTAAGTTAAGTCTATAAAGGGAACAACAGTTTCATATGGTATAAAAGATTGTAGTCACCAAAGTGAACGGCTCATAAACCAGCAACATCTCTAAGAACAGGTCCAGCAGGGCTCGAAAATAAGCGGTCAGACAATCAGTTTCAGGTAAACCCTCAGGGTAGAAGAACTTCCGAATGAGAAGTTAGTAAAGAAAACGGTCTATTTGTAATCCAAGAAGACTGACAGGTTCAATGTTCACCTTATTTACTTCACACAAACATTTTTTCTATCGCTGCACCGCTGAATCTCACCGGTATAAGACAAATCACCATGACAGCACGCTAACAACTGTTGGAGGATCATTTAAGCTTTTTTGCCCATTAAATCAGATTGTTACCATCTGCTGATTGTTCCCAGAGATTAGATTAACCTGATCATGTAGAAATACCCAAAATACATCTCTGCACACTCTCACTGAAGAGTCAGGACCCCCACTTTGAAAAACACTGACTAGTTTAACTAACGAGTAATTCTGGTGACAACTAAACATGCACGTTCCAGAACAACACCAACTAAACCATCTTCCTGACCTGCTGTAAAACTTTCAAACCACCAAAACTAATATAATAAAGTTGTGAGTCCTACACAGAATCTGTTTCAACACCGAAACTCATTATTGGCTTTCCTCTTGGACTCTGAAGCCAGTTCAAGTTTGCCATTACTCTTGTATCCTAACACACAACCAGACATAACCATGTTTTCATAGCTTTACACTTCTGTCTGTGCCATTTAACTGTTACATATGTTCTTGCACTTTTAGGAATGAAAAAACAAAGATTAGGGCGAGTAAAAATCATTCTCCTTCTTCATTTTGTTGCTAAGACATCTCCTGCTGTCTCTGGTTCTGTCTTCTCACTCTAGCTTCAGATGTGACCACAACCTGATGAAAACTCGCCTCAGCCTCGGCCTAATGAGTGTGTATCCTCCGCTAACAGCATGTACTACCAACTGAACGCACAGTGGCTCTGTTATGGCCTTACTAACAGAGCTTCTCAACCTGCTCTCTCTTTTCAGAAGTGTCTTGATCATTCGGTGAAACACGGGGTCAATGCAAACCTTAAAACACACTAATGACCGGACCAAGCGGCTCAGGACGATTGTACACTAATGTAGAAAGCACACAGAGGGGCCGGGTCCTTGTTCGCCTTGCTCTTCAGACTTGATGGTGTAAGCTACATTTAATGATGCAGAAGGAGATTCTAGATGACCTTTGAACCCCCTGAGAAGTGCAGTCGAGTAAAGCCTCTCTTTGGACAGCAGATCCATCTGAGCCCTTAATCTCATAGGCGGTGTGTTTTACATCAGAGGAGGTGAAATTAACAGATGATCCTAGGAAGCTGCTTTTCTCCACACAGCTGAGGTCACTCATGATACTGAACAATAAAAAATAACCTCCATTTTATCCTCCTTAAGGACCCAGATCTCTCACTACCCAGCTCTCTCTGCAGGGTGGTAATCAGCTCTATGACTTTCTGATACCAACTACTGTTAACTGATTGTTCAAGGGACAAATTTACTGAAGCACTTAGGCATATTGAGCCCTCCAAGAACTAAAACAGAACAGTAAGAAAGCTGAAAGTTGAGCTTCTGCAACTACAGGAGAGGCTAAAGTTCAGTTTTAAGGACATGATGCACAAACTTCAAAGTGACACCTGCTGGTCTGGAGTTTCAGAGATGTCTCAGTCTCATTCAAACAAACTGGATGTTTTTCCTCCCCTTTGATTCAAGTTTATGAGATAAAATTTTTCATGTGCACTGGCTGCATACAAGTTACTCTATGCATTTGCACGTAGAGCACCACTATAGAGTCTTAAGGAAGAGTCTGCTAAGAAGAGATTGTTACCACTTTTGCACCAAGAATTGCACTTAGTTTTGCGCCACTATCTGCCCTATTTGAAGATTTGATCCACAGAGCATATTGCGCTTGTTATATTCAGTGCAAACACACCTGTAAGGTCTGCAGCTGTGCGCAGTTTGCACCTGTTTGCAGCAATTTGTGCAGACGGGCTGTCAGAGAGCAGGACATCATGGATAGTTTTGACCAATGCAACAACAGAACCTATTCATTCTGCAGCACTGTTTCTGGTGCATTTAACCCTCTCCATGTGCATTCTGAATAGACTGTACCTTTTACCCTCCCAGTGGGTGCAAAAGCAGCTCAACCCTTCTGTGAATCGGACCCCAGTTTGGCATTTTGGGAGTTGCTATATCGCTCTTTTAAGGGCAGAAGCAACTACATTCGGATAAGTAGTTGAAAAAAATCCAATGCTACACTTTCATTCTGTCAAAGAAGAATAAATCAGTCTAACAAAAAGCAGCCATACCCAATCTCTACCCTACTTTTGTCTGTTTTAAACACATCCTGACCCAGACTGCAGGTTTAAGACGGTTTGGCATCGTCTTCAAGTTTAAAGCTGCATAATTGTGTCAGTTAAAGGTGCAGTGTGTGGAAATGGAAATATGTAGCGATATTTAGTGGTCAGATTCTGCTGAAAAATGTCCCCTTGCTCACCCCTCCTGATAGTGAAGAGCAATGGTGGCCTTCCAGGACAAGAAACTAAGTCTCTTCTGCTAAAAAACACCAAATATTACTCACTGTACCTTTAAACTTGACATAAAAACAAAATAGTTTGCTTGTTTTTGGCTCTCATACCTGGAGTCTGGAAAACTCGACAGTTTTTGCAGCCAAACAGACTGAACTGAGTCACTCTGCTTCTTGTATTTGATCCAAAGTCTGCGAGTTAGACACCCCTTTAGGGCAGTGACGGATTCTGGGTCTCAGCAGCACATAATAACAAACCCATCTGCATCCCATCCCTGCTCAGAAATACATATCATAAGGGAAACCAGAGGTGTTTCAGTTTTTCGTTTTAACGTGTTTGAATGTGAATAATGTCATGGAGTCTGTCAGAAGAATGATATGCAGTGTTAAGGAATACTTCTATCTCAATGTAACATAAGGAAATGCTCTCCCTGGGTTCTCTCTCTGTCTTGCTCTCCTGGTGAGAGATGTAGGGAGGCATCTTGGTGTTTTCTCTTTCGTTTTTTGTTCTTAAAGATGGAAAACCTTCACAGCCGAAGAATGTCCACATCCATCCCTGAAGCGTCAGGCTCCACCCTCGGACGCCTGGCCGCCGCAGGGTCTGTTATCTGTTCCTTTAGGAAACAGCTTCACAATGCTGAATTACTCTTGTTCGTTTCTGTTGAATGTTGTACCGACGTAACTGTAATACTCTACTATCTAGCTCACTGCAGAGATGTTATATAAATGGTGTGTGCTTTGCATTCCAATTGGCAGCTCTGTGGAAAAAGACGCTCTGTTATTGTCCTTGGGAACATCAACCCATCCAAGACGGGAAAAAAAAGAAAGAGGAGCTGGAACTCTGTGGGCTGATCTGAGCTCCACACAAAACACGTCTGATTTTAGAGACAGAAAAGCCCACGAATTGAAGAAATGGACGACCAAGTCACCTCAGCAGATATCTTTGATATGTTCTCTCCCTGTTTCATGTCAAACAACAGAGCTGCTCCCTCCTCCTCCTGCTCCTCAGCCAGGGAGCCAATCAGCTGTTGTCAATCAATCAAACCCAATCAATCGACGGCTGGCTGGTAAACAGGTCGACTAATGAACTAGGGTTTGACTGATACGGGGCTTCAGAACAGACATTATTCAATTTTATCAGGGCAAGATTTTCCACCAATACTCAGTCAAAGAAAATCAATAAATCAGATTTTCCTTTAGTGCTTCAGCTGGTGTCATATATCTCCTATAATTTGGTTTATAATAATACTCTCTGTGCTGTGATTGGCTGGCACTTGTCAGCCTTTAGGGCTTTTTCCATCAGAGGGTCTCACTTTCTGAAAACTGGTGTTAATTAATATTATACAGTGGTGGTGCCTAAACCAAACCAAACAATTTTAACCACATACTTGGCCAGGCTGAGGCATTACTCAAACAGCGGTATCCTATGTTAAAGTCCTATGTTTGATGACTTGATGCTAGCATTCATCCACTATACAAATCCCTGTTAGTGGACACAGGCCCTTGTTTATATTTGGGAATAACAACCAAAATCACAGGCAGGAAAGGACACTTACAGAAGCAGTGGGCGTTTTTGTGCTTAGGATGTTAGAAGTGATTCACTGTAACGGTTTTATTGAGGAAATCAGCCCCCTTGTGTAAAAGGCTGTCAGTGGACATAGGCCCTTGTTTATTTCTGGCTAACATCAGCAAGAATAGAACATAAATCATGATTCGACATTTGAAAGGGTTAGGGGGGAGTCTGCTTGAATGTTGGCTGTTAGGAAAACGTGTTTTAAACTCTAATACTCAGGGGAGGAAGGGTGGGCAATACTCTGAGATTCATTATTTAAAGATGGTCATCTCCTTTGATGGCTTCGTAGTCACATCATTAACAAGAGTGTATTTTGAGGATGTTTAATGTTTTTAAAGGCCTGGTCACACTAACTAATTTAAACTTTCTGAATTTACAAAAGTTTTCAAAAGTTGGGACATTGTGAAAATTGTAAACAAAGCAGAATCTAATTATTTAAACCTTTTATTTGATTGAAAACCGAGCAAAGACGACATATCGGACACAGAGATTGAAAATTCTGTGTTTTATTCAAAATAAAAACGCTCAGGTTTCCCCAAATTCTTTGCAGTTCTATCAGAAAGAACTCTGAAATCGTTGAACTGTTAGTTCAAGCAGGCTCTCACAGAGCAGTGTACCTCTCTTCATTTGTCCTTCAGAAAGACTCGGCCTCTCTGAATGTCCTTTTTATACCCAGTCATGTTGGAAATGAACCACATTAGTTGGAGATGCTCCTCCAGATGGTTTTCTTAATGAAAATAACTTATATGGGATTTGCAAATCATCAAATTTGCTTCTTTGATCAAAATTTTACTCAGTATCAAAACTTTTTAAGGGAACTGTATTTGGCTGATACTTCTATTTCACAATGAATTCTCTGAAAAATAAATATCCTGTTGATAACACTGTAAATACTTGCAGCTTTTTACAGCCTTTTGGCTATAATCATTGATTACACTTTCAAGCGGAAGGCTGACTCAGTTTTATTTTTGGCTCCCAAAACGTCAACTCAGTGCAATTCACCCACCAGAAAAGCTTAAGAGGTAAACCTATCCCAGTATGAGGCCCATGTATCGGTCTGACCCTCATTCAAGGAGCCTGAAAATGTGACTGTGAACCTCAGAATCAATCATCACCTGCAGCTCTGTTGTTGTCCGTCCTGAAGGTGTTCTTGGTAAAAACCACAAAAACTGTCCACAGTCGCCTTTTTTCCATCAGAAACTCCACCACCAATCACATCCAGTGTTGTATAGTCGTGTTAATAAGAGACATGAGGGTGGACAGGGGAAGGGGTGGAGTGGATTTTTCCCATCAGCCCCTGCTCCCAGCCCGGTTAAAGGTGAATTGGACCTTAGGAGCTGCTCCGGGGTTTGAGCTTTGATCTGTTTCAGCTCTCCATTTTAAATATTGTCTTTGTTTGTACATTAACATATGCTTTTTATGTTCATATGCTGTTTAACTTTACCATGAACTGTCTGGCAAAGTAATAAAATATATTTATTTTAAAATGCAAGTGTGTTTATTCTAAAGTTTTCCAAACCTAGGGCCCAGTTCTGGATGAGAACTGAGCGGATTAAAGATGTCAGACTGGACCAAACCTTGAAAAATGGTAGTTTGAATAAAAATAAAATAATAATAACAAGGATTACAACATTGTATTAAATCAATTATTTCTAATCTTGGTTTGAACTTAAGCATTTGCATTCAAAACTTTTGAGTAGGACTGGACTAACTTTCTCTAAAATCAGGATTGTTCTGATCCAAACTAAGGGCTGGATTCAGGCTGGATCACAGGGAATTAATAACAAGTATTTCAGATCCATCAAGCAAAACATTTTTCACATGCAGTTCATACCCTTCACATTTTTAAGTATTTCTAAATCGATTTGACCTACTGCATGAAAAATGCTCTAACTATAAGCAACGTCTGGGTCTTTCCAGATGTTGTTTGAATTTTGGCGCCCTCTGTGGACAAAGTGCACAGAATTGATGATCCTAAACTACAGCTGGACGGAGTTTTCATTTTCTGTTGATTTTGGCGGCCACTATGGTCAAAAGCGGTAGTGTTTTAGCGCGTATTGTCGTACAGACACTTATCTAGATTGCACATCAGGCCGTGGTGTGTGAGACAGACGTGGATCAGCAGGACTACTGAGTTTAGTAACACAGAGCTGCTCTGCCTGTCTGTCTCCAGTGTGGAGGAGCTTTTCACTCCGTAGCTGCAGCTGTAGCATGACTCGGTGTCTGCAGGAGTCTCCTGCTGCAAGACATTGTCATTGTTTGTGTAGTGACAGTTATGTGCGCGTTTTCAGAGCATTTTAAAGCGTAAAAAAGGCGTGTGTTGTCTCTGGTCTGAGTGCCTTAAATCGTTTCGTCCGTGGTCCCGACCGGACCACTGTCTCCCGTTTTCCCAGTTTCCACTGAATAGAAATAGCTGATCTTCACACTCATTTGCTATTGCAGGTGACAGGGAGACATCAGCAGAAATTAGAGATTTTTTCAAATCTAGTTAAAAGTTCCTTACAGGAAGGTTCAATATTCTTGAATAACGGGATATCAGTACAGTGATTGTTTAAAAGAGACGAAGTGAGGGATGAAAAAAATGAACCTGAAACAAAATGGACAGTTCATTGTTTACTTCAACTTCATGTTCAAAAAGTTACATATTATTTTAACAATTAAAATGTGCTTAAGCACAGCGATCTAAACTTCTAAAAGCCGCTTTCGGACAAATACAGAACATTTCAATGAGCATAAAAAAAGAAACCTGTATATGTATAATAAAAAGTGTAAAACACCTACACATTAGAAATCATTATACGCCACCATTAATGAAAAGAAAATGGAACAGGAAATGTACAAAAGTCTGTAGGAACACAGAGAAAGAGGAGGAGGAGGAGGAGGAGTGTGTCTGAAGGTGACCAGGCTGCTTTAATTAAACATGTCGTCGTCTTCGTCGTTATCTGAATCAAAGTATTTCACTTCCTTCTTGGCTCGGCCTGCACGGTCACGGGCTGAGGTGTTCATCATGCTCATGCTCAGGCTGTTGCTGTTGTCATCCTCATCATCGGACGGAGCTTTCTGAGGTTTCTGCACAGGGAACAATCATGTAAGTACTGAGGTTGACACTGAAGCTCTATGGGAGAGCATAATTGAAAGTTTATGAAGTAGCTTTTATAGAAATATGACAGACACTTCCTCTAATGGAAACCCTCAGATACTCACTTTGCTGGCTGGTTTTGGAACTTTCTTCATTGGACTGTAATCTTCCTCAGAGTCAGAGCCCTTCCTCTTCCTCCCCCGACCTTTACCTGCACACAAATGAACGTTCACCACCAGGAATCAAATCTGACTTACATTTAAAGGAGGTAAAAAGTAAAGAAACCCTGCTGCACCTTTGAGAGCTGGTGTTGACTTTTTGGACCCGCCGTCAGAGTCAGAGTCCCAGATGGATTTGTCTGGTTTCTTTGCTTTTGGTGCTGGTGTTTTCTTGGGTTTGGGAGCTGCATCAGACGGCGTTTTAACTGCAACAGATCACACAGAAGCAGAAGCATTGATATGGCTGAAACAGTAAAACTAAACACCTCTTATTCGTCATATTTTAAGCTTTTCTTCTATGTTTTGTGTGACAAAATGACATCAGACACAACTTTTATTTCATGCATCACAAACCGCATCTTTGGCCCAAAGTGTAACAACTTCATTTTTAAAACTGGGTCATACTTTTAAACAAGGCCTGATTGTTTGAATTTTCTGTGATTGGTTCAGTGAGAAAGACCTTTTAGCTACAGTTACGCTGTTTATTCAAAGAATTTAAAGTACCTCAATTCACCACACAATACTCAATGTCCAATTACTGTCTACTTTTGGTAAAAATAAGCACCTGAAGAGTCTGTTGCGTCTTGGCCATGTTGATATAAAAATAATTTCGAATAGGGTTCAAGTTTACAAACAAAGGGGTTATCCTCTGGTGAGCATCCTCAAATAACCGGTGGTCCAAATGTCTTGTCCATGCCTTTTCTCAGATTCTATAATGTAACTGTGTCTCTTAGCAATGCTCCCTCTGCTGAACACAATGAGTCATTACCTTTCTTTGCTGGCGATAAGCTGAACGAGCTGTAAGTTGTGAAGATGCCGCGGTCTTCATCACTGTCTGATTTGGACCCATCTGTAAGGAAAGCACAGGTCAAAGTTCAGCTGCACTGTCCACTCTCTGCGTGAATATTTCAACAGTTTGGGTTTTCATTTTGATCCTATAGACATGTGCATACCAGGCATTGAGTAACATTTGTTTTAGAGATGCTTTAGTGTTTTTTAACTACAGCTTTCATATCTGTTCCTCGTTGTTTTTTTAATACATAATCCAGAGTAGGAGCGGCCATTTCTGGTGTCTTTCAATGACTCAGGAGTCTGTGTTAGCGCTCTGTTAGAGCAGAACATCTTAGATTTGTGTAATTGCTGCTGTTTGAAGTGATGTTGAAGGCCAGATGTGATTCGGTATCTGGGGAAATTAATGTTTATTATCAACAGTTTGAGATTTTAAGGCCTGTACACGCCTTTGCTTTAAATTCAGATACAGTAAACTGCAGATTAAAGTCTGTGGAGGTTTGTGCTGCAGTTTAAATGTGCCCACATCACTCCTGCAAAATTGCTCATCTTTTTATCATCCATACTGAAGTTATAAAGTTGCATTGCATTTATCACTGTTATGTATATGCACTAAGAAAATTAATGTACAAATGTGTGTCGGGTTTAAAAATTCAACCGTAGATACACCTGCTTGGCCCAGTCTGACAGAACTGACCCACTACATGGCTTTGCGTGTCTCAAACTGTAAATCGTTTTGTTGTGCATGACAAAAATGACGCGATTTATAATGACATTTTCTACTTATTATGTTGAAACCATGCATTCAAGACAAAGGCAGATACCACAAAGTATATAAACATTATGAAGTGAAAAGACAAGTAGACCTTTCGTGGGTCTGTGCCATCCATAAATGACACAAGATGCTCCAACAGCATTTGTACAGACGGGAGAAAAGCACTCATCTTGATCTCAGGGGACTTATGAACTGTACTGATTTATCCATGAGCTATCTTCATGTTTTCACCTTATAATGGACATTCTGCAATATCCAGAATCTGCTCACTGTACTTCAATTCAGCAAACAAGCATTTTTAAGATTAATACCATGACATCAATGAATCCTGCAGCAACAGCTATATGCATGAGTAATAACTAATAATAATTATCCAGGGATAGCATCTGAAAAGTTAAAAAAATGCAGGTTTTCATTGTTGTTTTATGAAATGGAGTGAAAACTCTCAGGTTCAAGACCAAGTTGTGCTGTTTTTTTTTTAACCATTTTTCTTTGTTCTTTACTGACAAAACTTTAAAAATGCAGCAAATTTGTGACTATGAAGGATTAATTTTACCCAAACAAAGACTGAAATTGTTGGTGAACTCAAAAAAATATGATCTACAACACACAAAAAGGCGACATATGAACTTGGTCTACACTTCACAACATGTCACAGACTTGTAGACAAGTGTGACTGACACCTACACAGAGTCATACTCACCGCTGTCATTGCTCTTTTCAGAGAAGGCTGACTTGGACGAGAAGATGCTGGTTGTCTCTTTTTTTTTAGCTACAGGCGTGGACCTTCAGAGAAGCAGAAACAGCTTATATTCATCTTTTCTTTTTGCTTTTTTTTGGAGCGTTTTTGCCTTTATTTAAAATGCAGACAGATGAAAGGTGACAGGAAATGAGGATGAGACAGAGGATGAGCATGCAACAAAAGGACACACAGTTAACATTTCAGGCTGAGAGCTCACACAGACACCAGAGAAAGTTAGGAAGTGGTTAGTAAGCTGTGATAAAACACATGAAACTGTCTCTTTAACATACACACAATCCTGAATGTCAATATATCTCAGTGATTTCATGATGAGGGCTGCACGATATATCATCTAACTACTGCAATTGTGATGTTCAATGTGCATAGGATCACAGGACGTGTGATGTCAGTAATGAGACCTGGAAGATGTTTGGCCCACTATTACTATCAATGAGACACATTATCATATAAACAATGGATGTCTCACGTCTTCATCTAGAGAGCGTAGGTGTTCACTGAGCTTTGAGAGTGATCCCCTCATTATAATGCATAAACCACAGCTCCACATGTTGTAAATAACTCAAGTAGGATTTGGGAGTAGCTGTTGGTCTTTAACCACCAAAACAGATGCCAATGTTGCAATATTGTTTTTGTTTTTTTGGCATTTTACAAGACATAACAGTTTAATAATTACAACATCCATCATTTGATGCTTTTCACAATCCATTTTATGTTTTTAATTTAGCCAGAAATACGTCTTACGGAGTTGAAAAAGGGTTATGTGGTCTGATTATGCAGTACGTGAATATTTCACATATCTAAAGGCAGAAATATTCACAACGGATTTTGAATTAATTCATGAAAAAGGATGAATACATGGAGCCATGATATAGATGTCAACGTATGATGTATTTATGCCAGAGGAGATATTAAACTTCGTGATTTAGTAAGTTTTTTTGTCCTTTGTTTGTTTTTCCCCTTTAATAAAAAATTACATCTGTTGTGTACGTCTTGTATTTCTCAGCTAATCCTGTCTTCATTACTGATGATGAAACTGTTTTTTTGATCTTTAAGTTTTGTACCTTAACATCACAACAGTTTATAATGACCAGACTGGTCATTCTCTCCCACTCTGCACAGACTCATTTGGACATGTCTTGCTTATCTAGGTGGCTCTAAGAACTAACTCACCATAAGTGTGCAGATAAACGCTTCAACATTCTCAGTCCTGATAAACATTGATGTAAACATGCTGCCTTTTTCTGGTTTGATTTCCTACTTATTATGTGTTTCAGTGTTTATATCCACAGGCAAGTGGAGATAGCATGATGTGAGTTTTTATCCCAAATATTGTGCAGCCCCACTGTTGACTTCTGCTTGAATCTTACGTGGTCTTTTGTTTTGAAGGAGAAAAGGAGTCTTCGTCGTCCTCGTCCTCGTCATTGAGGTCGTTGTAGCTCTCCTTTGTCACAGAGGAAGAGAAGTCGTCTTTGAAAGACCTCACAGGAGAGGAAGCCACATCGTCGTCCCCGTTCTCCTCTTCGTCTGCCTCCGCCTCCTCCTCCGAGAAGTCAAACGTGTATTTCGGTTTGGAAGCTGACAGAGAGGAGCAGAGTCTGTGTCAAACCACATTATTCTGATAGCTGTGGATTCTCTTGTACAATCATTATGAGTGTTGCGGCTGGGTTACATCAGCCGGCGCCCTCAGACGCCTGAAGCCGACAGAGAATAATCAGACTGAGGAAACGCAGACACAGTTCACAAGTTATTTTTGGCCCCAGGCTGCTTCAAGTGGATTGAAATGAAATGCTACCAGTCAGTGTGTAACCAGCTGCCTGGTGCTGACGGTGCGGCTTATCAAAGAATTTGTTCATGTTGAAAAGAGAGAGAAAAGCAGAAAGACTCACACAAAGGATGTTTGAGCAGTTTAACAAGCTAAAACAAGAAAATTACAATCTCAAATGGCTGTTTAATTAAAACTCTTTCATTCAGTCACCGTCTCCACAGGCTCTGTTCTTCATTCAGCCTGCTCCTTACAGGGCCAGTGTTTCCTTCTCTAAACTTACCTTACTATTAAACGTACATGAGGCTAATCTCATATATTATAATGCACTCAGGCTGCAGCGATCAAATATTGTAGTGTTTAAGAGTTCTATCAGTTAAACGGCTGATTAATCGAGTAATCAAAGAAGAAAGCTGTTTTTTCCATTCAAATGGGTTTTTGCCATTTCTGCTGTCACAATGCAGATATCCCAGTGGTAGTTATAATACATGGTTACCTTGTCACATCATTAGACCTAAAATGAACTAAACTTGGCTAGTGAACTTGGAGAACATCACTGAACTACACACATGAAAATGATATCTACTGTGACAATAATGACAGTTGTGACAGTAGATCATGGAGACAAAGAGGGTAAATGATAATAATCTGTGTGCACAGATACTCGGCCCCCTCTACCTATGTCAGTGCCCCAGTTACCACCCCAGTTAAGAGGACTGGACACCCCCCTGCAGAGTTAAAAACATAAGGCTGTCTGAGATCTGAGAGCTGTCAGGGTTTCAAGTACGTGGGGCAAAGGCTGCAGGGAAACATTTCACTTAAAATTCACCCAAACTTCAACTTCACTTCAAGAAAGGCGGTAAAAAGGTGATGCCCGCGTTCATCAGCATTAATCTCCCACAGGTTTCTCGGGATGAAGTTTGTGGAAAAATTGTTAATACATTGAGAGATGAAGAGCGCTCAGCTGCTTGTGTGTGCTTATATAGCAAACAGGAGCAGAGATATAGAGCTTTAAAAATTAAGTATTTATGAAGTTACTCAATGTATTTGAGGGATGGTTCTGCCCTATAACATACACATCCATATAATGTTAGATATAGCCTTTCGAGTCCCAGCTTTATTCTGATTTAACTTCAAACAAATTAAAATGTAAATCTTATGGGCTGTACTGTTTCTTGTTATTTTCAAGTTTTATTTTAAATCACTCCCTCTGGAGTCGAGTGCACCAGCTGGGCAGAAATAAGTTGATCTAAACTCCTAAAACAGGTTGAACTACAGACAACGTCCTTAATCAAATTTACATCAAGCGCACCGAGCCTGATAGACGGCAGTCATATTGCCCAACAACAAGTAAACCCTCACAAAGCCAAGAAACACACTTCAATCTGATTTCTGACTTCATCTGCGGTTCTTTTTACGATAGGAGGGAAATATCTTCCAGATGCAGCCTTTAGGTAAGGATTGTTTTTACCTGACGCCCTCTGGGACTGCTTCTCTCTGGGAATGATTGGCTCATTGTCCTCCAGGTCACTGTCTGACTTGGATTCATCTTCAGACCAGGGATTTCTCTTCTTCACCTTCTTTCCAGACGGACCTTTAGGTCCTGGAGTTTTTCTGACTCTGGGAGCTCCTGCAACACAGTAAACAAGATTACCAGACTGTTTGTCGACTGTCGGTTTTCTCACTAAACTCTGAGGAGCTCGGGGTTGTTCAATAATGGATTACAGTTTCCTTGCTGCACTGCAAAGCATCAAAGAGGCCTGCGGATATAAAAGCTTTTAAACCAGCCCAACACAGTTTCCCCCACAGAGGGAACACTGTGTCATCTCTGGACACTTATTGTTGACAAATGTCTGTCTGTGCTGATGAATCATTTATCATTCATCTTGATGTGTTTCATATGAATGCTTCTGCTAAATGCCTCCACATGCTGGACAGTGTGTATCATGGTGCTCTGAGGTTCATCAAAAACCTTGGAGCTCTAACTCATCACTGTGTCCTCACTCTATCAAAGGTTATCTGGGTTGTTTGTATTTTTATTAATTATCTTTCATGTGATTATGTGTTGAAACTTTACGTGCTGCCATTCTTGGACAGGCCTCTCTTGCAAAAGAGGTATAATAATATATATAAGAGGTATATAATAATAACAATAATAACAAAAACATCAACAATAATAATAAACAACAACAACAACAACAACAATAATAATAATAATAATAATAATAATAATAATAATAATCCATAGAAAAAAGTCAAATCTCTCGACTGAAGCCTTTCAAAGTTTGAAACAGGAGAACATCTTTGATCGACTGAAACTTTTTCTGAACTTTTTTTCCTGAAGATTCAAAAATATGTCTTTCCAGCTAAACAGAAACAGTATTGGGATTTTGTTGCGACTCTTAAAGTACTATACGAAATCATTTTAACAGTCTTAATCGAGTACTGACCAGGTTCTTTCTTCTCCTTCTTGACCCGTGGAGTTTTTGCTTTGGGGACAGAGTTTTCACTCGCTCCTGGTACTGTTCCTTCACCGCCCAAGCCATCCTCATCAAAGTCCAACTTTGCCGCCAGGTCTGCGTCTCCCTGAGACAAAACATCCACTTTTAAAAACCCAGAATCTTCTGGTATCAATCTACTTGATCCAGTGTGATAAGGGCCATTTTACCTTCTTCTTTTTGGTCAGTTTCTTGGCTGCATCAGCTTTGATTGGCTGAGTCGGAGGCTCCACCCTGCGTCCAAAGGGTGAGGGCATGGTCTCTTCCAGGTTCATCTTCTTCACTTTAGGTTTGCCCACTTTCCCCTTCACTAGTTTGATTGCCTTTCCTAAACTCTGCTCCTCTCTCTCCTGGGCCTCCAGTTTCTACCAGCAAAGAAATGCAGAAGTTGAGTTTTTATGTTCGAAAGAGAGAAAATCACAAAACTGACCAGCACAAAACAAACAAAAGCTATGATACATCCTCAACAATATCACAAATCAGCTGCAGATCCACTTAGCTGTTCAACTTCTGAAGAATAGTTTATCGGTTTTTTTTTAATAATGGAGCAAACAACATTATAAACTTACATCCAGCTCCTCGATGAACACCGCAAGGTCCTCCTTCCAAAGATCTTCTGAATTTTTTCTCTGGAGTTCATGCAGCTCTCCTCTCTGTACATCAACACACACATTCACTTTATTAGACAACAGCTGATAACTGAAAACAATAGCACACAATAACCCTGAAATGTGGTCCTGGATCTCAGTCAACTCAACATATTAGACTTTGTTAACCTCCCCCAGGTGGGTGCATATCATCTGGTTAACAGGCAGCTCTGAGCTCCATGTGATCAACACCTTTCTGTTGTTATAACTTTAATAAGTGTCTTTCAATCGACCTAATTTGGGGGGAAATTTTCAGTGTTTCTTCTCTGATTTACAGACAAATCAGCAGGTATGCAGAAGAAGCTAGCAGGCTGGGTTGTTTAAGATTTCCACCTGAGGCCCCTCTTCCCTCTTGAGAGCATGCTTTCAAAAAGCACCTCTCAACAAACATGTTTCAATCTTCAATCCACAAATAAAACACTTTATGTTGGTCAAGTGTCATGTTTTGGTTGTTTAACTCCAAATCCCTTCCTTGATCAAGGTCATTTGCTCCTGACATGAACTATGAGATAAAATTAATAAAACATTTATCTGTCATACCTCTAGTAAAAATTATTTGTTGTTTTTACTATTACCTTTCACTGTATGCATTTCGAGATCTGTTTTCTCACATGTAAAGCGCAATATACATAAAATTTATCATTGTTACCTTAACATCTCTCTGTTTGAGCAGCTCATCCACCTTCTCTTTCGTCAGGCACCACAGAGGCATGTTGAGGATGTAGTTAAAGTTTGGCCCTGACGAGGAGCCAGAGTCTATTGAGCTGTCGCTGTCATTCCCATCCTCTCCGTCTTCCTCCTGAGCCTGTCAGAGATAAAAATAAAACATTTAATCTTACACCACAAACCCACTCAGGTTGTGTCAAGTGCAAAAACAGCTCCCTCTTGTGCTCTTTAATAGTCACAGCATCATATCTATAGTCAAAGGCATTCATTTAATTATGTGCCTGCCAAGTCGAGCCTTGCGAGCAAGGTATGCACATATTGTTATCATCCGGGCAGGCTCAGTAACGGTCCCAAAATGCAGAGCAACACACCCCCTGCCCCTGAAATGGGGTGAGGGTGATGAAAAAAACTAAGCAAAAAAATGCCGCCCAAGATTCCCCATTAGTGTGTATTGCGTGCCAAGGCGAATACTAGTATCCTGGACGGTGGGTTTATTTTTTATTATTACTATTATAGACGCACCTTCAGCAATTAATGCTAGAAGCCAAAAAGCTGCGAAAATTTCCCCATGTAAGCGGATGGGAGAGGGCGAGAAAAACTCGATTTTTCACATGACTTGGACGCCTTGCCCTGTTGCCATACTTTGATGTAGAAGTGTGATTAAAACATCCAAACGTTGACACTGGACCTGTGATTTCAGTGATGACTCATCATGTTAGAGTGAAGAGAACTGAACGGGTTATCCCAATTTTTAATTTTTAAATCGCTGCCACTGCCACAATTTTCACTTGACACACACAAATTATACACCAAAACATAGGAAATCTACCAGCCGGACAGAAAATGTGGACCTTAAAGCCGTGAGACACTCACTTTTCAAGCTATGAGGTTTTGTTCGGGAGGAGGTACCTGTTTCACCTCCATCCACTGCCATTCAAAAAGAACACAAATGCTCCACATCCGACTGTTGCTCATTTTTTCCTACCAACTCGAGCTCCCGTCCAAACTGTAAAGCAAAGCAACTTGTCATTCTGATATGTTGTAGCTGTATTCGAGCAGTCGCCCACGGTCCAGAGTTTTTACCGATACGACATGTAGTTTGTCAGCAACAAGCCTTTTGTGGGCACTTGTGAGATATCAAGATTCCTTTTCAAAGTGAATGGAGCTGCTGAAAACATGGGGTGGTCTCCATATTTGGAGCTTAATTGTGATGTCATACTTTGAGGTAGAAATGTGATTTGAACTCTGACCTTTAGATGAGACCCGAACCCTTTAACCTGAGAAAACTGCAGGTTGAAGGATCTCTTACAGTTTCTCCTACTAAGTGAGTTTGTTTGGGCCAGTCCTGTTCTAAGCAGGGAGAGGCTCAGTGAAGCAAAGTCTGTGTCACAGGTGAGCTGCAGGTGCACTGTCACCATGGAGATGATTCCCATCTTGGATGTCCCCACCATCCCCAAACAGGAAGTAGCCCTTAACACATTAATGCCCTCGTGGATCTCCACCCAAAACATGGCCTAAATGTAAGTAAATCAGTGGCAAGCAGCAGCAAATCGGCAATCGGGCAGGCACATATCAAAATTTCCCTGGAACTTTCTAGTTGCATATTATTATCATAATACCTTTTCTTGAGCCTTGGCCCAGGCAGCCACTGGATCAGACTCAAAACCCTTCTGGACCAGCATGCGGATCAGCTCACGCTTAGATTTGTTCTCTGTAAGCACAAAGACAAACAGTGTGATTAACAAAAGGAAGCTTGTTCATACAATTACATACAGGTTTGAATTTTCATTGTCCTGACCGATTGTAATTTTCCCTTCGATCTTCTCCAGCACAAAGCGAGCCTGGTTGGAGAGTTTGGAGGCCTCTGCGCCCAGGCTGCCCAGCATCCAGTCCTTCCTCAGTTTGTAGTAATGCAGGCGCAACTCGAAGAACTCCTTGAGGATGTCCTGGACCGAATCGTACCTCTTCAGACAACCCATGTGGTCAAACAGCACCTGAGGAGTGTTATCGTTAGCTCTGATTATCATTTAGGAATCAGAAAAAGGCAAAAATATGACTGAGGCTGAATGAAGACTGACACTCTAAAAACTAAATAAGGGAAAGAACCAGAAGTCATACTTCCAGAAAACCCGCTCCAGTATTTATACTTGGCTTTAGACCCTAATCTTTGTTTACCATAGAGTTGCAGGTCAGGCTGGACTGCAGCTTGAAGACTTTGTGGAGACCGGCTGCCTCAGCCTGCGCCAGCTTCTCCTCAGACATGCGGACCACAAACTTGACGGTGGTGTCTGTGTGGTACTCCTTATAGTCGTTGATGAGGGCTGGTGTTTTCTCAGTGCCCTGCACCATGGGCTCCAGCACTGACTCCTTATAGGCCTGCACACATGGAGGGAAAAATGGTCTCAAAACAGGAGTACAACAGACATCTGACAAGCTCCACTTAGTAGACTAAAAAATTAAACTGTTATGAGGAATCAGAGGCTGAACTTCACCTGTGTCCATGTCCGAATAGGAAGCTCTGTGATCTCGATGGTGTTTCTGTCAATGACTGACACTTCTCCACTGACCAGGTACTGGTTCTGACCCAGTTCATGGATCAAACCTTTGAAGTTTTTGTAGCTGGGAAGCTGTTTGATTACAAAGGAGTAAAAATTAAAGGATGGTTCAGTTTTACATCCATTAAAAAGTGTTTCAAAAATCCTGTTTTAAAATGTGAGAGAGGGTTTATGCCCTTTTCACACATCACTGTGGACGTGGACCTAACTGGCACAGGAGAAAAGTGGGCTGTCTTTACCATTGGCAGAGGGTCCTGGTGGTTGAGCAGGCGGTTGATGTTGTTGACGATCTCTCGTGGGTCATAGTTGGGGATTTTACAAGCCCAGCCTGTCCCGATACCTTCAGCTCCGTTTACCAGCACCAGGGGAATTATGGGAATGTACCATTCAGGCTCCACCTTCTGGTTGTCATCATAGAGGAACTTCAAGAGGTTTGAATCCACAGCCGGGAACAACAGCTTTGCAAGAGGACTGAGAGGAATGAGAGCAATATTTTAGGACTTTGTAACATAAAATTAGTCATAGAACTGCAGGAAGAGCAGCACAAAAGAACATTTCTTGACATGAGAGATTGGATAAGTGTCTTTCTTCTCACTGCTGTGTTACCTGAGCATGGTGAAGATGTAACGAGGACTGGCAGCGTCTTTGCCGCCGTTAATACGAGTACCAAACTGACCCAGCGGCTGCAGGATGTTCACGTTGTTGCTGCCAACAAAGTTCTGAGCCAAGTTCACAATGGTCATCATGAGGGCTTGCTATAAGGAGAAAATAAGCATTTACAGTCAGTTCTGGTTAATTATGATCAATAAATAGAAATAGATGCAATCTGTTGATACCACTTGGTCAGAAAAGTCAAAGAACATCTTCAGGTTGTGTGGTTTGTTGAGTAAAAACCAGTTAGAACTCAGAAATGTAATATTTTACAGAGTGTGAAACACAACACGACATAGAAATCTCAAGCTAGCAAGCTGCTAATGATCAATCCTGCCTGTTGGTACAGAAAACTTTTTGTGGTCAATAATCAGAAGGGACTGATTTGTAATTGTACCTCTCCATGATGGTAGGCAGACATCTCTGCCACTGAGCCGGCCAGCTGTGCTACCTTCACTTCCCTCTTGTCGTTCCTCTTCATGCAGGTGAACAACACCTTCCTCTGGCCTGGTTTCAAACCTACAGGAGAGTCACACACACAGCATCATCAACACATGGTCATTTTTCCTGAGTCAGGAAATGGAGTGACGGTCCTGATTAGACTTATCTACAAAACAGATTGATTACAAATCATCACAGATACAAAATACAACAGGACATATAACTGACCATCCACCAGGGAGGGGATGGATCTCTCGTTGTCAGAGTTGGAGAAGAGGATCAGCTCTTTGTTGATGAAGTCATTGTAGGAGAGGTGCCGGGCCTGGGTCCCATACAGGTATTGCTACAAGGACCCCATCAAAATAAAATTTAATACACGTACTTTAATCAGCAATAAATGTCACTAGAGTGGATTACGACAAGTTTTAGCAGAGGAAGAAGCTTTCTGAAGTTTAACAAACTGTCAAACGACCCTTAAGAGTTGGTTTGAAGAATAAATGGAGGAAACCTCAACACACGCACGCACGCACACACACACACACACACACACACACACACACACCTAAACCGTCTTTCTCCTAACAACTTTGACCAAAGCCGCAAACCTCTGGCAGGCCGTGTAGCCTCCTCTGGCGTCTGTCCTCCATGAAGTTGGTCAGCCACTCCTTCCTGTCGTCCGTCTTCTTCTTACTGAAGGCCTGAAACACAAAACCCACAAAACTTCTGCTCAGCTTACGTTAACTGCATGTATGTATGGCTATAGAAGCACCGTTCACTTTGGGATAACTATGAGTCAAGTCTCAAGAAAAAGTTTGTAAATGCCCTCTACACTTCCAGAAATCCAGTTACAGAATATTGCCACAGATCTTGAATGGACGGAAATGTCTATGTGGAGCTAGTAAACAACAAATCAGCTCATCTGTACCTTCTCCCAGCCCCACACAGAACCCATTTTTGGGCATTTCTCTGATACTGAACTGAAATGTTATGAACAGATTATTTTGATGATGCAGAGTTCACACACCAGTGACCTTTGCGACTTCTTCCATGTGTTCACACCTCTCATATCCAGTCACTGCCTAAACTCTCTGGTGGCCCTCTACAAATATCCCCCACTAAGAGCCGCAGTGCAGAGTCAACACATTCAGAGTTACGTTGCACATGCAAACAAAAGGTTCTAGGACGTTTCTCACCAGGGTAATGGCGGCATCATCTTCGGCCCCGCTGTATCTGAACATGATGCGATGTCTCTCCATATCAGCGAAGTATTCCTTCGCCTCTTTGCTTGTACTTGTACCCAAACCTGAATGAAGATTCAACAGCTTTAACCAAACACATCCTAACAAACTACAAACTCTACCGTCTGAAAAGATTTGTGCATCTCTTTATTTGTGAATTCAGTGTAAATTTAGTCAAATACTTGATTAGCAAACCTTTGTAGTACTTTATATGCCAGGTTTTAAAATTCTCCGTCTGTTTCTTCCACTCCTCAAACTCTGGAATGCTGTAGAAAGCCACCTCCTGCTTATTCTTGGTCGCCTGCAGAAAATACATTTCCATAAGCTTTGCAGCCCAGTGCCTCTCACGATCAGATTTATTTCATCACAGTGTTTGTGAGCGTGCGTGTGTGTGTCTCCCCCTCTTACTTTGACAATGGGGGTAATAAACTCCTCCAGGAATGTGTGTTTCAGGAGGGACGGCCAGTTGTGGTGGAAGAAGTTGATGAGCAGACCTTTAATGTGGGAGCCGTCTTGATCCTGTGAGGAGTGAGGAAGTGTTTTAAAAAAGCTGTTTTTATTCCTTATTAGTGAACTTGCAGCTGTGTTCGAGTCTATGAAGAGGGTCACCTGATCTGTCATGATCATGATCTTGCCGTAGCGCAGGCTCCTCAGGGACTCAGCATCATCGTAGCTCTTCTTATACTGAAGGCCGACGATTTTGATGATATTGTTGATCTCTGCATTTTCCATGATCTGTCGAATTAAGGAAACGACACATTTATGCAGAGTTCACTCAAGTCCCACCATACAAACACTTTTTAATCACTGTGAATCAACCAATCATGCAAAATGGAAGCTGACATGAAATAACCATCTGCAAATTTTCAGCTTTGTTCAGCAGGACAGAAAGACATGAAAAATGACTGTAAGATATCGTGGCAAATGGTTTTGTTTACTCATGTACAACATAAAGTAATTATAAAAAACTCTTCACTGGAGCTTTAACTAAAAAGTGCCACATCTAGTCACCGCACAGCAGTGTGACGGCAAAATATTATCTCTGCACTACAAATGGGATTTGTTTGTAGTTCTTCTGATCAACACGATCAGACTTTGACGCTTATCATGGAGCGGAGATACGCAGTAAAACTTGGCGAGAGTATTTGATGATTCATTCGTTTATTATACATCTGGTCCAGAAGGTGGTCGTAACGCCCCTGATATCAATATGACGGTATGGCTGAATGCTGCTTGTGTTTGACGTTGTAGGATTAATTATATGTGTGCTTCCACTCATGTGCTTTGTGGTGTATTGTACGGCAGTTACATTAAAACAGCAGAACTTATTGTTTGTTTTATATGTATTCTGTGCAACACTGAATAAGGAGGATGGTAGTAGAGACTACATAATCAGTTTCAGACCTGTTTGTGCGTTGCCTCCCGAACGTTAAGGATCTTTCCTCTCAGTGGAAATACCCCATAGCGATCACGCCCGATGACTCCCAGTCCAGAGACGGCGAGAGACTTGGCTGAGTCTCCCTCGGTGAGGATCAGTGTGCATTCAGAGGAGTGTTTACCACCTAGGACAGATAGATATAAAGAATTGATCAGTTTGTGGATGGTTCTGAATCAAAATAACAGCAAGTGAACATTTTATTTTGGCAGACAGAATTTCATCACCCTTCTTCCTGGTAATGGCTCTTTCTTTTTAAGCTACAGACACAAAAATGTGACCCTACAGAGATAAACGGTTTTGTGTAACCATAGCAGCTTTAGATCCCAAATATTTGTCTAACCAATCCAGGCAGTGTAGGACAGAAAAACATATTTTAGTCAATAGTCTGGTAGCTTCACAAAGAGCTGCAGACTGTCTGAAGTGATCAAATGAAACTCTTTGAAAGCTCAGCGTGTGTCCTGAACCGCACCTTAACATGCCTCTCTCTTTGCTAACCTGCAGACCTGTGCTGTAACCTGTGTGGAGGTGATTCCTATAGAGGGAGAATGCAAGGGCAGGTGTGTTTTACTAAATGCAGATGGCTTTTTTTTAACGAGTAACAAGTCAAGTGCTTTATTATACCAGCATGGCCCTTAATATACACGGGCAAGCTGCACAGATGTAGTCCATGTAAGGGAAATAATGACATCATTCAGACCAGGAAATGACAGAATCTCACCCTTAACATGAAAACAAACTGGCTTAGCTGCATCCAGAGGGTCTAAGATTCACTCAAAATGTTCAAGCTCAGATACAAAAGCCTGCTTTAACTTCCAGCACAAGGCAAATAAAGGCTTTAATTACTTGTACAGAATTGATGGAGTATCCGTTCTTTAAATTCCTCCCCAAACTGTGTTAATTTAGCTGAAAGGGCATGTATCACAATTTAGGAGACAGCAGTAATGTGCAAGTGATGCTCTTGTGAGGCAATGTAGTCTTTTATTAACACACACCAACCAATTATCTGCTCTTTAAGCTTCTCTCTCTTTTCTACATCAACATCTGAGGGTTTAGCTGAAGAGGCCCGGTGTTGGACATTAATAAATAATCACAGTTTAACACACCAGCATCATTGGCGTCGTCTAGCTTGGGGATGCCTTTGATCTTGCTGTGCTTCACAGACGAGCACTTCTTATTCAGCTGTGTCTGAGCTTTGAACTTCACCCAGTTGAGGATACTCTCGACGATCCCGCAGTTGGTTGCCTGCGGGTGACAAAGACATAAAATGCTTTCATGGCTGATGTGCTGTTTTTATTTTTTATTTTTTTTACAAAAATAGCGAACCACCAAACAGAGTGAGGAGATGAAAGTGGATGCTGAGCGCCCTTACAGCTCTGACAAACTTGTCTGACAGAAGGCACTTGGACCCGAAGCTCTTTGTCTGCAGAGTCATGTTCTCCTTGGTCTGAGAGTCAAAGGAGGGGTTCTCGATCAGAGCGTTCACAAACACCCAGATGTGGTTCTTCACCTGAGGCAGGGGCAAGATTTATCAGTTACGATTTCTTATTCATGAAACAACATTTTTCTGTTTTTAGAAATGTTGAGTCAAACATCTGTACCTGGAAAGGTTTGACGGACACTCCAGCTTTGTTCTTCTTCTTCACTACTTCAATAAGTTTGGACACAATCTGGTCCACCACGTAGTCAATGTGTCTGCCACCCTGAAACACACATACAATCACCCTGTGTCAGGAGCTTTAGGACAGTATGGCTGGGAGGATATTCTTTCCCCTGATTAAATACTGTCAAAACACTTGACACAGTGCTATTTAAAGCTCCTGTGAGGAGTTTCTATTTGATTTTAAAACACACTGGAATTGAAACTGATGATTTTTTTATGAGCTTGTTAAGCAAAAGAGACATTTACTATTACCATATAGTCGTTTTTAATGTATGAAGCTCCTTCCACCAGGTGGGTATCAAACAAACAGTCAAAAATGTCCTGATCTCTGTTTAGCTTCCAGATCTGAGCCAATCTTCATCGGGGGTCATTTTTTTGTTCCCTCCCCTTTAATAAGCAAATGGAGCAAAGCACTGTTGATATTTAGGTACCTTGGTTGTGGCGATGCTGTTTACAAAGCTGATTTGCTGGAATCCTTTCTCGCTCAGGGTGAGGCAAACTTCCCACCGCTCGTTCACAGTCTCATTTACAACCTTCAGCGCCACGCCGGTCTCATCTAGTTTGTCCTTCACATACAGATCAACGTAGCTGCGGAAGCTGTTAACCTAAAGGGACAAAGAGGACACAGACAGAGATGATTATTCACGTGCGTAACACCACTCCTGAAAATCATTAAGTAGAGTATAAGGAAGATAGGGACTCACAGGTAGTTTTTTTCCATTCAAAGAGACTTTGACCCCCTTACAGGAGCCGGCTACATCGTATGCTCTGCGGGTAAGAAGCGCTACAATATCTTTGTCCAGTTTCTCCATCTTAAACTTGGACAGGTCTGGCTGGAAGGTCACGCAGGTGAAATCGTCCCCGTCGAAGAACTTGATCTTCGGTTCAGCAGTCTTGCTCATGTTGTTCTGCCACGTCTGAGGATGGAAAAGTAGATTATTTCAAATTCACTTTGAATTAAGCTGATTTCATCGGTCACATTTCTCAAACAGTTTTATACACATGGGTTTCTAAATCCTGACCACCTTCAGTGAAACACAAGTGACATTAAACACCCGTTCCCTTGACAACCGTGCCGATAAACACCTGGATGTGCGACCATAACGATGAAAATCTTACCTCTCGCATGACCACATGTGAAAACCTACAGAACAGCAATATTTTTAAGAACATGTGGTGAAGACTTGAAATTGAAATCTTGTAATTAGATAAGATTAACAATGTCTGGAGCCCTCACAGATGTGGAAACTACCCATGACATACATGGACTCTGATGATCCCCGTACCATCAGGGATGCTGACTTGTAACTGGGAGCCGATTACCTTTGATGCATCTTACACAAAAACTATAAATGATGCTTTTTCACTCATCCTCACCTGTTTGAAACTGTGTCTGTATTCCTTGCAGGCGGTTTCCACGGTGAACTTGGTACTGAAGATGTTACAGAGTTTAGCACCGTACCCGTTCCTCCCACCTTGAACCAAACAAAGAGAAATTAAAACAAAACTCCGCTTCTTGATCCATCTTAGAAAACCACCTATTGAGACTGCAGAGTTCATTTAGAAATTTCACACCAGAACATACTTGCCATGAGACTTTGTTTGATCAGAGTTTACATCACGGTCAACATATCTGCAAGTTTGTTGGCAGGGTCGGGGCATTTAAAGGGAAAACAAAAGGAAAATCCTCTTTTAAAAATACTTCAATTGTTTTTGCTTCACCGTCTTTTCTCACCTGTGACCTTTTTCTCATCATCATCATAGTTGCTGGAGGTGAGCAGGTGACCAAAAATGAGAGCTGGGACGTACATCTTCTCATCCTTGTGCTCCACCACAGGTATTCCTTTGCCATTGTTCCATATAGTAATGGTGTTAGACTCACTGGTGGAAGCAGAGAAAAAACAAGGATGAGTTTGACTAAAATACTTCAAAATCTAAATTAAAATAACACTGTAGAGAGCAGAGAAACGAGCCTTATGTTCATTTGGGGCACTAAGAAAACCATGTGCCCACCAAGAGATCTACAAGGTTTCATTAGGTCTGGAAATCGTCCATTACTGTCAATCAATAGAGATATTACAGAGAAAATTCAAGGCAGGTTTTCTTTCCTAACAGAATCAGTGTTTTCACATTATAGAAGACAGACTATCTAAGAGAAGGCTCTTGTCTGCGTCTGCCACAGAAGCCATCACTCAGTACCTTTGCACTGTTATGTTATGATGCAGCTGGTTTGTGGCGACTCAAAATCACAACGACAGTGTTTAATAAGCTCACCCACAAACAGGCTGAGGGAGCTTTAGAGAGGAGCATTAACGTCTCTCTAACACCACATTAGCATCAGAGACCTGCGTGCAGCAGAGATAATGGTGTCATTTATACAGCAGCAGTCGTTACTGCAGAGACAGCAGCAGCTCGGCTGAAGGACACGCTGCTGTTTAAGTAGTCTGATGTGGATGCAGCTGGCAGGCTGGAGGTACTGCATATAAAAGAGGAGCTCCATGCATTTCAGCACAGGCTCATTATACTCTGGTTCTGCTTGGATTCATGTCTCATATGTCCTTCCACTCACTGCAGGGATTCACAAAACCCTGGTTATATACACTGCACATAGAAAGCAGCTACCTGGACACAGACAGGGACTGAGACTTCTCTGCTACAAATCACTGACATTCATTACTAACAGTTCCCTTTCTGCAGGAGCAGCTGGTTAGTATTTAAGGATGTGACGAGCTCTTTGTCAAAAGCTGATCATGCAGCAACAAACACATCTTTCTGTCAGTGCTGGTATACACTCTCCTCTGTACTTACGGATCAATAGTGATCTTGATGGCTGACATGTTCTTGTCTCTCTGTTTGTTGTCTGCTGCATTTACTGTCAATGAAAAGAGCAGAAAAAAAAAACAGTTAATAAGCAGAAGTATCCGACACCTGACACAATACTGCCATAAAAACATCTTAAGGATGTACTGTAGTTAAACCTTTTATTCAGTATGAGTCTATTAAAGAAGGAGCTGGAGGGTCCAAAGATGATTTTTTAAAGACTTGAAAACGGGCTTGGTTGATAGTTTGTCTAAAATATGCAAGAAAACACTAAAGCCAGACTGTTACAGCATATTTCCTATCATCAGTTTCAAGTCATTGCAGTAACTGCATCTCTGCAACCTTTGAGAGAACCCGACTTTTCTGTGAGTGTTTTACACCGATGCTTCTCTGCCAAACTTTTTTTTTTTCAAGAAATGACTTCATTAAAGAACGTTTAAAACTACTACGAAAAGAAGTACGATATTCATGTATCAAAAGAAAAATTATTCAAAGAAAAGCAAAAAGACTGCATCGGAACGCTGGAGGTGCATCATTTATCTGTTATCCGATCCAGATAACTTGTCAATATCAGAGCCAGTATCTGATCCAAATATCTGATTGGTGCATCCCTATCAGGTATTAACCAGGACATGGATTTTTCTTTATGAATTGAAGTGTTCATTAGAGATTGATGTTGCTGTTTAGAATCAAAAAAACCTACACTGAAGTTTATCAAATCCATGAATTCAGAAACTTGGAACTGGTCTAAATTAGAGCTGGTCCCTGATACCCAAGCCTAATCAGGGGATGCTGTTTAACCTCCCGAGTTAGTTTTGTGTAAATTAAGGGTGTTGAAGCGGCACTTTTAACACCCGCTAACCCAGAAGTCTGAAGGTCAGAAAACAGTCAAACAACTGAACACAAGATCAACACAAGCAGGTGAATGATGTCGGATTGCCAAGTGTGGCACACTGCACTCTGTGTTATGGCACATCGTGTATTTTTCCTGTTAGTTTAATTTACTCTCCTAACCGACCAGGGTCGCCTTTTTGTGTTTGATCATGCACAGGTGAATCACTAATTAATATTGTTTCCTCCTGTTTTCGTTAGTTAGGGAGGAAAGTGGCTCTACTTTGGTTTCTTTCATTTCCATGCTTTATCTCTCACTTTGGATGAGTGGTTACTTTGGGCCTCAGTTCAACCTAAAAACAAAGCCAACAGTTTCTTCATTGTTGTTTGTTTTTTTTTTTTTTTACAATTCTGCCAATAAAAGCTTCTGCTGTGATACCTTGAACTATGAGGCTCTGCGGTTGCTTGGGACTTCAGGAAATTTGTCTTTTTTCTGTTATGTTTTGGCCAATGTTAGACTTTTGTCTCAAATGACTATTATTTTCTTAGTGTGCTTTATTTGATCGAATTTTTATATCTTACAGTTTTTTTTAATCTCATAGTTTATTATCTAATATTCACCCTTGAAAATAGGGCCTCTCATTAAATTAATTTCCCACTTGCTTGACTGGAGCGACAACATACCAGCAGCTTGGAAGTAAATCTGTCCTTAATATCTGTTCCTGGCGTGCGCCTAATTACACAGACACAGCAGTGATACCCACCCTGACAAAGGTGTCATTAATCAAACAACTTCATAAAACACACAAGCTGAGATGAAAGCAATCATCAACAACGCTCTCATGTGGTGAACGGCATCGTTTAAAACCTGATTACACGGTACGCTTTATGAGCAGAGGTATCAGCGGAGCAACACTCGGACTCATTGAAACTATGAGAGCCTGTTAAACTGCTTTATTGACCTTTATATGGTGGAGAACAGCTGACCGGGCGTGCTTCTAACTAAATATATAATAAAACTTGGAAACAATGGGCAACAGCGTCAAATAAACCCCGAAAAGAGAAGACTGATTTTAGGTCTGCATAGTTCACAGCCTTCAGTGTCGTTGCTCCTCATTGTTTCGTGTGCAATGATGCAGCTAAAAGTCTAAACTCCACTAACAGGATGTGAGTTGCGTTTAATTCACTTGTAATCTGACACTGAGCTGAAACACTGCTATTGTTCTGATTTCCTCTCTAATAAAAGTCTACTCAGGCTGCAACCAGAACACCGAGATGAGCTCACAGAAGGAAACACACCTCCACACAGAGTCTTCATCAGAGCTGCTGAGCAGCGCCAAGAGCAGGCTGTGATTCAGTGAATGACGTTTACATAGAAGCAAAAAACATCACAGCTTCAGAGAAAACCGATCCTAATGACAAATGAACCTTTAGGACAGGATCAGCACTCACCGAGAATTTCATCAAAGATTTTGTAAAGTCCGGGGACGTAGGTGATTTCCCTCTGGTTCATCCCGATGTCTTCATCAAAAACCCACATTTGCTGGAGGACAAAACATAAAAGCATTTAAGTTCAGACTTGATGACACAGAGAGACTATTGAAAAAATCTTAAACAACAGAGTTATTCAAACATGAAGTCTGTAGAAAGAAGTCCTGTCTCAGTTTGATCAATAATCCATCTTGAAGGTAGGTTTCTGGACTGATGTCAGTATCAGTGCAGGTTTTACAATAATTACTTATCCTAAAAGAGATTCATTACTCTGATAAATTAAATTATCCAGGGTTTATTCTGTTTTCTGTCACGTAATGTGTCAGTCATGTAAGGTGTTTTCAACGTTGGTTTATAATCTATATTCAACAAAGAAAACTTCATATTTTACACACATAAAAAATACAAGAATAAAAAAAATCAGTCCTGTCTAACAAAACAGTGAGACCAGTTCAAACAGGTTTTCATTTACTTTTATAATACCCATGTTTAAACCTCGTCTTTATAACTTTTCTGTCATACTTAAATGATTAAATTGAACTTCAACTCTTTAATTCTCACCTCATAGTTGTAGTAAAAGTTGACCTCTCTAACTGAAAGGCATTTCATATTTGCCCCTCTCTTTGTTTCTCTGAATTCATACCCGCTCTCCCTGGTTTCAAACAGCTACTGAATACAATCTGGATGTAAATTAGATGAAGAATTAAATTAGTAGGAACAGAGATGATATTGTTTCCATTTTCAACATGCTTCTTCAGTTATCCAGAAGAAAGAAATAATATTCTTCACTCAATAATGCATCAGAGAAGATCTTCTTGTCTGAGACAGAAGTCCTTTCAGCAAACTTGTGGCCTTTTGCTTGAGTGGGTGTTTGTTTTGAATCAGCTCTTTGTTGTATTTGTTTATAAGCGGTTGGACAGTTTCAGCTGCTGAGAGACCCGCGTTATATTTGGAATGTGAAACTAAGTGAGAACGGAAGTTTCACATTACACAACACTTTGTTTACTACAGCATGCTGCTTACTGCAGTGCTATCTCAACCTCGGCCAGGACAGAAGAGGGCAGCCTCAGGCCAACACTGTGGCATTTTTTATAAACTTTGGGACTCCAAAATCTGACATGAAATAACAAATCTTTGGATAGCAGAATCTCTTGAACTCTTGTTTGGTTTGACTCCAAAAGTTCTATGATAATGGCTGCCAGAAAAAAAGTCTGTCTGTGTGTTTGTGAAGCCACAAGACATATTCGAGGAGCAGACTGCAGCCGATATCAGAAAGAGCCATGCAAAAGAAACGGCTGATCCTCTGAAACGTCTGCTTGAATCTAGTTTCTTATCAGCCATTAGACTTCTTCCCCGATTGACCACGCCCCCCTCAAACGAAAACAAACATCAGCCCTCAGTAGCATCAAGCGCAGTGAAAAAAAACGTGTCACTTAAACTGGATATTGTTAAGCAGATAAAATCTATGGTAATACTGCCTACATCTGAAGGAGGTAAGAGATTATTTAAGCTGTTCCCATGCCAAGCAGAGACATTATTTCTACATGAGGACACAGTTAAAAGGTCCAGGTGGTGAGAAACAAGATTAAAGGCTCAATATCATGGTTGGAGAGCAGCTTTAAACTGTGTAGAAATGTTTGACAGCAAAACTAAAACATTTTATTGCTGACACAGCCCAACGATGCCACACTGTCAAATCTGCGCAGCTGTCTACTTCTTTATAATGCAGCAACTTTGAGGCAGTTTTCTTTGGACTCACCTGGGTGATGGGCTCCACGCTGCCGATGTACGTGTCTGGACGAAGAAGGATGTGCTCTAGCTGCGTCTTCTTCTGGTAAACTCGCTCCACCGACAGTTTGGAGCTGGCCTTGTCTTTCTTTGCCCCCTCCATCTTGCCGGTATCACCTCTGCCATTCGCTGCCTCCTGTTTGGCAGAAATGCTTTTTGTTATTATTTCGTACATGACTCTTTCAAAACCCCAGGACCTTCAGGGAAATGACCCTGCTGAACGGAGCTGCTGACAGCAGATTATCTGCGCTCACCACCACAGGGTGAACCCCCTCACCCTCTCTGTAGCTTTGTGATTTAAAAGACCGATAGCTAACAGAAATAAACTACCAGGGCATGAATTCCTTGGGCATGTTGTGTTCAACAAACAAAACGTTATGGAGAGTAATGACTGGCTGTATCTGTTGGTTTAAAAAAAGGGGATTTTCAGGAATATAAAAAAAAAAAAAAAAAACACACACATCTGTGTTTGACATTAGATATTTATTTTTGTTTGTATTGTTTGCAAGTCAGAGCATGCCCATATACAAGTGGCTAAGGTTCGATTCTACCTTGAGGTCCCTTTCCTGTATGTCACTCTGACAACAGCCAGTTGGAGTCACTTTTAAATTGCCTTTTAGATGTAACAGCCTGGATGTCACAGAATTTTTTGCAGCTCAACCAGGACAAATCTGAGGTTTTAAGAATTGGTTCAAAGGCTCAGAGAGAGAAACTGACCCCCAAACTCCACAAAATAGGACTTAACCCCAGCCAAGAAGCACGAAATCTCGGGGTGGTCTTTGATGCTGATTTTAATTTTAAAACTCATGCTAGGGGGGGTCACTAAAACAGCCTTTTACCATCTTAAAAACATTACTAAAGTACAACTGTTTCTCTCTTTGTGCCAGACAGAGAGACTAATGCACGCTTTTATAACCAGCAGGCTTCACTATTGTAATGCCCTTCTCTCTGGTCTACCAAAAAGCACAATAAACCAGCTACAACTGATCCAAAACTCTGCTGCTAGAGTTTTGACTAGGACCAGGGGAAGAGCTCATATTACACCGGTTTTGAAGTCTTTGCACTGGCTGCCTGTTAGTTTTCGCATTAATTTTAAAATTCTGTTACTAGTTTATAAAGCTCTACATGGCCTGGCACCAGAGTACCTTTCAAAGATGATTTTAATTTATGAACCAGGGCGGCCTTTCAGATCCTCTCAACCTTCTCTATTAGTCGTTCCACAGAGAAGAACAAAAAAAATTGGTGATGCTTCTTTTAGCTGCTACGCTCCAAAACTGTGGAACAAACTTGCAGAGGGTCTGAGACAAGCTGTAAATATAGAAATCTTTAAACGTTACCTAAAAACTCATCTATTTAGCCTGGCTTTTATGTAAAGCTTCATTATTTTAATTACTATTGTAATTTATTTATTCATTAGTATCACTTTTTACCTTCTTTTATTAATAAATTCAAGTTCATATTTTATTGTCTGTTTTAGTCTATTTTAATAACTTGTCCTGAAGTAAAGCGTTTTGAGTTGCAATTTCAATTGTATGAACAGTTCTATACAAGTAAACTTTGATTGATTGATTGATTGATTGATTGATTGATTGATTACTCTCTCTCCCTTGTTTCTGCTCTATCCACTGTCCTCTTTTAATAACAGCCAAAATAGCCTTAAAAATAAATCTCAGCTCAATCAAATTCTAGATTTAACATCATCATAGTTTAATCATTTTGCTAATGGTATGATCTCCTTGTAATCAGATTAAAGATGCTGTAAAGAACTTGTTGTTTGTGTCGGCTCTGGCACACCTCTTATCTTTTGTCCTGAACATATCTTAGCAGTATAAAGCTGTATTTTCAGACATACACCTCATCTTAATGTCTTCACACAATGAAATATATTATTTACAGTCATTAAAAACATTTTAAAAGGACTGTTTCTGAAACTCATCTGGTCTGAAACCTACTCCTGTAAAGTGATCTCCAGCATTAAAAATCACAACTGAGAAATGATCAGTATTGGTACTGATGAACTTGTTTGTTGAGAAGGTCATAACAGGACAGTTTGAGTCATTTTCTTAACCAGTCACAGTCCCTTTAAAGATGTAGCAAAGAGAAACTGAGTACCTGATGGAGCTCTTTCCAATAGAGATGCTCCATTTCAGAGTCCCGACGAGGGTTAAAGCTACTGTGGCCACAAAATGATGAAATATGCATGTCAATGTGTGATAAAAGCATCATGAAAGTATTTGCAGGTTCAGTAGGAGTTCAGTGGACCTGCACCACATGTTTAATGCATGTCTGCAGTATGAAGGGGGAGTGGTTTTTGTCTGAATTAACCAAGCAATCTAAACCAGACTGAACCACCATGATATTTAAGGTGCTGATAAGTTAGTGCTAACTGCTCAATGACAGACCATAACACAACTCCCGTGGCACACATACACGGGTCTACTATGTTGTAGTATTTGAGTCTCGGCACGTTTAACCCAGATTATCTACATTTTATGAGAGCTGTGCAAAGGTTAACTTCGAACTAGTTTAAAGAAAAAGACTAGCTACAACCAATGTTATTGTGCGGGGATAAACACTAACGCCGTGAGAGTCTGCTGAAGGCTGAATTCATACAACTTTGACTTACACCAAGTTGTTCGCCTTAGGAAGGATGATGTAAACGATTAACTCTTTACATTGCTGTCCTCATGCGGACACAAACATGCTGTCAAGCTCCTGGATTTATCAGTTTATTTAAATCCCTGTGAACACCCCTCTAATGGCTGATTTTACCCGGAGGGTGTTTAAATGGAAACGGCAGCTGCCCGCTCTGTTGTATACAGGATGGGAGTCCAACACTAGAAGCACGCTGGGGGGTTTAAATGCTAACCAAAGCATGCAACAAACCGGCTAACCGTGGTTTGTTACTGTGATGTGTTTTCAGTGCATTATCCAGGTTTCAAACGACAAGCAAGTTAGTTGTATCCCACAGTAACTTACCATCCAAGCCAGAGCCCCGCTCCCTGCTGCGCCGTTGGACATCTTCCTTTGTGGTCTGGTTTTCTGTGATGCAGCTCTTAAAATGTCTCCAGTTCCAGCTAAATTAAAAGTCCGTCTGCATAACAAATGTCCTAGTTTCTGATAGGTGCCCAGACTTGTTTATCTCTCATGTTCTTCACCTGCTTTGTTAGAGACAATCCTTTGAATGGATCAAAACAAGCCAAGGAGGGGAGTGTGTCGGCGGCTATTGTTAAAATCGACCAGCGGTGAGCACAGTAGGCCTAAACTTCCAACAAAGATGCTAGCCGAGCTACTAACTGCAAAATAAATACTGTACAAAACAAACACATTAAATAGGCTCGAAGACAGAGGAGAAAACGCAACAGAATAAAATAAGAGATTAACAGAAATCCTCCTGAATCAAATTACTTGGACACGTTCATTTAAAAACAAAGCGAGTAACAGCTAGCAGTAGCATCCACTGTCCGGCTCCTCCATCTGCAAGACAGACGGCGAATCGTCTCGCAGATGAACCGACCAATCAGGAGGCAGGTTTTCAAAGGCACCGGCATTCAAACCAATGAGAAGCGACAACAGAAAGTGACCCGTGCGCCTCTTTCAACACAAGATGGCGGCAAAAATCCACTCGAGACTCATCAGTCACAGAGCAGATCTCGTTAAATTTGATCAGTGCCTCACTCAAGCTTTACATTTGAGTCCAACAATAGACTTAAATATAAATATTTCAGTTTAGTAATTTTATTAATCAATCACAAGCTACCGTAACTCTCTGCGTCTGAATTTTGACGCGCTGAGGAATAATTAGGGGAGACCGGGACTAGATGTCACAGTTTGTTACTCTTTGCTTATGATTAGTAAATCTGTTTTCATATACTAAAGCTTCAAGATCTTTAAATGGTCTGGCTTAAACCCTCTCATTCTTGAAATTATTTTAATCGCAAGTTGTTTTTTTAACCAAAAAACCTAATGACAGCAAAAGCCTGATATTTAATGCTTGAATCCAATCAAGTTGTACAGTATATAAGACAATGGCATTTATTTTGTTTATATTTTACATTCATGGTATCACAAGTGTCTATCATTAGTCTATCAGTGTAGATTAGTTAGGGATTTATTATGTATTCTTTATTTAATCCAGGTCCAGGACAGACACTAAATCCTCCTTTTCTTAAAGCACCTGTGAGGAGTTTTATATTGATCATGAAAACAGATCAAGCTTTACACTCTTTGCTAGCAGAGATTGTTTTTTCAATGCAGATTTCTTGCAGAGCTCCTCTACCTTTTCACCCCGCATCAACATTCATCGTCAAGTTCTTTGATGCCAGTTACAACACTGCTTTCTCTATAGCTAGCTGAAAGGTTTAAATTAAAGTTATACCTTCCTCTATTAGTCGTTAATCATAAAATGATTTATTATAATGCAACAAAAATATCTACATCGCAAATTACTTGCACCATAAAATCAATCATAAAATGCACCAAAATATTAGTGTTTTATGAGTGCGCCTGATGGAAAAGCCCTCTTTATAACAAACACAAGTGAGACCGCCAACCCCAGTTTTCCCTACACTTTTATTATATACAGAAGAACTGGAGCATCCTTGGCTGATTGAGGCAACAAACTTGGTTTGCTGTGTGGAAAGTCTCGATGCTTCAAAATGAACAAACACATTTAAAGTGAAGACAAATTATACAAAAGCTATGGCTTCAACTCCTTTTTTGACATTGCCCTACGTCAAAAGACAAAAATGTGTTGCAGACATCTGCCCACTGTGGAACATAAAAAAATAATGACTTCATTCATGTAGCAACAGCCCATGCACATTTAAAGAGGGATTTCAAGGTTTTTGACTTAGTGTTGCAGCACTGCATTAAAAATAGACAGGACTCTGGAGCGGAAATCACTGCATGGGCTCAAAACCACTTAAAAAACAACTGTGAACAAACTTCATCCCTGCATCCATAGAAGAGGTTAAAGCTGAACCATGCAAAGAGGAAACCAGATAGGCATACTATGGGGTTATGAATGGACAGTGACCCCTCTGGGCTCTTTAAAGATGGACTGAGAAGTGGGACACTGTCCTTTGTGAAACATTCTTTTTGGGAGTAACGGACACTGCATCCTTGGCTGTTAAGAGGAGAGAGACCACCCAGCATGTAGCTAGCACGCAAAATCTCAGGCCAGTTTAAGATGAACTGAGGAGAATGAAAAACTGTGTAGTGGTCCAATAAGTCAAAATTTGACATTTTGGGGGGGGAAATCATGGATGTCCAATGCCCCAGTCTTCAGGGTAGGGGTACCACCCTGCTTGTTATCAGCTTCCAGTGCAAATGGTGGTATGGGGATCATCAAAGTCCATGTCATGGGTATCTTCCACATCTGTGAAGGCTCCTTTAATGCTGAATAATATCTACAGATTCAGGAGTAACATCTGCTGCCATCTAGACAAAGACTTTTTCAGGAAGACCATATTTCAGCAAGACAATGACAAACCACATTCTGACAACAGGGATTACAACATCATGGCTCTGTAGTAGAAGATTTCTGCTGATAAACTGGTCTGCCTTCAGCCCTGACTTGTCTCCCATTGAAAACATTTGGGGCATCATGACACTAAAAGCAGGACGAAGACGACCCTGATCTGTTGAGCAGCTGAAATCCTCTATTAGGCATGAACGGGACAACATTTCACTGTCAGACTTCAGAAACTGGTCCCTTTGGTTCCTAAAGACTAAAGGAGAGTTGAAAAAAAGGAAATATCGTTCAAGATAAAGGTAAACATGTCCCTGTCTTAACTTTTTTGAAGCATGTTTCTGGCAACAAATTTATGAGTTTATTTTTTCATCAAACCAAAATACCTCTGACCTTCAATATGTTGTCTTTGCAGTATTTTCAATTGAATATAAAGTTTGAATGCTTTGCAACTCATCTAAATCTGTATTTTTCAACATTTTACACAGTGTCCCAACTCCTCTGGAGTACATCTTGTTCATTTTTCTCACATACAGACTCATATTGTTACTTTAGTGTCTTACAACACTCCACAAAGGATCCCTCGAGACACAGACCACTTAAGGTGTGAGGACGTGTTTCAAAACTAGAAACAGACAAAATAGTGTTAACAAAAACTACTGTTTGAAAACAGGAGCTGCTGGTTGGCTACTCCTAGATCAGTTAGTGTTTGTGAATTATGAGTGTATGATCCAGAGTAAGCTAATAAACTCTTCAAAGAAACAGAATCATCCATTAAACATCCAGATTATTGACCCCAGTTTAAATAAAGTATTGCACTGATTTCTTGTATAATAAAACTACCATCCACACCCTTGGCTCTAAGCTTATCAAGGCAATCAACAGAAAAAAAAATAGTTATTTGCTAGGTAAAACATATGTTAAGCTTCCTCTAGGTGGACAAAAATTTCAAATGAAGACTCCTCCATCTCCTTTAAGCTTTGTCTGAAGAGCTGAGAGTGCTGCCATGATGCGTCCCCTTCTCCTCCACTGAGTCCTGCAACAACCGTGAACTCCGAGGAGCCGGAGAGACTCTGGAGTGACTGCATCTTCCCGTCTGAAGGATTCCACAGACATAGGGAGAGAGAGAGGGTGCGTTACAGGAAGAAATCATGCTCGAAAGTACAGTAAGAACAACTGTTACATAACCCCACCTCCAGAGAACTCTGATGTGATCAGGCCTGCATGCACGTGCCAGCAGACTCTCCCGGAGTGGAAGGTCTGGCTGCTTGCCATGATTGAGACAGACTTTATCTTCAGTCCCGCTGAAGTGAAGTCAAACTTCCAGCTGATTTTTCCTTGAGAGGAGCCCTCTGTTCGGGCGAGGTAAACCTGAGGATGAAACGAAATCTGGCTGTAACACCTTCTGCTGCTGCTCTGGTGTTCATTTTAGAGACTGGGTTGGATCCAGTCTCTGTCTTCAGAGGCCTTTTGGGAGCAAGGTTGTACTAGTGCAACTCCCACTGAAGACCATGGCCTCCGGGTCAGTTTTGACTGTCCTTTTTTTCATCACTGTCTATTTGTAACCTCGGTGGCTCTTTACTCACAGCCTTTTACTTTCAAGTGCTTTGTGACCCTTTTTTTTTTTTTTTTTAAATAAAGGGTAAAAACAAAACAAAAAAAGAGTCCCTGAAATCCCATTAGGTGAAAATATTATGCATATGAGATGATAACTTGTGCATGAAATGTGAAAAAGATGCTTTTGCCAGACTTCAGGGGCTCTGCAGAAGCTTAAATGTGCCAGAATAACTCTCTACTACTGTTCATTTTATGAATAAAGGACTGTGATAGGCAACTGCTGCATTATACCTCTTTTTTGTCGTGTTTGCACACCATCTTGTTCGGGTTTATTTCTGCTGTAATGATGAATCACCTTGGATTATACTTTACATAACAGCTTTTTTTTTTTAATAATCTGGTACATACTAAAAATATGGGTTCCTTAATGAAACGGTGAGAAACATACCATCTGCCAGTCTTCCTCCAGCTTTCTGAACACAGACTCCTTCCTCCACACACACTGATCCCAGCTCTGAATGACCTCTCCGTTGTTGGACACTCGGCAGTACTGGTCTTTGGAGGAGCTGTAGCGCACATGCAGTAACCTGTTGCTTTTCTCTTCATCGGTGGGAGTGAACACAAAACCTGCAGCCTAAGAAAAAACAGACACACACCTCTGCCAGTCAGATACTGATGTGAGTTAGACAGTGTTTCCCACTTAAGATACTCCACCATACCAGGACAGCACACTGTACCTGTGCAGGGGTCTCTGTGTCAGCCCCTCTGGTCTCTCCTCGTGCTAATCTCCAGGCCAAAGATCCAGAGTTACGACCCCCGAGCTCTCCTGCTTTTGGTTTCTTTGGGGAAATAAACTCGACAAGTTCGACGAGCAGCCTCTCAGTCAGCTCCTTCTTCCTTTCTGGACTCAGCGCCTGCTGCCTCTGCAGGACCAGAGCAGATGAAGCTGGTTAACATCAGATTCACTGCAGCACTGCAGCCCCACATCCAGATTTCAGTGACTTACAGATGCATTCAGCCCATTGATGGTGTGCAGCAGCCAGGCCTCTTGAACCCTGGTCCTCCTTGTTAGCACTTCTGGATGTTTGCAGGAGTATCTCCAGGTCACATCAACCACCTGAACCAGACACATAAATACACAGAGCAACACATATTAACTGTCTGTTAAACCTAAATGAAACTGAACTTAGACTAGTCTAAAGGTTGATACAAAGCACTTAAGTTGTTAGCAAGGGTTTGTAGTGTCTGACCTGGTCCTTGGAGAAAGCCAGAATGTAGGCCAATTTCTTCCCCCAGCCGACCTCGTACAGCAGAGGTTTATCACAGGCATTCTCACAGGGGTCGCAATGCAGCCAGCGGCGCTGAGAGGGAGAGTAAATCTCTGTCCACACGTGGTCTAAGACACGAGAGGAAACCAAACAGAATCTGATTCAGCTTTTTGAAAACTTTAGAGCAGTTTTGTTGTAATCCAGATTTACCACAACTCAAAAAATCCAAAGTTATGAGAGCTGAACTCAAAAAACTAAGGGCAATGGGAAATACATATGGAGGAGATGGAAACACCTAAATACTGCTCTTTTAAATTACTACCAAAAACAATTACTTGTTAATTTACATTTATATAAATACAATTTTGAAAATCTACTACAGATATCCAAGAAAAATAACAGAAAACTTATCATTTCATTGACAGTTGAAGATTACGAAACACCAAAGAAAACCCTATTTTCTAACAGTAGCACCGACTGCTTCTCAGGACTTGAGTTTCTTTTTCAGCTCATCAGGAAGAAAATCAGCAGAATTACACATGACAGTGATGTACACACCTGTGCTGTCCCACACATATCTGGCCTCAAGCCCCATGGCTCTGCAGCACAAGGTGAAACAATTGGCCCACTCCCCACAGCGCCCCCTCCTGGTTTCTAGCAGCTTCTCTGGATTGTTATACCTGATACAGACAAAAGGTAAAGACAGAGACGAGTGACTTTTCTGCATATGTGTTCTGACTGAGGGAAATATTCTTTTTCTTTTTACCATTTTACCATTTGTTCAACTTCAGTAATCTAACAATAAAATCTTGAAGACTTAAAAACAGGCAACTGGACTGTGTAGAGTTGAGAAAACGTTTCGCCTCTTATCCAAGAAGCTTCTTCAGTTCTAAAAGTGCTAGTGTCAGGAGCAGATATTTATCTTACTGGAGAAGGGGGACAATTAACGACTGGCTGGAGTTGAAAAGAATGGGTCGTAGAAACCCATCTCTCGGTGTGTCCCCCCCAAGTCGTTATCCTGAAAGGGTCGTTAGCGACTCCTATTATGTGACCACATGACTCATGCCACCTGAGTCTTCAAGATAACCATGACCTGGATGAATGAGAATCTACATGGACTTAACAATAAAATGCATTTTTGCCTAAATCTATATTTTGACTATGGCTCTCTACAGTAACACAAAACCTTAGGGTCACATAGACACACACCCACCTTGGGAACCTAGTGGAAAGCTTGCAGCTCTGACAGTAGTGGTTTTCTACCCGCTGGGCCCCCCATCGAAGGTCATCTGGTGTTGCACTGAGTGAACCAGAGTTCTGAGTCGAGCCTCCGCAGTGGCTGCAGGGAAGAGAGTCCACCCAGGAAAAGTCCTTTTTGAACCAGCTGAGCAACTCTAGCACCAAGAAGTCTTCTATTCCCAGTTTACATCCTGCAAACCAGAGAAAAAAGAAGAAAGTTATTCCCTCCACCTTACAATAAAAGCCCCCATCACTTAACAAACAGGTCTAAATGAAGGAAAAGAGTTTACCTGAATCGGCCTGTTTTGCCTCTTTAAGTCTGTGTTCTGCAGTAGAGGATATTTGCTGGTGAGGGATGTGGTTTCGAGCTTTCTGCTGCAGCTCCAGGTTTTCATACTGCATCACGTGCTGGAAGTTTGACTGGAGAGTCACAAAGAAGCTCATACTGCTCTCCTGCAGAGAGAAAATTGAGGTTACCAATAACCTATTGGTATGATAAATAGCAACAAAAGGAGGAACATGAAGTGTTGTGCTAGAATATCTGTCACTTTTTCTCACAAACATGCTCCACCTAAAGATTTTTTTACTGCTTCTTTCTCCTAACAAAAACTTTTTTTATATACATATAAAACACCTAAAAACTCTCTGGATTTTCCAGGTGTTCTGCATGCAAATAGTGGGATTTTGGTCCCAGATTATCAAAAGATTTACGGATCAACTGACAAAAAATGATCTCATTTCACAGTGAAAAAAGTCAAAGGTAACATTCAGGCCTTGCAATGTCCCTGCTGCACTTACATATCTACTACATACTTAAGTTAAGCCCCATTGAAAACAACAGAGAGTGCACAGTTACCAAAGAGGACGGTTGTGCTGCAGGCGGTGTAACCGGCTGGCTCAAAGCAGCAGCTGATCCCTCTGATGCTGAAGCTGAGGATGGAGCCGCAGCAGCCTGGGCAGATGATTGGACGGACTGACCTCCACGTAGCCTCTGATCCCTTTCCGCTGCTATGGTCTCCCTAATAAGCTTCAGCTGCTCCACTGACGCAGACTTGGGGAACACCAGGTGAGTCTCAGCCTGGAAACAGGTAATAGACAAACCAACTCTTGGCAATGAGCAAGAACTAAATTTAATCCAATGCAGTCTCTACATGGAGGTTAGTTATTAGTTACCTCTTCAAACCCCATCTCAAAGAGGCACTCCACGGCGCCTTTGATGGGCAGCAGTTTGGTGGAGAAAGTAGGGTTGCCTATGCGGATGGATCTGTACTTTTCTTCATTAGGATACCTGTTGGAAGAAGAGATCAGGTGAGGAATTAAACCTAAGTGATTCACAAAACATGTTTTTGTTTCTATTAATATGCTGCAGCAGTCTGTGACCAACACGTTTAACAAGCAATGATGGTAAGCCACAGAGGGTTTTTCCTATTATTTGTGATGTATTTTGACTTGTTATTTTAAAATCATAGTAATCAAAATAAAAAAGTAAGATGGTTTGGTTACTTTTTTAAAAGAACCAATCATATCCGTTTTACAGACAGTATACTGTTAGCGAAAGCACGGATTAAAATTGGCATTCAACAACAACATCAATACAAAAATAAAAAACATAAAAAACACCAACATTTTGAAGGGGGTTTTGTTTAGAGCCCTGTGTGCGAACAGTAGTAAGTAATAAGTAATAAGTAATAAGTTTTATCTTGGCATAAGTACAGTCTGATTGTGTTGGATCGATGACTAATGCGATCTACTGTTGGATTTCTTGGCAAACACGAAAAACTTTTCAGTTGAACAGTTAAACAGCTGTGTGTTTTCCAACAAACCTCCACGTCTCTCTGAATAATATGTTCACAAGCTCACAACCTTACCTTATAATGTTGTCCGCGTATGTAAGTAACAACTTTGAGGCGTCAAGAAATTCTTCATTTGAGTTCTCAAACAGTGCTGTGACCGCCGGGGACCCAGACATAGCTGAACTTTGTGGTTAATTTCAAAGTCATGTAAGTGTAGAGTGTGAGAGCTAACGCTACCAGTGTTGTTGTGGCTAATAAACGTTTTGGGTCCTGGGTGTAGCTGTCCTTACGAACGCCTGAATTCATGTTTGCAACCTACATGACGCTGAAGTTCGCTTCTTATTCGTTACTTCGATCGCACTATAAAGTAATTAAATACGAATCCAGTAGCATGACAACGATTTTTTTAAATCCAGTAACAGCAAATAAAATAAGACTTTAATCAAAAAGGTTTTTCAAACTTGTAAAAGTGCAAAAAGGGAGTTTCTACTGTGACCCTCAGAGTCAATGACACAAATATTGCAGTAGGATAATATACACATTCCATAAAACACGTTCAGTAAACGCGAAAATTATTTCATGAAATGCTCAACCAATTCACAGATCACAAGAATAATGTATGAATATAAAAACATAAAATATACTGAGAAATATAAGTCGAGATTTAAACACACACACACACACACACACACACACACACAAATATGTCTTGAAAACCTAAATTTAATTAAAAAAAAATATATATATATATATATATATATATATATATATATATATATATATATATATATATATATATTTTTTTTTTGAATTAATTTAGGTTTTTAAGATATATTTGTTACAAAACAACGGTAAACATGGAAGCAACGAATAAGACTCTAACTTCATCGTCGTAACGGAATAAATTGGTGTAACATATGAATTTTACTCATCTTTTTTCATAAAGCAAGGTCTCGATAATCAATTTTATTGGTTAATAGATTTAAACAAGATTTAAATATCTTTTTTTTTTTTTTACTCCTAGAGAAATCAGGCGTTCATAGAGGCTACCTAAAACGGCTACAGGCGGATTCAATGATGGAGTCGTTTTTGCTGAGGAGTTTTAGGGTTGATCCCACAGTTTAAAGTGGGACTCTGACGGGTTAGTCCAATTAAACCTAAACTGAAGAACAGTTTAATTTCCTTTGAACATAAAGAGGGCTAAAAGGATTATTCAGCAAAGCTTCTAAACAGCTTTCAACCCCTCAAGACTTCATCATGTCTGGTCTGTCTCTTTCCTCATGGACTAAACTCCAGGTGAGATCTCAGACTATCAGGACAGTCCTTCAAAGGAGCATCTTCTTTCCAAACCTTAACTCCAAAAGACACCACAGCTCGGGCCAGCACAGAAGGAGGGTTGTTGTCACAGGGATAGGTCTGGTTTGTCCTCTGGGGACAGGGACTGCACTGCCCTGGGACCGCCTGGTCAAAGGTCAGAGTGGGCTTGTTGCTCTAGACTCAGAGGAGTATAAAACTGTTCCCTGTAAGGTGGCAGCACTGGTCCCAAGAGGAGATGAACCAGGCCAGTTTAAGGAGGACCAGTTTGCTTCTCGAGGGGAGATCAACAGCATGGCACCTGCTACTGTGATGGCCCTGGGAGCAGCTCAACTGGCCCTGCAGGACTCAGGGTGGTACCCAGAGACCCAAGAGGAGCAGCACAGCACTGGGGTGGCTGTCGGCATGGGGATGGTGTCTCTGGATGAAATCGCTCGCACATCTGCTGCATTTAAAGAAAAGGGCTATAACAGAGTCAGCCCTTTCTTTGTGCCCCGCATCCTGGTCAACATGGCCGCTGGTCACATCAGCATCAAACACAAACTGAAGGGCCCAAACCACGCCGTGTCTACAGCCTGCACCACAGGAGCACACGCCTTAGGCGACGCAGCTAGGTTCATAGCCCACGGAGATGCAGTTGCTATGGTAACAGGGGGGACAGAATCATGTGTGGGGCCTCTGTCCATCGCAGGTTTCGCCAGAGCAAGAGCCCTTGCCACCAAGTGGAACGACAACCCCACAAAGGCGTCGAGGCCCTTCCACCCGGAGAGAGAAGGCTTCGTGATGGGAGAGGGAGCAGCGGTGCTCCTCCTGGAAGAGATGGAGCACTCTGTGAGGAGAGGAGCCCGGATATATGCAGAGGTCCTGGGATATGGGCTCTCAGGGGACGCCAGCCACATCACAGCGCCCACTGCAGATGGAGATGGAGCATTCAGGTTCCTGAGCGGAAGTCTTTTCAAACATTTTTTTAAACAAGTTGGTTTATTTGGAGGGTTTTATTTGAGAACAGCTCTTTGTCAGAGTTCACTGACCTCATAAAGGAAACAGAAAGTAGAAAGAGAGACGATAAAAAGTCCCTTTATGACTTTAAGAAAAAGTTACAGTTAGAGGACAGTTCAGAGGAGTTCAGCTGCTGTTTTCTGAATCTCAGGGTTTATCAAAGCTGCTGTTTCATAAATTTCTGAATTTTGTTCAGTAACACAGTTGAACAACAGAAATTGGGCCAAAAATTGAAAAATAATGTTGAAGTTGGATTAAGCTGGGTAAATGTCTGTCTGCTGTCTCTACAGGTGTATGTCTGCAGCGCTCAGGGATGCTGGCGTCACACCTGCAGATGTCACTTACATCAACGCTCACGCCACCTCAACACCTTTGGGTGATGCTGCTAAAAAAACGCCGCCATCAAGAGGCTCTTCCATGAGAACTCAGAGAACCTGGCTGTCTCCTCCACAAAGGGGGCCACGGGACACCTGCTGGGGGCCGCTGGGGCCCTCGAGGCAGCATTCACTGCTTTAGCGTGCTACCACAAAATCCTCCCCCCAACCCTGAACCTGAACCGCACAGAGCCAGAATTTGACCTGAACTATGTCCCCTGCACGGCACAGATGTGGCAAACTGACAGACGACGGGTCGCCATCACAAACTCATTCGGGTTTGGAGGCACAAATGCGTCGCTGTGTCTTGCGAGCGTGTGAAGATCATTCTGTGTTTGATAGCTCTGATGGAGCAGAGTGTAACTCGCTAAATGTTTGCAGATGAATTAGACAGATTTACTTACTTCTGGAAACTGAACTTGAGGGAGTTTCACTGCAAAGATTAAAAACTTAAAGGAAATCGTGCTTTGCTCTGGATGTTTTCATTAGACCAAGATCACAAACCCTTTGATTGTCATGCAACAAAAACATCAGAGATACAGAGAACCAATTTATGAGCATGGCTCCTTTAAGAAAAAAATGCAGATAAATATCTTAAAACTGAGCAAATACATAATGAACAAATTGTTCCATGCATTGTTTAAAAAAAAGGGAGGATTATTACACATTTTTATTCAATTCTGCACACCCAAGAAGAAAGGATTTTTTCATGTATAATGGTCAGCTGTGTGTTATGATAGCGGTGCACTGTTTTGTGGAAAAGTCTGATAGCAGCCAGAAACAGCTCTATGATGACTAGAACATATGACCCTCAAATAAAGTAGTATAAGATTTTTATTTATTTATTTATTTAATTTCATTTTTGGTTTAAAGAAAAAAAATGTATTACTTACACAGACACAGAATAAGATGCAATGCACTGGTTTGTCCACAGGGGGTCACTGAAGTCAAACTAAATGTTCCTCATAGGAGCTGGAAGAAAACTAGTCCAGTAAGAAATCAGAGCAAGAAAAATCAGAGAAATCATCTCAAATAAATTATATCATTTGGTTCACAAATAGGCAAATTCATAATCTGCTCTGTGAAGTCCACCTCAGCCAGAGATTTGGCTCCAAATGACGCTGTAAAGAAATGCCCAGGATAGTGACAGTCCAGCCAAGAGTGAAGGTGTGTAGGGTCAGTCCTAACATTCACATGAATCTGAAATTGTCTCAAACACTGTTGGATCTGGAGTACAGACTGAAGTCAGATGCACTGTGAGGCAGGAGTTCACTTGTTCCCCAGCAGGTGACGTTGGCTTGCTAATAATCCTGCATGTTGCCTCCAAGTGCATTTCACTGAAAATCAAAAAGCAGCAGCAGCATGATCTTCACATGAACAAGCATGAAACTGAGGTCAAGGGTCAAGGCTCAGTACTGGTCTCATCATCCTCAATTGACCTCAGAGCAGCTACTAGAGATATTAAAGAGAGGGTGAGAGAGATTCAGAGGAGGCTTTACTATCCATTAGAGCAAACCGAGGAAATCATTTAGCAGGAGTCAATATAAATAAATGTTTTGAGGAGATAATAGCCGCTAATTTCCTGATGATAGTGTCTTACATTCAGCCAGAGATTTCTAAAAGCTTGGTCGAGTTATGGCGGTGAGGAAATAAACAGCCCTGCAGGTCTGAGACGAGGACTTTTAATGGGGCCGAGATCTTGCTTCAGCGCCTTCTGTGATCACCCATAATACTCCTGACCCCGAGTGATTCAGCTCGCTATGGTCTTTCACTTTATTGTCCAGACCACAAGCAGGGGCAGAGAGGATGAGTAAGAAAGGTCAGTCCGGGACAAAGGGCTGTTATGTCAGAGTTTAAATGAGAGTAGCAGGGTGGACAGTTTCCTGAGGGAAGAGACGGGGCAGTTGTCAGTGTTTTAACCTTTCTTTAAAGTTTAAACAGTTGTTATTTTGCCTCTTAGAGCAGGAGAAGAAGCACTGTCCATGTTTGGCATCCTCATGGGGATGTAAAATTGAGTTGTAAAGTGGCTATTTTAATATGATGGTTGAAGATAAATGAGCTTTTATTTCCAGAAAAAAATGAGTGCAGTCTGAAATAACAACACAGGAGTAGGACACAGCTATGAAGTACTGAACCTGAGTTTATCATTCTTTGCAGGATTACACTTATACCTTTCAATAAATCTGCAGGGGTGCACGTATGAAAGGTCCAATCATCATTAATGTAACATGCGCTTATTCTGAGAGTATTTGGATTACTCATAGATGTCCAAGGATTCCTGGTTAATGAAACAGCATTTATACTCCTCAGGAGTTCAATAATCGTTGCTTTCAGACCTGTCTGTACAGGAATAAAATAAAACAGTACATTTGACCTGATTTTGGTGAATCAATGTCATCAATGGCCTGAAAAGACATTCTCAAAACATTAATTAGGGGATTTTTGCTCATGTCGCCCTTTTTTTATGTGTAGCGCAGACTGTGACCAAACCCTCCTTCTAAAGTCTCGTTTTTTGCCTCATCTATGGAAGCCTGGATCTTTTGTTCTATATTTCACTCTGTGAATAATTATTCTGTCCCTCCTGATTTAATAGCGGGATGTAAAGCCTGACCCACATGATGTATTACTGTACTGGGGAATTTCTGTCCAACCCATTTTTAGAGATTACGTATTATTAACTCTCCTGGATGTCACATCCTGCTAATGAATAAATCAATTATTCATCTATTTTTTAATTTGAAATGATCCGACAAGGAAAAATGGGTCGCAAAATCAGTCTTTTTTTGGTGTATTGAGGAGGAAAGCCCTGAATTTACATGGGGGTATTTGGTCCTCAGGACTTTTCCATTACTCTGTGTCCCACTCTGTTTTTTTCACCCTGATGCATAATATTGGAGTTGGTGTTTTTCTGCTTTTTTACTCCATGTTTGCAGCATTTTAGCAACATCCTGCATGCATTACAATTTTGTTGTAAATCAGGCTGTATGATTGATCAGTGAGTCTCTATATGTCAGAAGTTTTACAGTAAAGTTGGGATTCTGAGTAAAATGTTGATATAAACAATATTTAATGGTTTGCAAATACTTTAAAATTGATATTTAATTGAAAACAGTGCAAAAAAAAAGTCATGGTAATTCTGAATGATTCTTGTCTCCTCGTCTGAGATCTGACTGTACCTGATCCTGCAGAACTATTGATCCCCCTGTCTGTACAGCTTCATCTTATTCCTTTTTCCCCCTTTTTTATTATATCCCTGCTTCCTAATTAGGAGGCATCGAAGCTGAATTATGGTCACCATGGCAACAGAGTCAGCATGCTTTCCCTTTGAGATTAGTCTATCCTACATCAAGCAAAACCCATCACCAGTTTCTAATTTCAGACCTCCTGTCTGTGTCCGTTGATCTCTCTGGATAGGCTTCAGTCCTCTGCTCTGAACAGTTCACAAATAAACACTACTGACCCCCCACCCTACCCCCCAAAGGATGTAAAAGTTGAGACATAATTGATCAGTTTCCTTGATTATAAGGATTTAGTATTTTTTAAAAAAAGGGAAAATATACACTAATGAACATTTACATGTAAATGCATGGGATTATAGCCAAGTGGCTAATTTCCATCCCCAGTCTCATTAGCAGGTTGTTGTTAATACATAAAACCAACAACAAAAATCAATAATAGGAGTGAAACACACAGAGCATATCAACAACAATATAGACGTCATACAAACCAAAAATAAAAACAGGCTGAGAGTTAGGGGACCACACACTGAATCATAAAGTGCTGAAGTACTAACTAAAGTGCAATAGTGCTAAAGTGCACAGCGCTAGCTGCATGGGAGCTCAGGTCCCCATTATATTGCACATAACCCAATATTGCACAAATAAAAGAAAGGGAAAAGTGCCTGTTGCATTGCACATTACCCTACTGTCCAGGATTATCAAGTGCCAGATTAAATAAATATTGCACGATGCCCATAGCACATGGTTGCACACGCAGATGTGTGAGTAGATATTGCACTTGTTTTTTTTATTTGCTCTTACAGTGCTTATATTTTGTTTTATTTCTTCATTGTTTAATTTTTAGAGTGTTTTTATGTGGTTTTTAATTATGATTTTTTTATTTTAACATTTCATGTTGTAGCAATCAAGACAACCCTGGGTGTGAAACCCACACATTCCTCAGAGGAAAGTTTCCTTATCTGGTCCCAGGAAACAGGATATAAATCTTTCCAGACTCGTTTACACTTTCAGGTTAAATAAGTGACCCAACCGAAGGTTGACTAAACCTCTGACTCTTCACGATTGGTCGATTCGGAGAACAGAGACAGAGTTTTTATTACCTTTCAAACTGACTCCATCGCTGACCATCTAAATAAACATTAACCTCAACCCAGATCTCCCATTTGAGATTTAGCGTCTTAAAGTGTGGGAACATACGGACCCCAGGAAAAGGGAGGACACTGACCTCCAGACCTCGGTCGTAAAACCCTGCTCGACCATACACTGATAAAGACTGCATTCCTTTGGTGAAAGAATACAAATGACTGATCATGACATCTTATGCATTCAGCAATGTACTAATCAATCTAATCATGAAATTTGTGTTAAAATGAGATGTTTCCCGTTTTTCTATGTGCTCCAGAAGCCGAGTTACAGAATAATTGTTATTGTTATTCACTTTTGTTTTGTTGTTGTTCGATTCCTAACAGAAAACATACATTTTTTTTTTATTTTTTTTTTAATGAAAAAAGAGTTTATAATGTTTTGAAGCTGTATACCTACAACTGGGTCCACACTTGTCACCTTTTTGTTATTCAAACTCTCTCCAAACAATGGAGCAAAATTGACAGAAACTAACTGAACCGAATATAAATGTACACTCATTAGAATTCAAAACAAGTTATTTAGTAATCTAAAAGGGTTCAACAGCTGCGTCTCCTCCATCTCTCCGGCTTTGAGAGTGTGTGAAAACTACTCCAACTAAGAGTCTGATTTAACAGCTAAATGCTAAAAGCTTCACATGGTGCTGAAAAAAGGAATGAAACTTACAGCAGCCTTTAACTTCTGATTTTCAAACAAATACAGTAAAAAAAAAAGTCTGTATATAACACTCAAACACCAGGCAGGCCTACTATATGATAATGACCTGGCAGGAAGTGATGGGTCATAAATGTCCGTGTTGGTGACTGCTCCTCCACTGGCATGAGTCAAAACTCCAACTGTCAACATTTCATGATAAATATGCATCAAAGAAACAGCATGAGAGTGTCAAATGGGTTGTTTTGGGGACAAATTAGCATTAAATGGAAACAATGTGAGTGTGAAAGACGTTAACTGTGGTGATGAGAACACAAAAGAAATTAAAGGCCATCTTCTGACGATATGAAGAACATGCTCAAGAGTGAAACTGGGGGGTGTTCAGTGACATTTTACTAGTTAAGAGGCACACAATCTGCAGAGAGAGCAAAGAGGCTGGATTACCTCCCTAGATTACTCAAAGGTAGGTATGGTTAGTATTTAAGAGTTAAGGCTCAGCAGGGGGCAAAGCACCAAGTTCTGGGCCCTGTACACTCTCAATGTCAGGCGCCTGAGAAAAAAAGAAATTTATTAAAATTTTTAAAAATGTATAAATAGGGTTTTAAGCAACAATCAGATCAGATTATATTGATAAATGGTTCTAATAGCTAGTTGTTTTCCCTATGTTTTCACCACCAATCTCTCTTTCTGTCTCTCTCTATCTACCTGGCAAACCATAATCACAATTTTCTTTTGATTGATATTGAGATCACAGTTATTTAACATGATTATTCATTGGCTTTGGTAACATCATGAATTTATTGGGCATTGACAATAGCTTTTAAGCTCAGCACTGCACTACAACACTGTAAAACCTAACAGTATATTTCAATAAACAAAATAAGTTATATAACTTAAAACTCAAAAAATGTTACAGTCACTCATCCCTATAAAGTTGAACTTAATTGAAAGTTAAAAAGTGGTAGCAACTAAGTTGTTTTGAGTATTCATAAAAATGTAGAGCATTAGGAGTACTTGTAAACATTTAAAGTTTGTTACATGAACTCTTTCAAGCTGAGTAGCTTTCATGAACTCATTTAATTTAAGTTGAACGTGTAAGCCCTGCTAACGTGGGTAGGAAACCCTGATGCGCCTTTGACACATGCCATGCCTAGTTCAATGGCCATTTTCATATTGAACCATAGAGCAGTGGTTCTCAATCCAGTCCTTGAGCCCCCCCTGTCCTGCATGTTTTGGATGTTTCCCTGCTCCAACACACCTGATTCAAATGATCAGCTCGTTATTAAGCCATTATAGAGCTTGATAACGAGCTGATCATTTGAATCAGGTGTGTTGGAGCAGGGAAACATCCAAACCATGCAGGACAGGGGAAGCGCAAGGACTGAATTGAGAACCACTGCCATAGAGGGAAGTGGGACTGCTGTTCGACATTAATTTTGGCCCCTAATTGACTCAGATTGATTTTATAATCAAGGTAAGTTGCTATTTTAAGATATGAGAAAGTCGAAAATATGAGTAATAATTATGGTCCATTAAGTCTTAATCTTGGGAAAAAATGTCAAATTTATGAGGCTAAAGGTTCAAATGTAGATACTAAATTATAACTTTATCTTGTGATTTTGAATTACCATCTCAAAGATTACCCTTTTGACCATAATTTTGACTTTTGGATTTTTGGATGATTCTTATTTGAATGGTGTTTATTTTTTATCATCAATTCTGGTCATATGAAATATGTCTTCTATTTTTAGGATAAGTCGGTGGCAACAAAAGCAGCAGTGGCTCTGGTGGCAGTTGTGAATGAAGAGACAGCTGAAACCTAAGTTACAGGCTCTGAGAAATAAACTTGAGTAAGATGTTCAAGTTTTCCTGCTGACAATAACATTGTCAGTTGTTGGGCTTGCATGCACAAAACTGGACATTTCGTGAACAACAGCGTCTCATTGTGGTTTCCGACCAGTTTGTTGTATGTTTAAAATGGCAATGTTCAGCTTAAAGTGTTTTAAACAATTGATGTCATAGTTTTTACTGCACTTCACCTCTGCTTTAATCCTGTTTGGGTTACATTTTTTCATTTTTACAAAAGAATGAAGAAAATTTTCTCTATTTTAAAAGAAATGGTGTGCAGGAGTTTATCTATTTTTAGATGAAATTTTCAGTTGAGTCACACAGTGTTTTATTTTTGTTTGGAAAAGAGGGTAATATTGTCAGCATTAACATATGAGGTAAGAAATGTGTTTGAGTTTGTTTTATAAAAATGTTAGGCTTGAAATATTTGCATTTGTAATTCTGTTGAGTTAAGCTTAATAAATTGTTTGCTTGTTCTGTACTTATGTCATGTTGAGTTTTTACAACCTTGTGGGCGGTGGTAGCTCAGGAGATAGAGCGGTCGTTCAATAACTGGAAGGTTGGCGGATCGATTCCCTCCTATCCCGAGTTTGTTCGTTGTGTCCTTGGGCAAGACACTTAACCCACTTTGCTCCCAGTGTGTGGCCTCCACTGGTGTATGATTGTGAGTGTCGTGTGGTGGTGGTCAGAGAGGCCATAGGCGAAAACTGGCAGCCACATTTCCGTCAGTCTGCCCTAAGGCTGCTGTGACTACTAACCCTCTAAGCATTTTTTGGTCTAAAAGAGGTCTAATAGACGTCTAAATGTATCCTAGACAGCTGGTCTAAAATCAGGCTACCACAGGTCTAAAAATGAAGTGAAAGTTTTTTTAGACGTCTAAATTTAGACCAAGTTTGGACCAAGTCTAAATCTGGGCTATATCTTTACTACACTGTATTTTGCTCAGCGACTATCATAATTATTTTGGGTAAGTACTTGGAGATCAGTTATGCAACTCACTGTTGCTTTTTGAGATAAATAGTTATCGAATTAAAGTGCAACGTCTAAATTCCGTCTAAAAATGTACAGAATCTAGACGGTTGAAATTAGGTCTAAAAAAAAAAACAAGATGTCTAATAGCCGTCTATCGCTCAGTGGGAAGGTAGTTTACAACCACTAAGAAGTGACTGTGTGAGTGAATGAATGATGTATCCAATGTAAAGTGCTTGAGGGTTTCTGATAAAGCACTATATGAAGTCTGATGCATTAATTAATGCATCAGATGCATTAATTGGCCTCACAACCAATCAGGTTGGGGGAGGCGGGGAATGGCTTTGTTTACAGTCAGAAATAGCGGAGCTCTCTGAAATTTTAAAATGTTGACTACACAGACATAAAACACATCGATATCGTTATGTTTCCAAATGTCATCAATGACTAATAGCTATTGACTGATATTAAAAGTTTTTTTTGTATATACATCACAAAAAATATGCTTCTTTAATGAATTCCTGCCTACCCCACCTTTAAGGCAATTGGTTTCCTCATTTGAATTGAGTAGCCATAAGTTGTTTTAACTAGAATCCAATAATTTGCTGCAGTGGAAGACTGAGTACGTGCAACTCAAAGGTTGCATTTGTATGGACTAGATTAGTTTAAGTAATGGGTGTAGAAAAATGATTCATATGAGTATAAAATAATAAAGGATTCTATTTTTAATAAATCAATTGCATTAAAAAGATGAACTTGTGACCAAGTAAACATAGCTTTTAATATTTAAGTTACTTGAACTTAAATTAAGTGTTTTTTCATACTTAAAAATTATGAGTTAATAAACTTAAATGATTCAAGGCAATCGGTTTCCTCAAATCATTTGAGTTGAACTTACTCATCAGGTTTTACAGTGAATGTAGGGGCTTTTTACCAGACACAAATAATCAACTGCTTTATTGCTCAATGAATATATTACTAGCAGAGCTGCCAAGTCTCACGCTTTAGGTGTGACAGTCACACAATTTGACCCATTTTCACACCACACGCCACACTTGACATTTTTCACACTTATATTTCCGAATTCAATACTCTGTATTAATTTTTTTCATAATAATAAACTTGGCTTGCCATAGTTCAAGTACCTGATTGACTGACTGAGATAACCAATCCCAGACCAATCCATCAGTCCTTTGTGCCTAAATCTAACCAACCACAGAAGGCACCACACAATATAAGCAGATCAGAAGCAACGTAAGGCGGGTCTTGGCGTCTCTAACTATCTTTCACACACAACAGCGCCAACATTTAAAACCCACTCGATGCTCTCCTGCTCTCCTGAAGACAGATGGTAGGTAACTACCTAAATTTGATCATACAAAATTATTGCAAATGGGTTCACTTTTTAAATATTTGGCATGGAGGCGAGGACCTCAGTCTTAAGGTATTAATCGACGTTAAAAAACCGACCTGTGGTCAGTGGCGAAAAAAGCTCTGCAACTAGCTAAGTTGAAGACTTCATGTGAGCATACAAACATCAGCAGCAGCTGTCTGGAGTGGACTATGTTAACTTTAATTGGACTTTGCAGGACAAGCAAACTGGGTTCACCTTTGGGAAAGAAAGCAGTCAACAGCTGCCTCCCCTTATTCTTTCTTTTTCTTTCCTCTCTTTCTTCTTTTCATACCCCGATTTATGCTTTTAGGGCAGCATGATGTCTAACCCCCAGGTCATTCAATCTGGGCTCACTGACATTACACTTGGAAGGGGAACCAGGAAGTGAGTGTGCAGAGTGGAGTGTGCTGTGTGAGAGATGAGAGAGGGGAAACCAGCTTTTGTATAATCAAGGAAGAGAAGCGGCGAGGTGAACTTTAGACTCTCAAACTCCTACAAGCAGAGGTTATTAAAGCTGCAGCGGTCCTGAAGATCAACTGCACCAACATTTATTCACCTCATATAAACCTCATGGAAAGACTTCCACTATTTTATCCTTATATAATCCACACATATTTAAATATACACCACATATAAACTCTCTCTCTCTCTCTTACGTTAGATTTTCTAACTTGTTTTCTTTCTTTATGTGTTGTTTGGTTTGTGCTCGTTGTTTATTCTCGGTCTACCCTTGTCATAATCTTTTCTCTAATCTGTGTCTCCTCTTTCTCTGCCGTCCAGAAAGGTGATCTTCTCCAATGGTCCCACCTGAGCCATGTGGTCTCTCACGGATGTTTGGTCTTAATGATCCTAAACAAGAGGAACCAGGAGCTTAATCTGGTGTAATCTGAGGGTTGATGACTTTGACTGTCTGACATTAATGTCACCTCAGAAAATAAAAAATGTCTGTAATGTAGGAGCCATCTGATTAGAGCCTGTTCATTTAGAGGTGAAGCTGAGGGAGACACTGAGGGGGACAGACGCACAGGTGAGCAGGTAGCGGTCAGGTGGACTGGTGGATGAGGAAACAGATGCATTAGATGTAGAGATGGGGTCTACTTTAAATCCACAGGATCAGGCGACATGTAGATGAAGACGCAGAGCTGAAGCTGCAGCAGAGAAGATGGAGGAGGAGTTTTCTTTTGGCGCTCCTACGTTAACTTTAATCAGACTTATAACAAGTAAACTGGGTTCACCTTTGGGAAAGAAAGCAGTCAACAGCTGCCTCCCCTTATTCTTTCTTTTTCTTTCCTCTCTTTCTTCTTTTCATACCCCAATTTATGCTTTTAGGGCAGCATGATGTCTAACCCCCAGGTCATTCAATCTGGGCTCACTGATGTTACACTTGTCGCCAGTCGCTGTCGGGCAAACTAAACTATTTTGCACCTCCAAGAGGGGGCCCCCAGAGTGTCCAATATGTTAGGAGTACTGTGACCAAAAGTTCATTCTCTCAGTTAATGTTATCAATATATTTGAAATACATTATGACACCAATTAATTGGAGGGCCCAGTTCATTCAAAATAAAAACATCACCAAAGAAAATCTGGATTTTCATGGATCCCCTCTCCCCACTCAGGCCCTGGGTAGTCAGGTCCACTTCTCCCCCCACAACTACGCCCATGAGCTTCAGTGCAAGAAAGTTTCTGGTGCAAATCACCAGCTGAGCAGAAACCACATAGAGTTAGTTCTGCACGCACGCTTTCAGTAGAGTATCCCCAGAGTAAATCATGCTTTTGCAAATTCTGTTTTTACTTTGCACAAGTATGCAAACAAGATCTTCTGCAACCAGTTTGCAGAACACAAATTTATTATGCACATTTCTGCAGCATTTGGAAAGCTGGCTTGACATGATGCTTGAAGATTTTCTGCAGCTCTCAATCCTCTAGAGTGAAGTAGGCTCATGTCTCAGTTCATAAAAACATGAGTATGCTCAGTGAATGCATTCATTTTAGTGGGTTCATGTACAACACTGATTTGAAACCACCTACAGGTTGATTCCAACAGCTAAGGAAAGTCATGATGGCTCATTACTATTAAGTTATAGCTCTCTTTGCAGTTATATTGCATATGAAGAGTGTCAGCATGAGGTCCATTTGAATCAGTTAATTTTCCGTGCACTGAGGGAGTTTCTATGTGCTGCATTTCATAGATGAGACTTCAGTTACTGTTCATTATTAAAGCAGAGCAGTTTTATAACCCCATGAAGTGTCTGAAGTGCATTCACAGCTGGAGGAAACAGGGATGTTCTTGCACAGCAGTCTGACAAACCTTCTCATGCAGACAGACAGATAGAAATCCTGATGTCAGCAAGTCCAGAAAGTTTCCAACTGAGGAAAGTGATGGAGACCTGAAAGCAGAAGGATCCCTGAGAGTCCCTGAGGGAAAGCAGTGGGATACATTACACCATTGTGACATTATTTATTCTGCATGTCTGATAAACAGGACAAGAGCAAGTATAACAGGTCTACTTTATCTGAATCAGCCTAATTATGGTACATGCCAGACAGATGCGCTAGCCCAAGCCATCATGACTTTTCAGAGCTCGTATATTCAGGTTCCTCAAATTCTGAAGCTGCACTGCAGAAACCACGCCCTTCATTTACATTTAGGAAATCAGCCTCCTGGAAAGAACAGAGTAACCTGTATCCTAATACACAAAGTGCTCACTTTATTATGAACTATGCTGCTGTACTGAAAAGAAAGAGAAAATTGAAGCTAAAAATAACAGACATTGACTGTTCGTGGAGCAAAACAAACTGAATGTGCTCAGTCTAACATGAACATAATGAATGTCTTAAAACCTTTCAAATATTAATATTGCGATAAAAGATGAATCTAAAGAATAGCTCTCAGAGATTGATTCTCCCATTACTGTCTTTCCTCTTTCCAACCAGGGAGGTTTTCTCTTCAGTCTCCAGAGTGAAATCCCTCTGGAGGAGAAAGTATCTGAGAGTCAAAGACCCACTTAAAGTCAACTACTTTATCTCCAGCGTGGGTAATGGACCTCAGTGGGGAATAACTTACCATTCATGAAAGCCCTGGGATGTCAGGAGGTTGTCTCCAAGTCTCTGCAGAGAAACAACACAAAGACCTCAGAGGGGAGCATAACTTTTACAGGAGGATGAAAAATGTAGAACAAAAAAGAAAACGTGCGGGATGTTGTTAAAGAGCGTCTGCCTCCTCTGTCCACTGAGGCGAACCACGGCATGTTGATTCACTCCATCTGCACTAGTGTTTCAGCTGGAGGTAAAGACACTGCAGAGAGTATGGAGTGTTTTGAACCGAAGTCAACCTGATGGATCCCTGAAAAAGAGAGCAGCAAAGATGTCTGCACACTTGTCTGTAAGTGCTGAATATGAGAAAAGGGCTTGAGTGTCTTATTTGATGATTAGGGATAGTTCACTTAGATAGCCAGTTTAAGGGGAAAACGAGATCAGCTTAATGATTTCATTGAAGAAAAAACAGAGATAAGAAGTAGTTCATTTTTAATCTAGGTGAGGCTGGATTAAATCTGAAAAAGAAGTCTTTGATCGCCTCTGTCACACCATCTCTGCCTTCCTTTGAGAGCTGAGATTTGCCTCTCAAATGTGCATCAAAAGGATTCTACAGCTGACAAGAAAGCAGGAAAAAAAAGTCCCAAAGTAGAAAAGATTTTGGTTTCAGGACTCATAATCACTTTTTTCTGCTTCCCTTTCAAAGCTCATTCCTCCAGCCTCAGCAGCTGTTGTACATCATTACAACTTCAATTACAACCCTAATGACATTCGCACGAGCTGTTTACAAGCTGCAGACATAATGGTGATTATCAGTCATAATATAGTACACTATGTGCGGTAATAAGTTGATTAAAAAGTGTTCCGAAATGTGCCGCAGTCTTTGTAATCATCCTCCGAAAGAGAGTTTTTGCTGAACACAATCACAGCTGAGGAGTGCAGCCATGTCTCTGCATAATGTGATGAACCTCTGCAGCCTGAGAAGATGAAATCAAGTGAAGCACAGAGATTAAAATCACAGAATCCTGATGTGTTATCTTCAGCATGGGTTCATGATGTGGCATTAATGAGAGCAGAGAATAAAAAACAGGAAATGAAAGACTTTGCTTTTTGCTGAGGAAAATTTCTGTACCATTTTAATGAACACAGACCTTTGCAGCTCCTTATTGTTCATTTACACCTCAATATATCCCTGCAAGGACAGATCACTGCTGTAGGTGAGGCCAAGACTTGTGCATCATTTACACCCCATATTTTCTCCAAACCAAGCTTGAATTTCATATATTGGTGCAGTTTGCTCTTGTTTTGCATCTGATCGAAGAGATGAGCTGTCAGCATCTCATCTACATAGATCTGATTGTGAAGGGGGTACTTTAACCAGAACTTTATTTATTATTGATGAGACACCAACTTCACTACTTAAAACAAATTGCCTCCCATACAATTAGTACAATATATATATATATATATATATATATATATATATATATATATATATATATATATATATATATATATATATATATATATAATTTATTTTTTTTTTTAGACAAAACAGAAAGGCGTTAAGCCCTTTTTTCCAGGGAAATCCAAGTATCCGGGTCAGCAGATACTAAAGTTTATTAAGGCACTTAAAGGGAGCTACACATCCGCATTAAAACTGCACATTGCTGAATGCAATTGAAGTCTTCTGACAAAAACACAGCCCCCCCCCCAAAAAAAAAAAAAAAAAAACAAGAAAAACAAAAAGACTTTATCTTATGAACAATAGAAACTTATATTACAGGTTTTACGGTGTGTATATTCGTAGGTGTTTATAAGGATGTGAATGATTCTAAATAACTGTTGTGTTATTAAATAGTAAAATACGACTTGCACAGATGGTAGTATGGTAGTTTGAGAATATTTCATTTCATGTGTCAGATTTTTTGTACCACATCACTGAGGTAAAGTAAGAGTGGCCGTCTGTTCAGCTCATGAAGCTGTGAATGAAGCATAAACACAGATCCTCTTACTCTTATTAATTCATCTCTTTACAGAGGGAGTCTCTATTTGTCTTCTCATTACAGGACAATGATAAGACACTAAAAACCAGCGGCAGAATCAACTCTCTTTATGAAAAACAGAGCTCTGTAAACACAGCCTAATGAGCCTGAACAAGCTTTTCTTCTGCAGATCCCGGGTTTCTGGGTGGGTAGAGTTTTTAATGGCACGCTTCATGGCATGTTTTGTATATGTGAATATTAGTTTTCATTCGCATGTTAAACAGCAGTCATCTGACTGCAGAACCTGTTTTCATCATTTTAATTTATGAAGCTTTTCAAACACAGCTCTCCTCTGCCATTTCAAAGCATTTTTAACCAGCTTGTATCACCAAAGCAAGAACAGTGGGGATTAACAATAGCCTTTTAACAGTGTGTGTGTCTAAAGACAGTGTTCACAAACTGTTGGAGCAGCACTATCAAAGTGTGAGTGTGTAAAAACAGCCTCCACGAGCTGAGAGGACTATAACAGACGCTCCTCACGCAGCACAGATGGAAATCTTTCTCAAAACACTAAACCACAAGCCAAACTTGCCAACAGGAACCATTTCTTTACTCAATTCAGAGACTTTCCTTCATACGAGCGAAGCTATAATCCATAATTCAATTACCCAGTACCTGTCAGTGCTCATTTTCCAACAGTACATCAGTGCTGACATGTTATGTCATGTCATGTCACTGTAAACTGTTCAATGTCTGTTTAATATCTGGTGTATTGTCGCAGCTACCACCTGCACTGTGAAAAATTCCACTGGCCTAGCCGTGTGGCGATTAAAGAAACTTGAACTTGAACTTGGATGTTGAAGCCCATATCGAGCACTGTTTTGAGTCCAATAAAATTTTAGTGGAAATCTCCTTGTTATATAAAAAATATATATGCTCAATTTAAATTTGATGCCAGGTGGTTATTAGAGGAACAACCAACAAAACAAGTACAAGTCGTGTAATGTTAAAAAAAAGAACAGCTGGAAGAACATCTCCAACTAATGAGGTGAATGTCCAACAAGTTAGTCTCTTGAGGCCATTGCAGAGAGGAGGACCAGGTCTAAATTAAAATTAATCCTGGGCCACAAAGATCATCCATTGTAGGCTACTATGTTTTTAAAGGTCTCGAGAGCTCATTGAGTGAGCAACTTGTGATACCTCTGTGCTCCACTGAATGACTGAGAAAGTCTTTTGTTCCAGCAGCAGTGAGATTTTTTAAAAGCATATGCTTGGGTCTGACTTGGCACTGCTGCAAAGCTTGAAGAGGTATTCATTTTAAGTATTTACTCATTGTAATCAGGCTTTTGTTGTATTTAATCATGTCCTTCTCTTTTATTGTACCACTTTTAAATAATTTTTCATTGGCCTTTACTGTGTTTGTTGTGTATCTGGTGTTGAGTTTATGTTTATTTGATGTCTCCATGCTGTTTGCTGTCTATATGTGTCTTCTTGTACTGGTGGTGAAATAGTTTCCCCCATGTGGGATCAATAAAGTCTACCTTACCTTACCTTAGTAACATGACTGGGTATAAAAAGGACATTGAGAGAGGCTGAGTCTCTCAGAAGGAAAGATGGAAAGAAGTTCACCACTCTGTGAGAGACTGTGTGAGTTAATAGTTCAACAGTTTCAGAATAATGTTCCTAAGTGTCAAATGTGAAAGAATGAGTGGATTTTATCCTCTACAGAACATCATGTCATTCAAAGATTCAGAGAGTCTGGAAAAATCTCTGAACTAAAGGGACAAGGACCAAAACCAAGACTGATGGTCCTGATCTCCAGGCCCTCAGGCAGCACTGCATTAAAAACAGACAGGACTCTGGAGTGGAAATCACTTTATGAGCTCAAAAACCTCTGTGGTTACAATTCATCACTGCATTCACAAATTAGGTTAAAACTAAAATAAGACAGAAGCATGATCCAGAATTTGCTATTCTTTTTTGGAAATCATGGATGCTGCATCCTCTGCAACATCTGCTGCCATCCAGACAAAGACTTTTTCAGAGAAGACCTTCATATTTCAGTAAGACAATGACAAACCACATGCTGACAACAGGGATTACAACAGCAAGAGTCCTGCTGATAAACTGGTCTGCCTTCAGTCCTGACTTGTCCCCCATTGAAATGAAAACATTTTGAGCATCATGACACCAAAAAGGACAAATGAGACCCTGGACTGTTGGGCAGCTAAAATCCTCTATCAGGCAAGAATTGGGACAACACTAAAATCTGTTTATATCTCTTTACGAGGACAGAGCTGCTGATTTATTTGATACAACTGACTTTAGTGAGGAATTATGGTGTTTCCTCGTCTTCCAAAAATAATATTTTTGAGGCTGAACAGAGAGACTCAGGTAAGCCCTCCAACACTTCAGGGCTGATGGGACTGGATCTGTGCTCGTCATCCTAATCCTGGATCCTGCAGGTATAACCGTGAAACTCTGCTGCTTGTATTTATTCTCTTACTCCAGAGTTCATCACTGTTGGTTAAACACTCTGCTTTACTAATTCCTGTATTAAGATCTCAGAGTAAACTGAATTATCTGATGATGGAGGTCGTTTGTAACATGCTCATTGATCTGTAACCTCATTAGAGGGAAAAGATCATTTATCTTTGTCCTCCTGAATCATTAGGTATCACTGAAAGTAAATAAATCAGGTTTATAGAGTAACAGATTTGTGCACAAAACTACTTGGTCAAGTTTGGGTATACAAACTGACACTTAAAACTCTGACCTCCCTGCAGTTTTTGGAAACTTTCTGTAAGTTTGTTCTCTTCCAGTTTTAGAGGTTGTCACTTTGTTTGAATCACTGACTGCAAAAACAGAAAAATGATGTCTCTAGTTGAACTTTAACTTGCTATTGGACAAAAAGTTTGTAGTGTTTGTCATCAGCAGTGGTGTTTTATGAGGTAAAGGTCCATCAATGTGAGATTAATACCAGACTGTACCTCCAGTGCGTCTTCATCTTCCTCTGAAGATGAATGGAAATGAGATTCTGCCATCAATAATGTAATTAGTTCACTGCTGCCACCCTCTGTGACACAAAGGATTAACTACAGCCTCCCCTCTGAGAGTCTGTATACAGACACAGACTCTGTTTCAGAGACTTTATTAACCTCAGATTTAAGGTAAGAAGGCGGGGGGATGAAAATGTCTTCATCTACATTTTTGTCACGTCTTGGTTTGTGTTCAACTCAACAGATTGTTTGACATTTCATCTTAAAGGTCCCATATTCTGCAAAATTCACTTTAGAATGGTTTTCTAACAATAATATGCATCCCCAGCCTGTATACAACCCCCCAAAATGAGAAACTTCTATCCTCTCCCTCTCTTGCTTGCTCCACCTTTTAGAAAATGTCTGCTCAAACGGGCAAATCGAAACTCTCACCTTCCATGACATCATGGATGGTGATAACT